TCAATGTCTGATTTCACACTTGCTGAACTGATCCCAGCTTCTTTGAGAAGATCTCTAATTTCTGAATCTTCCAAAAGGCCGAGAATCAACTGATCAACTGCTAAATGGGTGTCACCGCGGGACTTCTGGCCAGATTGTTATCACTTCTGTTAGAGTAGTGCTACGGCTCGCTGTCGCTGGACTACCGTCGGGGGGTGGAGTTTGAGATGGTAGTTTCTCGATTGCCTGATTGAGAACCATCTCAAACGTTTTTGCAGCCTCTTTATTACCACCAGCATTGACTATTGATTGCTGAAAGATGCCATTGGGATCGGAGTTTAATGCCGCAGCCAAATGAAGTGGAGTGAACTGAGCATGTCCAGAGTTCTTCGCCAATTCACAAGCCCCAGCAATGGCTTCACTGGTCTTGTGGGTAAATTTATCAGGATTCATGGTTGATATTGATGCTTACAAAAAACTGTGATGAAAGCATAGGTCTCATATTTTACATGAGCAGTTCAATTGACAGATCAAAACGACGACCACTACAACACTGAACCGAAGAACATAATACATAGAACAAATGCATGACCCAAAAAATAAATAACTATAAAATAAAAAATAAATACACAATTCAAGCAAACAATTCATCAATAACTACCCAAATAGCTAGCAACTACAAGAAGACGTGAAACCATTAATCAAGTACCAAAGTCAGTCAATGAAAAACAAAAATTACGTAAGAAACTATTGACCATTACGTTTTTAAACAAAGACCATGGAATACAACATAAAATCAGAAGATACCATGATACGTCGTATAAGTAAAAGAAGTAGACATTCACCGGCAAAAAAGAAATGCAAAAAAAGTAGATGCTAAAAACAAACCCCATTAAACCACTGAAAACACTACAAATGGCCAAAATTCAAGGCAAAAAACCACTACAGTGGATACATAAATAAGCACCAAATGCATTATAAGATCAAAACTGATTTTGGAAAGGTAAAAAAAAACTTACAATAAAAGTATATTTCTGCATCACCAAAACTAATAAATAGAGAAAAATATATATAAGTCTAATAGAAATCAATTACAGTGCCATCATAAACTACAACAAAGTAGTGAAAATAGGCCTCCAAAGGGATTGGATTGGAAATCCATATTCAATTTGTTTAGTTAACAGATTATTCGCTAACGGTTATTGGATTGAATGTTCCGATCCATACCCTAATAATTTGGCTCGGATTCGGATTGGGTTCGGATCAAAATTCAATCCATTAGCTTGGTGGAGTAGAGGGTTGCTAATACATAGGATGATGCATCATATAACAATGCAATCAAAAGAATCTAATGTTAGATTATAAATATATATAACATATAAATGTAGTATATTTTGATGTATAATATATATATATATAATTTTAATCGAATCGGATTAGCTTTAATTCATATCCACTTTGTTTAACGGATTTGGATCATTATCGTATTACAGATTCTTTTAATCCATGTCCGGATAATCTGGATTCGGATCATAATCCTATCCATTGACAAGTGTAAAGTGAAAACCAGCAGACCAGAAATCGGAAAGCCAAATGATTTCCATGACCAAAATTAACAAAAAAGACAACTCGAGAACTCTGAAACAAAAGCAAAATCACATAAAACAAAACCATTGGGAAACTCAAGCGGAGAGTTATCTCTAGATTTAGAAAGAACAACATATATCGATGACTAAAATTCGCCATAACCATGCGTATTCGAGATAAACCAAACAAAGCCCCAAACTGAAAACAGAAATCAAGTTCTATCTGTATCCGCACACATACATAAACATGTATATGCGTGTGTGTATATATATATATGGTCGTGTCTGTACACCACCCAAAGGGAAAAAAAGAGTACCCTTACGTTTCAAGAAAAAAATTGAACTGTGCTCAATGAAGGTCGATTGATTAGCTTGGTGTGTGATTTGAAGAGAACATGATTGATAGATATATCAATGACTAAAATTCGAGATAACCGTTCGCATTCAAGAATAATCAGACAAATACACTTATACACAGAGTTATGTGTGTGTTGTACAGAGAGGGAAAATGAGTTCTCTTACGTTTCAAGAAAGGAATGAATCCGGAACTGGGCTCAATGAAACTCGGCTGATTCTCGCTTGGTGTGTGATAGGTCTCTCGCTATTGACAAACTGTGAGACTGAATTGTAATGTTTAGCTTCTTTTCCTTCTTCTTCGTATGTTTGTGTGTGAGATAGATATAGAGAGAGAAAGTGCAACTAAGAGAAGACCTTGACTTGCACCGTATGTAGAAGCCATAAGAGCACACAGAGTATGAGAAATTGCCCAGCAGAGTCGGAGCACAGTATGAGAAATTGCCCACACCAAATAAAAAATCAAAGAGACGAAGTTGCCCAACAGAGTCGGAGAAATTTATCAGCTGATTCCGAATTCAAGGTTTTTTTTATTTATTTATTTATTTATTTTTTTTTTAATTAATTACGTGTTAATTGATTGAGACCACACCATCTAACAAATTTCCTCAATGTATCTTGCTTTCTCTCTTTTCATATTTTGTGTCTTGGTCATTCCGTAATAGATTAATAAATCGCATAAATTATATTTAAAATAAATGAGTTTAGATATTTTAATTTGCCCAAAAATTAATAAAGATCTTTACAAGATTTTACATGATGATGATGGACATATTTAGAAAATAATTCTGTTGTGTCAAAATAAATGTCCCTTTATGAACTTTTATTTTTTTAAGAGATTTATTTATTTTATTATTTTATTGTATTAGTAGTGAGTGAATTACTAAATCTATTCTTAGTGCACACTAATTTAATAGTTTACTTTTTATTAATTTATAGGTGCAATGTAATAAGGTTAGAATGCTAATATTATAAAAAATAATATATTAATTTTTTAAATGAAACACTTAATTTGGGACCGATAATAATAAAAAAGGTGGACGCTCATTTTGAGACAAAAAAAAATATTTGACATCTTGATAATCATACAAACATATCTATTTTAGTTAAATTTTTTAATTTGTTCATATAGTTCGTTTAACTATATTATTGTGAAAGTTATCAAAGACGATTATTTTAAAGTTACAAATTAAACAGAAAATTGTGTTCCACTCATTTTAACATACTATAAGGTTACATACTTTAAGTAGCCTTGTTAGGAGAAAAAAGTTGTGATGCAAATATTAATTAATTATTTTGATCAGGAAATAAAAATAAATAAATAATGACAACAATATTTAAAAAATAAATAAATAAATAAATAAATACACACTCAAGGATATGATCCTAGGAGTTTTTGACTTTTGAAGCCATAGATCGTGACTGCAATTGAGGCCGGACCACATGTAATCTTCAGGAAAACACGGTTCACCTTGCTAGCCAAGGTTTTCTCATGTCCCAACAAAATAAAATACGACTAGATACATGCATGATTTGATGTGTATACGTGGATGACTTTTATATACTCTTCTTGATTTTAAATTAAAGGTCATTTTTGAGAATTGTGACTCATTTTTAAATCAATTTATATTGAGTAAAAGTTTTTATTCGGCTAAACAATTAAATTTAAATATCATTTCTTTTGTTTGGTTATTAGCACGTACTTACACTGCTGAGTGCTGGTTCATCTTCCAATAAATTTGCTGTCACATAATTTTAACCAAGGATAGATAACCACATATTGAGCATTTCAGTTGAGCACCAATTAGTTAACTTTATTAGATTTTAGCTTTTTTTGATAGGCCTGTCATGGATTAGATTTCAATTCGAATTAATTCGGTTCAAAATTAATTTTTGTTAATCTCATAATCCATTAATGATTTGAATCCGATAATGTGTTAAATTAACAAATTAAATATAGTATGTAATTAGTGAAAAATAATATGTATAAAAAATGTTGTTTACATGTTTTATCAGTTAAGAGTATTGGAACTCTTAATTATATAAGTTTTTCTTTAATTTTTTGTTTTCAAAAAATTCTTTCCTTCCTTCTATTATTATTTTTTTTTCACTCTTTATTGTTTTTTTTTTCTTTAAATAAGAATCAAATATCTAATTTCTTCTATCTTTTCCTTTATATTTTTTTGGCCCTTCTGTCTCTTTCTCTCACTTTTTAAATTTGTTTTGAAAATTTTAACAAAAAATATGTCCTCTTAATATTTGCGTATCAAAATATTTCACACACTTGTATATGTTTCTTTTTCATTCAGCAAGAAGCATCCCAATCTGGGTCGAAGTGCTGTTTGGTAGTCACAGGAATCGGCCAAAAAAGTGCTGGTAATCACAGGGCTCACTATCTAGGGCCGAAGAGTCCCAATCTGTTATAATTAAAATAAAATAAAAAAACACCTTTGTTAGTAGAGCTATCAAAAATTTGTTGTCTAAATTTTTTTGATGAATAATGACACATTATTATCATTATAATAAGAAATTTTCATAATTAAATTATGTTTTAATTTGTTTAGTAACAATATTTTTTAAAACGAAGTCTTGCTAATTTTTTTATAATATCTTTTAATATAATGTTAACATATTTGATAATAACAACTCTATAAAAGGAGTATAATTATCTTTATAAAAAATGAAAAAAAAAATACAAAATTACATAGAATATTAATTCTTTAAAAGCTTCAAATAAGTTAGCGGAGTTAAACTTGATAACTATTAAAAACACTTTTAATGATTACCAACATATCTAAATGCAAATTTTTAAAAAAAAATAAAAGCACTTTTAAGCAGTAGAAAAGTAATCCCAAACAAGTTCCAAGTATGTTTCCAAGGCTTGTCCATATATTGTGCCTTAGGTCATGCAGTCAAGATATACTACAGGAACTCAACTAATCTGAATTAATGACCATTGCATGTTATACTTTCTTGATGGCTAGAACAATATTTGACCTGTTTATAAAGGAATTTTCTCCGATTCTAATTCCAAAGTTCCGATTAGGTGCTTCCAAACATAGAATAAGAACATATAGAATAAAAGTTCAATGTCCTACATCCATCAATTGTACAGAGCTTTACAATATCATGTACCATTATGTACTCTTTACACACCTATTTCATGCACAAGATTAGTGTAGTATTAGGCAACAACACATCATATCAAGCAAACTACAAAATAGGAGCTAACTTGTATATATTTCACTACAAAGAACTATTCAAAATGCAAACAGAGTTTTGCACTACGAGGTATGTATCCCTTGTACTCTCCAACACAGCATGTATATACAAGACATCAACTGCTACTAAACACATATCATAACAACTACAAAATAGGAGGTCACTTGTATATGTATATATATTCCTCTCTTGGAAGTTACTATAAAATATTTACTTGGTAAATCCCTTGGATAAAGCCCGGGACGGAGCAAAAGAAAGAGCCCATGCCTCTCTAAGAGTGCCGAGGCTGCATATAGAAGCTGAGCTAGCTCAAAATCATCTCGACTATATTATCATAATGCTTCTTCTGTTCACATTTCTGTTAAAGTTACCATGCTTTGGAATTGTACGGCTCTCTGTTTCCTCCATCAGCCCGCTGTTGATTAGACCCTTCAGAATGAGCTACAGAGAGTTAGTATATCGAATGGGATTTTACTTGGCATATAAAAGAATTTTTTTGTTATATGAACTAATGTAACTTAAGAGTGACGCTTGGACTATCTAGCAGTCCACTCTTTAGTGTATCACTATTGCTTCGCTTGAAGCATTGTATAACATAATTACATACTAGAAATATTTTTAGCTGCCTCGACTTATTTGAAGTGAGGCATGGGTAATCAAGCATTCCACGCTTTTTTTTTTTACTAGGCAAAGTAATTTGCATTCACAACCTACACCCTGGATAGTGATGGTACAATCATCATCTTTGCTGTACTATTATTCATAAAAAGAATGATAAATGACGAATCTATATCCTGCAGAAGCATATTGACAAACCACACAGGAAAAGCTGGGAGGGGGATTAGAGGAAAACAGAAAGGTGGTTATCCGCCAGTCATTATTAGCATTTGCAGTGTTAAAGAAAGTATAAGCATCAGAATATTTATGCCTACCAAAAAAACAAATCATAATATATATAGGAAGTACCATTAAACATAAAATTCATGTCAAAGTTTGTTCTTTCCTATATTATGTTCGTATTCAGACTTCCCTCATTCAGGTTGAATGCTTTGAGTCAAACAGTCAGAAACATGCCAGTTTCCAAACACATAACATCTTTAAGTTTCCCATCAATTGTAAGATTTTCTTTTTCTTCTACACGAAAAATTATCAGACTATGTAATCCTTGTCAAATGTGGATTGACAGATCATATAAAGAACTAAATATTCTGACAAATTTTACCCAGTTATCATCTCTCATTTTTATGAAATGGTTTTAATCATGTAATGAGTGTTTTTAATATCATACTTGTTGGGAATATTTAACTCCCATCAACCCACTCAACGGTCGGCAATTATTGAAAGTTAAATCACACGCAGCGGAAGCATTATCATCACATCATCATACAAGCACATATAGAGACAAAAATCATACACATCCACGCACAACACAATATTTTACTATTATGAATCGAGGAATAGAATATACAACCTGAGAGATTTCACTATTATGAATCAAGGAATAGAATATACAACCAGATGTCAAAATCCCACTCACTCACTCATTATCTCTTTTGAGGATACATGTATACACTCGGGAATTACATATACTTTCCCCTCTCCTCACAACATTCACCCTTAAACCCCTTACATATTTTCTCTCTTCTTTCTGTCTCTACACCTGTCAACCCATCTCTATTTATAAAGTCTTCAAACCCAATTTTTTGTTAGAAAAGTATTCCTCAACTTGCCTACAAGGAGTTACCATATCAGTCTTCAACTCTAAAATAGCTTCCACATCCAACTGGTTCAATTGGGGTTACAATCATGTCAAACTAGTTCAAGAAAAAGTTGAAATAGTTCTAAATAACTTGAACCTCTCCCAGAATACTACTTGCACACCAAATTCGAGCCACAAAACCCAACAATCTCCACCTTGGCTTGAATTCGGTCTTTTATGTGCTCCTCTATAACTCCACCTCGAATGAAGATCACTCTACCTCAAACAGAACTCCATCCATCATCCCCATTGGTGTTCAATTGCTCATGCATGGCAACCCACCAATCAATCAAATTCATCATCATCAATTGTTTTTCTAGCTCAAAGTAATAAACCTCTCTTCATTGCTCTTTATCAAGCTTAGAGCAAACCCCTTTATTCCTCACACCATACTTGGTCCATCTTGAGAACTTGCACCCACTCTCTGGCTTGTCCCCATCAACATACCTTGTGTCATCGTCAACTCTGATTGAATCTCCATATCATCTCACGACCTTCTATCATACCTTGTGTCATCATCAACTCTGATTGAATCTCCATAGCATCTCATGACTTTCTGCTCTGACAAACTCCACACCAATCTTCTGTTATGATCTTCAGGACCAACCACAGGCTCTGACCCTATTGGCTCTGATACCAGTTGTTGGGGATATTTAACTCCCTTCGATCAGCTATTATTGAAAGTTAAATCACTATTTCATCACACACAACAGAAGCATCACCATCACACAAACATATATGGAGATAACAATCATACACATCCACGCACAACATAATATTTTACATGGTTCATCCAACTCTAGGGCTACGTCCTTGGAGAGAGATTTCACCATTATGAATCAAGGAAGAGAATGTACAACCAAATGTCAAACCCACCCACTCATCTCTTTTGAGGCTGCATCTATATACTCGGGAATTACATATACTTTTCCCCCTCCAAACAACACTCACCCTTACCTTGCATCTTTTCTCTCTTCTCTCTCTCTCTCTCTCTCTCTCTCTACACCTCTCAACCTATCTCTATTTAAAGAGTCCCCAAACCCAATTCCTTGTTGGACAAGTATTCCACAACTTGCCTACAAAGATTTACCATTTCGGTCTTCAACTCTAAAATAGCAGTCGTCGAACTGGTTCAACTTTTCTTGAACTGGTTCAATTAGGGTTACAATCATGTCCAACTGGTTCAAGAAAAAATTTAACTGATTCCAAATTACTTGAACCTCTCCCAGAACATTACTTGCACACCGAATTCCAGCCACAAACCCAACAATAGCAAGGCCGCCATGATTCAACATCAACATGGTCCATAAACTTGTCAAAGAGCCTAGGAAGAATAATAAGCAGTGGAGTAGGGGCAGGCACCACAATGCAAACCCACAAAAATTGAATATAGGAGGCCTTTTGAATTTAAATGACCAATACCCACTAAATGGTGGGTCCTAAACTTAATATAGGAGGCCTTGTGTTCACTAAGGAAAACAAAAGTCCAGTCAGCTCAAAATTTTAGTTATGTCACTAATAGTACCTAATGCCCCACAAAAGGCAGGACCAGTACTATGTAGTGGCCTTTTGGCTTTTACCAATATTACAGAAGAAAATTACATGTCTTTATTCAACTGACAAAAGCAACTATTATTAATCTCTGTGTACCCAGATAACTCAGGCAAATTGTTTCAGCAAACCCAACAGTTCCATTGTTTCGTTATGGATTTATAGATTCATTTATTTATTTTAGCAAGGTAACCACTCCTATCCATTTTACTTTGTTACAAATAACAAAAAAACATGCAAAGTGTCAAATATCTTGAATTCTAAAGTTCTCACCATTGTTTATGCTAATAAAGCTTACTACTTCTTCTAGAAAGGTATGTGGTATGCAGAGTAGCAGCTAATTACCATTCCTCAAACAAAGAACTATATTGTGGTACCTGATGACTGTTCAGAGAAAATTCCCGTGAACCTGTAGCTGAGTTCCCAAGCCCATCTCCTCAGATGCCTCATCAATGTAAGTGAACCTTTCCTCTTTTACCTTCAGTAATTGCTCCTCAACCTTGGTGCCAATATTGCAATCACAAGAAGGAAGTGACACCGTTTGATTGCCCCTAACTGGGCGGAAGATTCCCCATAGGAATGGTTCTGATTTCAATACTGCAGTAACAATAACATTCAAAGACATAACTTCACGTGGGCATCATGAAGACCAATAATAATTGGGAACTTGCAAGTCTACAAGCAACCTCTTTGCAATCTCTTTCAAAATCATAATCCTCATAAATCACAGGTATTTTCTAAATTCACTTTATTGTTGCCTTGTTATTTTCTAAAACTCTTTCATCTGCGTTTAACTTTTCTTTTACAGTTTTTGCACGTGGTATGGTTGCATATTTCTCCATAATCTGTATTTCTTATTGCATTCTGGGAACAGGATAGACTACATAACAAGCAGCTGAATAGAACTACAAATTTATAACTGAACAAATTGATGCTATTGCATAGCCTAAAACATGGGCAATTCCATGACCTATTTATAGTAAATTAGAAAATTAAAACTCAGCTTCGTGATAGAGACAAGAAATTAAAAAATCATTTCTATTTAATTAGAAGAAAAGCTGAAGACACACTGTAGATCATATAAATGATAGAGCTCACCTGAAGAAACATACAGCCATTTAGAAGTGAATATCAATAACTCCACACCATTTACAGAACTCTGCTCCTTCACAACCTTTACGCAACTCCGCAGTACCAAATCTTCCTTGTCCATTCGCTGCAAGAGACGATCATACTGCTGTTTGGATCTGCAAAGGAGAAGTCTTTATGAAACAGCATATTATCTTTTACAAAATTTTCAGATCAATACCTGAGATAAGGTGCACAAGCAAACCTCTCAAAATTGCTAGGGAAAAAATACAGACCAATATCATTCTCGCAAGGGTGATCATTCTTAAAGATACTTTCCCATATATTGCAACGGGGCAGTAGTGTGGACAGCAACCATCCAGGCAATTTTTTTGAGAACTCATAAGCTTTGCGATGAACTCTTACTGGAAGATAAGACTGAAATCCATCGTAGAATTCACTACTAGAAACGGAATCAGAGATCTCAAAGCTTCCACTACAGAGTAGTACAAATTAGAACTATCAGGCATACAATATTACACATACAAATTGAAAACTTCAGCACATTCAAATAGAGAACGGAAAATCCAGAAACTGCCAATTGAATACATATCAAATTATTAAACATACAGAAAAGGTAAACTTGAAAGTACAAGTTGTTAATGCATTTCGAGTCTCCTAATGAAATGGGGGATTTTTCAAAGAGGACACTCTTTGTTAAATGGAATGACTAAGAATTTTCATGTTATGAACTTTAAAGAAGAAAACAATCAGAATCTGTGTGTTACTAGTTGCTACTCATACATAACTGAAGTAATGAACAGCCACAAATTTGTAAAGGACTTCTATTTTAATGGTCCAAGAAACTATGTGAAGTGTAATTTTGCCCTTTGGCTATGTGTAGAGAACCACATCCTTCCTCATAGTCTAAAGATATATATGATCCTAAATTGAGGGGAGTGGAGTTAAAAAAATCACTGCAGCCAACTCTAAACCTCAAGGAGAAGTCTTGGTTTAAGCTTCAATTCCTCAATCAAATACGCAGCTGAAAATATGGCTACAGTGCAAAAAGGAGAAACGTGTTAGTGTAGCCAACCACAAATTGTTAGCATAAGGCTTAGTTTCAATTTTCTTTTAGCTGACAATGTTAAACAAACAATGCTTGGGAACCAGAAGGACTGTGCCCCATAATGAGCGAGAATAGACCTCTTTTCTTTGTTTAGAATATGTTGGAAAATATAAATCAACATTAGTATATTGGAAAAATAGTACGATAAAAGAATGATAAAAAAATAAAAAATAAATCCTTTTAAGGCATCTATACACTCCAATGCATAAGAGAGATTTTTACACTTCTTAGACTAATGTTTCAACTGTGTTCTAGGGGAGGAAAAGAAAAATATAATGAACTGGGTTTACAAGAAAAAAAAAAAAAAAAAAAAAAAAAACAACTAATTTGAAATTCCGTGCAGGACACTGATAGTGATAAGGAAGATGGTGTTCATCAGGTCATCCTAAAACAATGATCAATTTTGATACAAGTATGTGCTTGAAAAAGATCGAATATGTTTATATTAGTGAACATCACACCCTACAAATGCTAAATGGGTCTGTTTCACACAAGTTGCTGGAGTTAAATTGCAAGCCAAAATATGGGCATAACTGTAAACATTAATTTCAACCTTGTTCGAATAATCTTTTTAAGAAATTATCTTGATGTCTTTTCGTTTTTTTTTCCCCTTTATCACATATGAGTACAAAATCATGATATAATAGTTTGCTCACCGCCAAGTAGCACCCGTAGCAACGTTATTTACCAGACATTTTTTGAGTTTAGGAAGCATATTCACCAGATCAGCTCTTTCAACATCATAGTGTATAGAGTTAACATCAGCGACAAATTTACCTCCTAAACAAATAAACATTCAAAAATCAGAAGATTAACTCATGCAAGTAGACAACCAGGGGATGATATTGCTCAATTGATTGCACAAACAGGTTGTATTTATAAGAGGTCAGAGATTCCCATGCCTGAATTATGAAGTGATATAGCATCCTCTGATGGTAAAGGTTCACACTTTAGCCCCTCCTGTATTTCCATACGTGGAGTTCCAACTTCTTTAGCAGGCATTAGGGAGTCCATTGGCTTTTTTTTTACAATATTCTTCTTCTTATGAGCTAGGAGAGTCCTTTTTCCTGGAACAAAAATCATATGATGTATCCATAGGATAAAAGCCTAGTTGCAGAGTAGGTGACCTAAGCATAAAATTCTGTCCAACAAATTTATGGAAGAGACAAAGCCAATGGACACCCTATAGGTGAACAGGCATACAACCTATGGGTACAAATACTTCTGGCTACTCAACATCCTCACGTCACTGAAATGAGGATGCTGAGATGGATGATAGGGGTAACTGGGTAAGTAAAAGAGATAATATTACTAATCAATATATTGGAGAGAGATTAGGTGCGACACTTATTAGTAATAAAATACAAGAAAGTACGCTTGGATGGTTTGGTCATATACAACAGAAGCCAAAAAATGCATCAGTAAGGAAAGGAACACTAGTTCAAATAGACTTACCAGGCAAACCAAATTAACTTGCAACGAGATTATATAATAGACAACAATGGAAAAAGAGAATTAATGAGACCAAGACAAGGAAGATGATGATGATGATGACACTTAGTTAAAAAAATGATTTTGAAGCATGGAAAGTTGGAAAAACCATTTTGAAGTATAGGAAGTTGGAAAAACAATTTTCAAGTATAGGAAGCTAAAAAAACGATTTCGAAAAAAAAAAAAATGATTTTGAAGTACAGGAAGTTAAAAAAACGATTTGGAAGTATAGGAATTTTTTTTGTGAAGTATGGGAAGTTAAAAAAACAACTTTGATACAATTTACAAACTGTTTTATCAAATCCTAGTCCTCATCCCTCATTGGGCCTATGATCAATTATCCACATATAAGTTTAGTATCTCCAAAGTACTTAAGAAAATGAACTGTAATTTAACATCAGGAAAAAATAATTTCCGTAGCCCAAGTTGATCTAAATTCAAATCAATTTACACATGGCACATAGAAATTCTCTGCAGAAATAATACGGAAGATGAATCTCACTCTTGAAAGTCTCTGGCATTTGAGATGCTTTTCGTCTAACTGAATTGATTGTACCTTCCGTAGGAAGAGTGTCCACTGCATCAGACTCCCGTGCAAACATTTCGTCAAGACAATCAGTACAAAACCATACTTCTGGAACTCTCTTGTGTAAGAGTTCCATGCAGTATCTGAAAATGAAGAGTAATAACAACATTTTTAAAAAAGGAGTTAAGAAAAGGTATCCAATATGGCTGATTGCATTGCAAACGGGAACTAAAGCTGGCCATTTAACAGTGGTGTCAACCAGAGCAAGACCAAGTTAATAAACCGAGACTCTTTACAAAATTAATTTAATTTTACAAGACAAAGTAATTTAAGTGATACAGGATAAATCAGACAACTTGGCCCGGAGTTACTGATCTCTCTGATTATATTGCACCACCGCAATCTCATTGCATGTGGGCTATATCAATGAACAGGGTAGGATACCACAACACCAGGTTATACTATCAAAACAGCACAGAGAATCAGAACATGCACAGTCTTACGAGTTTATGTGCACACACTCACATACGGAGGAGAGAGACAGAGAGAGAAATTGAGAGATGTTTATCGTACATATGTTCACGAGATATATTGCATTTAAAGCAAGTTGAAATCAACTCCGCAGCACCAATTGAACCACAAATATCACATACTTTGTCCTGTACAAATTGACAAGATGTAAGTTGATATACATTCATAACTCTTCAATATATTTATTTATGCTTAGGATAAATTTTACAGATCAACTTCTGGCATCAACTTCGACTTTTGAGTAGAACTTGTTCATTTACTTTGGTGTCCAAAGTCCATATATTTAATTGGTTTGTTAGGGAAAGTGTGCTTGTATTAGGAGGGGCAGCTTGTAAGCAGTCTGACGAAGTATAACATACAGCTTTTATTGATGTATAGAAATGGTTTCGAGAACAAGAAATATGAGAATTTATCAGTTTAAGCCAAGTAAAGATTTGCTATGAAGCTAATAGTTAGATGATTTTCTGTAATCAAATTATAAAAACTATTCATACAGAATAACATAAATAAAAAAATAAAAAAATAAAAAACATGGGATACAAAGAGTATTTATTCCCGAAATTGTGTGATTATGCAACAAAAAACATGACAAGGAGACGGATATTAGTAAAAGTCAACAAAATAACTCCATGAAGCAAGAAGCAAATTTAGTTGTAAAAGGATCATCGCTGTTTTGACACCAACAAATTAAAGCGAAAGGGGAAAAATTGGAATGTAACATTGCAAATGTTATCTTACAACAAATTTAAAATCACTTTCCTTGGGCTATAGACATTCACAGGACCACCAGACATGTAAGTCTTAATCCTTAGGTTAGAGAAATGAGTGCTACAAGGAATTATTTAGAGTCTCGCCAAAAATAGCTTCAAGAGGTAAACCAGTAATGCCAACTTGAGTTCTAAGAGAAGTACACTTTGAATTATATATGTATTACATTATCCATAAATTCTGAAAAAGTAATATTAAGTTCTAATAAATGATTGGGGATATTAAAGTGATGCTATCCACATTTTTGTTTTCAGTTAAAAATCTTAGCACCAGTGATTGCATGCAAGATCAGTAAAATATATGCAGAATGGTATATTTCAATAAATGGAAAATCAGCACTTAAAGATTATGAGCATCAATTGCAACGATTCAATAGACAGCTCATTGGGATAGATGTAGATGGCCAATACCCTCCTAGAACTGTATAGAAAGTTTTCTCCTCATACGGCTTGAGAAAAAATGATTCGAAGTTATTTTGATGTATAGAATTACAGTATAGAATTCAAATGGTAAATGAGCCATAAAATCATCAAATCAATTAGGGTATGATTTAAGTCCTTTTTTTATCCTTCCTTCCTGAAAAAGAAAAAATCATTTGTACTCATAACTCAAGTAGGATAACTCTCAAATAGCTCAAAGAAAAATCTTTAGGCATTTATTTCATTATTGAGTGGTCTCTAACCCCCCTTTTTTGTTTGTCTCATTCAAAAACAATTTTAACTCTTCATTCTGATACAGTTATTGAGACCATTCAAACAGTGTTTCCTTGTTTTGGGATCCTTTATCCTTGTTTTGAATCATTGGGTTTAGACATTACTTCAGTGATGCTTAATCCTTTCAAAAAGGTAGCAACATACCCTTTTTGTGATTTCTTTCTATCAATGCAAAAAATATAATTAGAAAACAAACATGAAAAGATTTACTAATTACAGGAAATGAGAAACATGGTTAATTCAAAACACAGGCCATAATATGAGAATTTTTTTTGTAAATTTGAATATCAATGCAGCATAGATGATAGAATCATATCTCATATCAAGGAGGCATAGCGACTTTCCTTTTGATAAGTGACTACTGGAATACATGTCTCCAAATTGGCATCATATATACAAGGACACTCGATCGTGAATAAGGATTAGAGTTTTTTACTTCTTTGGCAATCGTCAATACCTCACCCCAAAACATACTACCATGCATAAAGGAGACGCCAGGCATCACCAAATTAATGCTAATGAAAGGAGTTGAAGTCCCAATCTCCACAGTGGAGAAGAAAACAAAATACCATACATAGCAAAGGACAACCCTAACACATTTTCTAATTTGTATCCAATGAATTTCAGATCATCTCCAGAGAAGCTGGTTAATTTTTACTTCTTTTGTTCTAGGAAGGATGCACGCAAGTTCGTTCCTCTTTCCATAAATTGATGCTTCATAGTAGATATCCACTAAGTTTGCCCTTTACCACACCATGTTCTAGTTGTCAGAGAAGCTCAACTCTAGTCCTTACAAATATATACTTTTTTGTGGAAGATTGAGAATCGCATTAAAGGTAAATGCAAGAAAATAGTATTTACTAAATTAAAAGCATCCATCAGCTTCTAAGAAAACTCGGTTACATATATATATATATATATTCGTTTGTGATACAATCAGACACATAAACATATATATAACATTATATATACGAATATTTGTAACAAGAAAGTCATACAAATAACCCAACTGGTTCCAGAACATGTAATTAACAGATTAAGCATCCAGTGAAAATGTCAGAGACTGAAGAAAGAAAATGTTAACCACGAAGAGAGAGAGAGGAATGTCAAGAATCGTCAATGCAAGCAACAGAAAACATTAATCTATTATTTGAATAGACGGCAACTATGTAAAACACATGCAGACACATAAACAATGAATATATAAACATATATATATATTATAGAATTGAAAACATCAAGAAATTTAAGAGCAAAGAAAGAAAAGGCCATTATCAAACTTGGATAACATATAATAAAAAAATCACCTGAATTTTTTTTTTTCCCAGAGCAAAGCCAAAATAGAAATGCCCTAACAGGGTTTTGTTTTTCCTTTACGAAATTTCATTGCAAAGAAATCAAAATTGCAGTGTATAATATAGTGAACCAGTTACAGTGAATCACTAGTGAAAAAATGAGAATGAGGAATAAGGGCATTTGAGGTCATTAATTTACCATTTTGGTGTCTTTGTCGCTTGATTTTGGCAATTCATCAACTACTGTCAATCTTTTTCTTTACTTTTTGTTCTTCAAATGGAGGCTAGAGAAAGAGAGAGAGAGAGAGAGAGAGCACTCTGCTTGTATATGTATTGCGTGTGTGTATATAATATTTTGTATGTATACAATATGCACCCTTGGACAATTCTACAGACACACGTGGCACATGGGACCATTCATCTCTCGGGAATCTACCCGGCTCACCTTTCCAGGTTGGTTTTCCTAACCATGGTTCTAGGACCCACGGTCCGTTTCCTAATTCAAAACGTTGATAGAGATATTTTTAGGATTTCTCTTACGTAATCATTTTTCTTCCATTGGGATGATTTTTTTATTATTTTTTGCTTTATTGGAGGTAGTTGGACCACACACCAAGAAAGGGTATAAAAAATAAATGCATTTTATGATGCTAGTTAGCTCCAATTAATTAACTGAATAAATCACACGAGGGCAGAAAATATTGGATCCTACCACAGTTATTGTTATTTTTTTTTTCCCCCAACTATTGTTAGTTTAATTCAATAAAAATACACATCATCTTGTTTATAGTAGTTTTTTTTATATGTAAATGGAATGGAATAAATTTTATTAAATGGTGCACTTTCATGATGTGATAAGCATACACTCAAAATCGTAGCTATCTTCATTAATTACGTTTCTCTAAACTTTATAAGACATTAAAAATATAAATTTTTAAGAGAAGAATGTCTTTTTTAGCTTTTTCTTCTAAATATAGTCCTTTCATCTCACAAAAGGTGTCCACAACTTCTCTTTTTATTGTCCAAAATAATTGTCTCAATATAAAATTTAATGTATTATTTCTTTAATATTTTTAATTTATCTTTTTTTTGGTGAAGTTATAAAAGTAATTAAAGTTTGATATACCAATGTCTTATTAAAGTTAATATGACTTTATATTCATTGCAATTGTTTCAACAATGTCGTGGTGCAACAAATGACTGCAAACACTCCACCACCAAAGCAAAGTATACTTATAAAGGCTATAATAGAATTTAAAAAATTGCTATATGTGCTTTGGTTGAATATTTATAGCCATTGTTGCACCACGCCATTGGTAGCCGTAAATAATTTCTCCACATGGACCAATCATAAAATGATATATTTGAAAATTTAATCACTACACCCTTAAAAGGTTAGGTTCCCAAAAACAGACATTTTTTTTATGGGACAAAGAGTATATAATCTATTCTTTACTAATCAAACCATCATTATTGTATATAAGTATAAAGGTGTGGTAGTGCTGCCCGAATGGAAAGGTGTTCCCAACTCCATGGTCCCTTAATGTTATAAGGTGAGACTTGTCATACATCAGATCCGGATAGAAAATGAAATGGACACCTGAATATGTTTAAGTGGAAAATAATGTTATAAGAGGAGCCTTATCCCACATTGAATCCAAATGGAAAGTGAAATGAGTACATGTATGTATATATATTTTTGACTTTCTTGGATATATATATATATATATATGTATGTATCTATCAAGTGAGGAAAGAAAAGAATGGATTAAAATGATAATTTTATCCAAAAAAAAAAAAAAAATTACTATTTTTAACCTCTGACTTGTAATTAACGAACCCGTAATTAACGAACCCTTATCAATATATATATCTTTATGATTTCATAATACTTGTGTGTAGAGTAGGATCATTAGGATGGATCCTGTTTGCTGGTTTTCTTTTTCTTTTCTTTTTTTTTTTTTATAAGATAATTCTCGTTATTTTCTAGATACCAAAGTCTTAATACATTCTTGTGTACTTGTGTGTATATATACATGAGTATGGGTAAAATACAATGAAACTCCCTTCAAGTTTGTCATATTACCAATTTTATATAAGTTGGTTATTTTTTTTTGGACAATAATACCCTTTGAAGTTTGAAAAAATTGATAAAAACATTCCTGTAGCCACCTGCCACATATGACACATGAAGAATTGACCAACTTGTCATTTAACCTTTTAGTGAACCTTTTAACATTAAAACTTAATGGATTGGATCAATCTACCTATCATTAACATTCGATGCAAAAAAAATGAGTTAGAGAAAAAATCTGCTTAGCAATGCAATAAATAAAAAATTCATAGAATATTCGTTTAAAATCGAGACAAAGCAAACGAAAATGTTTTGGAAACTACTCATGGAAGTATAAAACTGGAATTTTGGTGATGATCCGATGTCCAGAATGCTATAAAATAAATAACTTAAAAACCTGATTTCAAAAAGTGGAAAATTTAAGACAACAGCTGTTGTTGAATTTTTATAAAAATATCTGTTAGGTCAAAAATTAGAATTTTTTTCAAAGAGTAACTAGACATGTAGAGAAAGCTTTGGTAAAAATTTCATAGCAATCGGAATATTACAATACCTTGGAGAAATTAATGAATTTTAATAAATTGGCGAACTCAAGGGTAATTTCGACATTTCAAAATGCATGATATTTTACAATAAAACTGATTTTAATATTAAAGGGCAATTTCGTCCTTTCAAACCATTTAAAGCCTTATTTGGATGACAATTATGCTGTCATTGTCCAAAAAAAAAATAATCAACTTGTACTTGTCCGGGGTCATTGTACTTTACCTTATACATTATATACCACTTTAAAACTCATCCTGAGATCAAAATTTAAAAAATTATGAAAAAATTTAATTTTAAATCAATTTTTAAATAAAAAATCAATGACACCATGTATACCTAAAACTATCCTTGCTTAACTAGGAAACTTGAGATCTCCTCCCCTGTCCATAAAGAAAAGAACCTAATCTTTCTGTAAATTCAATCATATTTGCAAGCTTAGTTCAAAAGATTATATATCACCGGAATGATTTCTAGTTCTATATGTTAAACTCCGCAAGTAACATGACATTTGAAATTTTGTCAAACCAATTAGCCGTTTTTGGTTCATTTCTCTTTACTTCTTGTACATTCTCTTGTTATAGTAATATATTTATGTTGAAGGTGGTTTGTGAATGGGATTAGAAGATCGTTCCACGTAAGTCAAGAATTTTGAGAACTTAAGCAAAATTGGATTTTGATTCTTAGTTCTAAAAATTTATTATTGACAGGCTACAACAATTGTGCCTATTAAAGCAACTAAAAGAATTATTGAAATGAGTTCAAATGGAAGAAAAAAATCTGTTAATAAATGAATCTCAATTTGTTGACTATTATTTATCAAATCTTGTTCTAGAATCTGGTTTGAACTTGTAGTCCAAAAACCAACAAAACGATATTGAAGAAGAGTATCCGGAATCACATATGAGGGATTCTCCGACTATAGAGGTTAAGAAAGGGAAGGCCGACTCCGGTACCATATGAGCTCGAGCTTATCAGATAATAGCTATTAATGTGGGTTGTTGTTGTCTTAAATGCTGATTAACACCCCTATTTATAGTGTTTTCCTCTTCGGTTAATATCTTTTAGTTCTTTGAATAAACTCACTCTTACCCAAAGGTTCGAGGGTCTCTCCTTCTGACGGAAAAGACATTTGACGGATGGTTCGCCATGCTTTACCCCTTGGTTAAAGGGGGTAATGGCGCTTCTTAATTAATATGGGTCCTATCAGACATCTTTCGTAATTAATACGTCTTTTATTCTTGTTCGAGTTCGGATACCGAGTATCCTTTCCCCCTCGTGCCGTCCTCGAGCCGAGGCGAGCCTTTAGATTTCAGCCACCTATCCACATGTTCTCATATTCCCGTCCTTCAGAAGAAATAGATCCCTTTCAAGATACTGCCTTCATGATCTCGCGGAATTCTATCCCAATTTCATCCCGAAGCTTCCATATCCGAAAAAAAGGGCATGCAAAGCAGATTAGCAAGGGCCGCTCTTTCAGAGAGCGTCCTCGAACGAGCAAGGGGAGAAGGCCCATCCGACTGGAGCGGGATGCGTTCACAGTAGAGGAAAGGTAGCGACCCCTTCTTCGGCCAGTGAGTTCAGTTATTAGATAGATAGCTCGAGAATACCTAATTTACCGTGGGCATGTCAGGTAGACGCTGGCCAGTCGTGCCTATTTTGCAAAGGTGGCACCACTTCAGCAACTTGGTGCGGTCATCGACGATTTACATATCAGCTAAACCATGTAATTGAAAACTTAAGACTCGTGATCCGATGACATGTTCAAAAATCTCTGTCAAAATTCGTCTTTTAAATAGTCCAAGTTGGCATAGAAGAGAGATGTTAAAAAAAAAAATCTGAATCAGAACTTTCAAAATGACAGCAAAATAAAACATTTTCAGGCAAAATAAAAGATGCGAAAACTTTATAAAGAGAAAAACCAGTTACAAAGTAGCTTCAACGGGGGAAGAAGCCTAGTAACTGATCACACTTGGAAACATTAAACATACAAATGTCACAAAACCACAAGAAACATGTGTGACATTCTTTGAGTAGTGCCCATCATCAACATACTATTTACTCATCCATTTCATCCTCATCATCTATTTCCTCTATCTTCATCTTCTTCACTGCCTGGGCAGCATCGCTCCTAGGGCCATTAGGAAGTTCAATTAGTATGTCCGACTTCTGTCCAGTCGCAGCATTCACAAGCCCTCCATTCTTTTCGACCCGATACGTTAATTCTTTCCTATTGTATGCAACATCTACGAAGACAGTTGTGTTCTCATCAATCTCCCCTCTCACAAGCATTTTCGATAACTCGGTCACCACCCTTTTCTCCAGCCATCTCCTGATGGGCCTTGCACCGTAGACCTAGACACAAAAAGTCCAAATGGGTAAGCCCCTCATACAATTCTAGCAAGTAAAACAACATGTAAACCCTTGAAGGATAATAATACTTACTGGGTCATAACTCTCAGCTAGTATAACATCCAATGCAGCCTCAGTGACACCTAAGGCAATACCTCTCTCTGCAAGGCGCTTTGCGACATCCTTCATTTGTAGCCTGGCAACCTTCTTCAGTTGTTCATGAGAAAGAGGATCAAAAACTACAATTTCGTCCAGCCGATTTAGTAACTCCGGCTTGAAGTGGTGCTTCACCTGTCACAAATCCCACATCAATAACAAGTCTATACATTCTAACCTTAAAGACAAAATTGTGGAAATCATTTTCCACAAGTGCTCGAAGTGTTATAAAAAAAGACAATACTAGTTTACCTCCTGCATCACCCTCTCGCGAGCATTCACCATTGAAGCCTTCCCCATTAGTCCTGCTAACAGATGCTCAGCTCCAAGGTTCGAGGTCATAATGATCACTGTATTGGTGAAGTCAACGGTTCGACCTTGGCCATCTGTCAACCTTCCATCATCCAAAACCTGAAGCAGGGTGTTAGAAACAGAAGGGTGCGCTTTCTCTACTTCATCAAACAGTATGACGCTATAAGGCCGCCTTCTCACAGCTTCTGTGAGTTGCCCACCCTCCTCGTGTCCAACGTACCTGAGAATATTCAAACCCCATTAAGCAATCATAGTTTCAATAACATATACAACAAAGGTGACACTTCAGAATACAATGCGCTTACCCAGGTGGTGAACCAATTAAGCGGGCAACTGAATGCTGCTCCATATATTCACCCATGTCAATCCTGATCATCAACTTTTCATCATCAAATAGCTGCTCGGCGAGGGCCTTAGCCAGCTCAGTCTTTCCAACCCCAGTTGGGCCCAAGAAGAGGAATGAACCAGTTGGCTGCTGTGCCCTCCCCAACCCAGCTCTTGACCTCAACACAGCTTCAGCAACAGCATTAACTGCGTGATCCTGACCTACCACTCTTTGATGCAACCTCTCAGCAAGGCCAATCAACCTCTCTTTCTCATTCTGGCCAAGCCTTGTTACTGGTATTCCAGTCCAGCGACAAACAACTTCAGCAATCTGTTCCGGTCCAACAGTCTCTGTTAGCATTAAATTTTCTTCTGTGTTCCCTTCAAGCTTTGCTATCGCAGCCTCCACTTCCTGAATTGCACCGTATTGCAAGTCTGCAGCTCTAGCTAAATCATACCTCCTTTGGGCCTCCTGTAAAGCAATCAGGAGCTCTTCACGCTTCTGTTTGAGTCTGCGTAACTCATCAATCCTTTCTTTCTCCTTTCTGTATCTCATAATCAAAGGCTGAAGCTTGTCCCTCAAATCATCAAGTTCCTTTTTCACCTGACATAGTGGTTAGAATTTTAGTTCAAAATGGAAAAGGTAAGAAGTATATATTTTGTTATTGACCATTAACAAGTGTCCTGAATAGCCCATTAAACGACATGATACTTACTTCTACAAGCCGCGCTTTACTAGCTTTGTCTTTCTCTTTTTCAAGAGCATGAAGTTCAACTTCCAACTGAATTCTCCTCCTTTCAAGATTGTCAATTTCTTCAGGCTGGCTATCAAGTTGAACCCTTATATTTGCACAAGCCTCATCCACAAGGTCAATTGCCTTGTCTGGAAGATGCCGCCCTGAATGAAGAACAACACATGCTCATCAATCAGTATCTAAATTTCTCATTTAAGAATTAATAAACCCAGAGTAACATTCATAAAATCAAGTAGAAAATAGTAACATTGAAATTGAAACATCAAATTCTGCTTACCAGTAATATATCGAGCCGACAGCTGTGCAGCAACAACAAGTGCTCTATCCTGAATCCGAACACCATGATGGCCTTCATACCTCTCTTTCAGCCCACGAAGAATACTTATGGTGTCGGGAACACTTGGTTCAGCTACATAAACTTGCTGGAACCGCCTCTCAAACGCGGCATCTTTTTCCACGTACTTCCTGTACTCTTCAAGAGTTGTGGCACCAATGCACCGAAGTTGGCCCCTAGCAAGCATTGGCTTGAAAAGGTTGGCAGCATCCATGGACCCCTCTGTTCGACCAGCTCCTAGAACAAGATGGATTTCATCAATGAACAGGATTACTTTTCCTTGAGCATCTTCTACTTCCTTCAGCACAGCTTTCAGCCGCTCCTCAAACTCTCCTCTGTATTTGGCGCCGGCAATCAAAGCCCCCATATCCAATGCTATGAGCTTAACATCAGCAAGATTACTTGGAATATCCCCTCTAACAATCCTCTGAGCCAACCCTTCAACAACCGCAGTTTTACCCACACCAGGCTCTCCAATAAGAACAGGATTGTTCTTGGTTCTTCTCGAAAGAATCCTAATTACCCTCCTAATCTCTTCATCCCTACCAATGACTGGATCGAGCTTTCCAGCTTGCTCCACAAGGTCACGCCCATAAGTGGTCAGAGCTTGAAATGTGGTATCCCCAGTAGCACTTTCCACCTTCCTACCCTCCTTCCCACGAAGTTTCTCAACCTCTGATTTCACCCTTGCTACACTGATTCCAGCTTCTTTGAGAAGATCTCCAATTTGGGAATCTTCCAAAAGTCCGAGAATCAATTGATCAACCGCTAAATGTGTATCACCGCGGGACTTCTGGGCTGATTGTGCTCGTCTAATCACTTTGATTAGAGTAGTGCTGGCAGGTATTTCATCAGGGGGTGGAGTTTGAGATGGTAGTTTCTTAATTGCCTGATTGAGAACCCTCTCAACCGATTTTGCGGCCTCTTCACCGCCACCAGCATTGACTAATGATTGCCGAAAGATGCCATTGGGATCGGAGTTTAATACTGCAGCCATATGGAGTGGAGTGAACTGAGCATGTCCAGAGTTCATCGCCAATTCATGAGCCCCAGCAATGGCTTCATTGGTCTTGTGGGTAAATTTGTCTGGATTCATGGTTGATATTGATGCCTACAGAAAAAACTGTGATGAAAGCATAGGTAAGTCTCATATTTTAAATGAGCAGTTCAATTGACCGATCAAAACCATGACCACAACCCTGAACCAAAAGACAACACACAGAACATATAAATGACCCAAATAAATAAATAAATAAAAACACAATTCAAGCGAGTAACTCGTCAATAACTACCAAGTAGCAACTACTACAAGACTTGTAAGACCATTCATCAAGTACCCAACTCAGTTTATCACATTCAAATAAAAATAAAGATTTTGGAAAATTTATTGACCATTAAGTTTTTAAGCAAAGGCCAAGGAATATTTTTAAGACAAGCACCACGAAACCAACAAGAAACAAGACAGAATAACAAGGACAACCCACACAAGAACACAAAGATTTACATGGTTCGGTGTAAGTGAGGATCCAACAAAAGATTTCACCGAAGGGTTTTAAAGCCAGATTCATGACCCACAAGAGAAAACGGGTCATAACCCTGTGCCGCAGGGTCGCACGTCACAAATACAATACAAAACCAGAAGCTGCGATGATATATCACACAAATACAAAACTGTACATGCTATATATATATATGTGGCCAAATTCAAGGCAAAAACCAGTGGATACATAAATAGGTACCAAATGCATTATAAGATCAAAACTTAATTTTGAAAAGGGGAAAAAACTATAAAAATAATAAAATAAAAAAATAGTAGTTTCACGATCACCAAAACCAGTACATAGATATATTATGTGTCGAAAAAATCAATTACAACCCAATTGATTTTCAAGATCAAAATCAACAACGAAAGACAATCCCCGAGAACTTGTAACCAAAACTTTGAAACAAAAGCAAAATCACATAAAACAGAACCATTGGCGACACTGAAGCAGTGTTATCTCTAATTTAGAAAGACCAACACATATCAATGACTAAAATTCATGATAACCGAGGGTATCTGAAGAAAAACTGGACAAACCCGCAAACTGAACACAGAAATCAAGTTGTATCTGCATCCATATACAAATATAGACACATGCATATGCACATATAAACATTTATACATATATACATATATATATTTATAATCGTGTTTGTACAGAGGGAAAAAGAGCTCATACCTTTCGAGAAACGAATGGATCGAAATGGGTTCGATGGAAGTCGGTTGATTTTCACTTGTGTGTGATCTGCCCTTCGCTGTTGACAAACTGTGACTGAATTGTGATCTTATCCTCTTTTCCTTCTTCTTTGTGTGTGTTTTTGCAGATGGATATAGAGAGAGAAAGTGCAAGTTATATAATGTGGAAGGGGAGTGAGAGAGAGGGGGTTCTTAAGTTAAGCGAAGAGAGACATCTGGAAACTGCAAGGTGAGTCTGGAACCTACTAGAGTCTGTCTTATTATACTCAAACAGGGATTTAAATATTTACATTTTTATTTTCTGTTATAAAAAAACATTTTATTTTAAAGAAGGAAGTTCCTAGATTGACCTCGAAACCCCTCCCATACTCTCTACCTACTGAGATTGCATACACGCTCCAATTCTCTTTTTTATTTTGTTGTAATTTACTAATTAGATTGAATAAGTTGATGGACTATCCAGAGGACTAAAGTCTAACCGGGACATATTTGTCTAAATTTATGTTAGCTTGCTTCAATTGGACTCGAATTACAGAAGAAAAAAATAAAAAATAAAATTCTTAAACACGTCAAGATGTGAATTTGACCGACACTCATGAATTAGTTTTAATTTCATGTCCTAATTGAATGAGGAAGGTCCTATTATGAGACTAATTTAAAATATATTAAAATTCGATATGAGTCTTTGTATATATATTTTAATCTGAAATAGAAATAATATTTTTATTTTGAAGTAAATTTAATACAATTTGAAAACAAGTTTTGAAGTATATTTGTTACAAATTTTTGAAAGCAAAAATATGAAAACATATTTAGTAATAAGTGTTATAAGTTTAAAAATTTAAATTGATAGTTAAAAATGTCATTTTAGAGTTTTTTTTTTGAAATAGTGCTTTTGTTACAGTGTGAAAGCAACTAGAAGTATCAATTTTTTCTTACGGTTTTGACTTTTTTTTTTTTAAAACATTTCAATACTATTCAAATAGTAGCCAACTTTACCAAACACACTTCTTGTTTTTACTTTGTTACAGTACATTAACAAAAATAAAAAATATTAAGAAGAAATTATTACTAAAAAGGACTTAGTGTTACACTAAATCCTTAACCAGTGAAAATAATTTTGATTGCAACTCTTGGCCCCACGTCTTCTAAAAGTCTTAAAATTTGATTTTTTCTACTTATTTTATTATTTTCTCCATAAAAGTTAAAAAATAAAAAATAATAATAATAATAATAATAAATCGAGGTTCTCTAAAAATAAAAATAGATTTATTAAATTTTTTGCCCTTTTGCAAAGAAGACAAATAATATACTCAGCGCGTATAACTGCTCTACTTGTAAATTTACAATAGTTCTCTAAAAAAAAATTGCCAAGAAGACAAAAAAATATAGATATAATTCAGCGCGTGGTTCACGCTCTTCAATAACAGAATCAAAATACAAAAATCCAGAACGCTGGCCATCAACATCATTCGATATGGGACATACGTCGAGTGCCATACCCTCATTATATACCTTCATTTTTCCCAAAACGCGCTGAGTATAAAATTGTATAACCCTTTTTGTGGTACGTTTCTGGACATTATTCTTTTTTTTTTTATTTTTTTTTTTTTATTTTTTTTGTTAGGTAAATTACACTCACCCCATGTAGTTTAATGGTATTACACCTAGAATAAATTTTTGATTTTACATTTTACTTATATTTGAATGAGTTATTAAGTATTTCACTCACTCTCCAAATATTAATTTTTGATTGAATCACAATACTTTTGAGATATTAAATGATTGTATTACCCTTCAACCTCGCATTGACTTTTTTTGTGACCAAAATACCCCTCGCAATCACACTGCCTCTCTCTTGTCATGAATCTTCTGTTTCTCATTTTGACCTCAGATATGTGTGTAGGACGATGCCTATACTACCCGATGACATTTTGTTTCTTTTGTTGGTTGAAATTGTTGCACTCAAAAGGAATATTCATTAGTTAGTATCAATTATTTTGGCTGAGTTCTCTCCACAACCCGTCTTCATCCTTGCCGTTCCATCCCGCCGTGCACCGCCGCCCGTCCACGGCTGCGCCACCGTTCCGAAGCTCACTGTCGCAGTTCATCCCAAGCCGGCGTTCATCCATCGGCCGCGTGTCCACCGGCATTCCGTGCTATCAGGCCGTCGTCCACTGCCGTTTCAGCCATCTTTTCCGCTTCTTTCGCTGCAGAAGAAGTTGGGATTTTCGCCGGCGATGTGAATCTGTGGTCGCCGATTCACTTCCCCACCCTCGCCGGCAGACTCTCCACCGATCCCTACGGCCATGTTCAAATCCTCTGCAACGATGCCGGCGTCGAATTCGTTCAGGCCCGAGCCAAACACCTCTTCATCGACGACATTCTAGCCCCTCTAGACGTACCCAATTTATTCAAACAGTTCTTAACCTTTTACAACACTCTCAGCTACGCTGGCCACTATAAGCCGTTGACCGCCGTCAAGGTCACTGAACTCGGCGACGGCGTCTTCATCGGATGCACCATCAACCACTTCCTTCTGGAATTTCTTTAACACCTTCGCGGATGGTGGAAGGTGCAGACAGAAAGGAAAATCGCAGATCGATAAGGATGGGTTTTGGGGGTGGGTTTTGCAGCAGATCGATTCGCGATGAGGGTGGGTTTTTGCTTGGTAGATTTTGGGTGATGGGTTAATGGTGGTGGTTGTAAGGATGGAAGTGGGGTTGGTGGCAGTGGTTTGGGATATGTGGTGATGGATGTCTGGGGGATGGAGATGGTGGCAGTGGTTTGGGATAGGTGGTGGTGGATGTAGGCTGTACACGAACTGGTGCATCTGATGGAGCCAGAGATGGTAGCGGTTGTGTGGGGGTAGGGATAGGGATTTTTTTGTCATTTAAAATTATATATATTTTGTATTAAAAAATTAAAGGTAAAATGGTCCATTCACATAATAGGAGTGTAAGTGAAAGTTAAAACCAAAATTCATCTAGCTAAAAAATGACCTAACTGGGTGTCGATGTAATTTATCCTTTCTACCGAGTATTAAATTAAAAATTGTTGCAATTTTTATTAAATAAATAAATAAATAAAAATAAGATAGAAAAGCTGTTTAGTTGTAAAATATATATTTTTTTTAAAAAATATTAAAATTTAACAAAAATAATTTATCCATCAATTTTCTATCCCGCCCAATGATGAACTCGACGTATATTTTTATCCAACACTGACACATAAAAATAAAAGAATATTTTACTCAAAAATAAAAAATATTTACTAAAAAAAATATTTTCAATCGAAACAAACTGAGCCTAATTTAACCAATACCCAATCAATCAGAGACCATAAATGAACAATAATGTTCCAATTTTCTGAAGGGAAAAGATATTCACAAAGTTGTTGTACTGTTATGTACTAACAAGGAAATCAACATGGGTCCAACATAAAAGGGACCATTGTTAGGTTTTTCGACGAGGATTTTTTTTTTCTTCAGTGAATAAGAATGAACGAGGAAAACAAGCAAGTTATTTTTTCTAGCAAGAAAATCACACACTCACAAGTCCCTATGAAGATTTGAACTCTTGATCTTTCCCTTTGAAAGGTAAGAAAAATGAAGCAAGTTCTACATGCTTTGATAATTGTTCTAGTTGACAAGCTATCAAATATGTGCGTGTATATAGAGAGGTAATAAATTGATCGCATGAAAAATCCAACGCAGCTTAACCACGAAAAACACTAACCATTCAAAATTATGAAATTTGTGCATGCATAAAATTGAGAAAATTTTAGGATCTCAGTAAAGCATTTATAAGCAAAACATATACATTATTAGGAACTGGACAATTCATTTTTCTCTTAATGATAGGATAAGGATCCATGAAATAACACTAGCAATCTCCATGTCTGCCGCTGTAACTTTAAAATCAATGTATGAGGAGCATCCAATCTGTATGTCGAACACATGCACATCAAAGATATACTTTTCCTGCAAAAAACAATTTTTTTAAAAAATTAGTTTAAATTAAATTTTTGACATATGATGCTAATAAAATAGACATCTTCATCCCAATAATCCATTCATAAAGAAGATATAAACACAGAAGACCCATTCTCCATATAGACTACAAGAACCACGTCAAATAATCATTAGGACTAACAGAATGAGAAAATTGTCATTGCTGGAAACAAATAAGTTGAAGGTACAAACCACAAGCGCAGAAAACGCCAATGAGAGGTAGCACACACGCTACAAGAGCTTGACACTTCCAAACGTACTTAAGAAGAGCGATTTAAAGTTCGAATGTTCAGGATTCCTTTTCTAATAAAACCGAATTTCTATACAGAGTTCACGCTCACAAAATGTATGATCATTTTACAGATATCTTGAATCACGCGACTAGCTAATGATCTTCATTATCAATATTCATGTTATTTAGCTAAACACACAGGTCAAAGACTGGCATACTAATAGCAAACAATATTTAACTAGATACAAACAATGAACTTAAAGAAAAAGTATTTTTCTAAGTTCTAGATTCTTCCCTAGTTTCTAGTTCCTGCACATGCTCATAAACACCATCTATGAACTTAAAAGTGTTCTAGTAGCAATGCTCAAAACACTAGCAAACAGCTTATGCTGATATTACGAAAATAACTACCAGCCTCTACAGGTAAATGATGCGAGAGGAAATGAGGAATACAAGAATTTTGACAAACAAAGCTAAGATTGCAGTTAATCATAAATAATGTGAAAAAAAAAAAAAAAAAAAAAGAACAAAGCAAATTTATTAGTTCATTTGATAAATAATGTGAAAAATGACCAATGGCGTTGTAGCCTAGTGGTATCTCCTTTACCTCTCAACGTGAGAGGTGAGGGTTCAAGTGCCCCATAGGGACAAACGGGGTGTGAGTTTCTTGCCAAGGAAAAAATAATAATGTGGAAAATGATGAGAAACAAATATCAGAATGAGAATCCCTGAACACAAATAAATATGTTCGAAAATGAATTAGAAAGGAAAAACTAATAAATCATACTTAAACATAAGAGCACATGTACATCGCTAAACTAGCCATTTTGTAAGTAAAAATTTCTAGAAATTAAAATTATTTAGAAATAAATTTCATATAAATGAATGACATGCAATATAACTGATTCAAGTATGCTTAATACAAAATTTGCAAGCAATCGAATATTGTTATGAACTTTCATAGATTTTCTAGTGTCACAATGAAACTAGCACAAGATAACATGCCATATGGCCCACAACCTCTGATTTCCAAGTTTATTTTTGCAACTTTGGTACAGAGGTTAATGCATATCCAAACAATTCTGTGATATCAAATAATTACCAAAAAGAAAAAGAAAAATTGAAAAAAAAAAAATATATATGTATTATGGTGCATTTAATATTTACTCTAAAACAAGTAATTTACAAGCAGTATGCATATAGGAAAGTGCTAACAATTGTAGGACAAATATTTATTCTTAAAGATGAGGTATATGCACGGTACTCACTCATCTTGTATTCAGTCTGAAGCATATTTCACTCCTCATCACTATCATAAACAATTGCCATTCGTCGATGGGGGGCAGCCTTTCTTGGAGGAGAGTCCTCATCTGACTCGATCTCGCTGCGCTTGAGACCACCTCTCGACTCCTTAGGCTTTTGTTTCGGCTCCTGCAAGAATTCCAGAAGGAAGAGGAATAAATTGTCAAATATTGTTTACTAATACAATGTATCAAATTTATAAGCTATTCTAGGGATATAAATTACAAAATCAACTGAAATATATCCATATCCACCAATTATTGACTAAACATTGTAAGAAATGCAACCTGACTGAATCATTGTAACCAGCTAGTGAATGTATTATCTTATTCATTCATTTTTCACTATTGCCATAACCATCAATCATTATCTTATCTAATTTTCCGATGCATGACAGTTGATATCCCTAACCACTTCTATCTTTATTTTTATTTTTTCACTCTTAGTCCATTGCGGCTTCAGAGCATTAGCACCAAAGCTTGCTCTGATCTCTAATGGGCAAGAGCTTCCCTTGCTTCCTGCATGGGGACTTCTGTAATGGAATATTCAAGGCAACCCAACAAAACAAGCCCAACCCAAGCAATTAAAAAACCATTGCTACCAACAGGCCAGTGGCCTAGCGGTATCAGCTTCTTACTTCCCAAGGGAGGTCAGGGGTTCAAGTCTCAGAAAAAACAAGTATGCGTGAGTACCAACTAGGAAAAAAAAAAAAAAAAACCATTGGTGCAACAGCAATTGGAACTGTCATTGAAGGAACAGCCTGTAGATGCCTGTAGGGGATAATCAAAATCAGCTACCTAACCCAAGTGGTTATTTACCCCAGAAAATGGTGCCACATTGGGGTTCATTGAATGTATCAGTTACCCGAGCATAGACAGACTTTTCTTTTCCTTTGACATTAAAAAGTGAGGACTTAATCCCTTCGACCACAACTTGTAAGGCAGTGGTTACTTTCCAGTTCAAAACATGTCTCCACACACTCTAATTTTAGAAAGAAAAAAAGAAAAAAAAAAAAAGAGATAATGAGTCTCGTGTGATTTGGTTAAGCACTACTGCCACCACCATCCAACAGAACGATAAACCAAGGCAATAACCATCTCAACTCAACAAGCTTTTTCCTACTATTTTGGGTCAGCTACATGAATCCTATTTTGTCATTCAGCTATATAAGGTAATAACATCAGTCAAATCACATGCTATCATATCTTTCCTTAATATCTCAATTTATGTTAGTTTTAACCATTCCTTCCTCCTGGCACTACCCGCAATGTGACCACATCACTCTTCCTTAGCTATGCAATTGTTAGTCTTCGTTGCTCATGACCAAACCATCTTAGACTTCATCTCACTTTATAGTGCCACCTTACCGAGAGGAGGCGATCAAACCGTCTTCACAACAATATTGAAAGAAACAAAAGAACGAGGCAAAGAGAAAGGAGAATTGAAAAGCAAACTTTAGTAGCTGTAAAAATTCTCTCTTCAACTAGTTATCAAACCCTCAATCTGCCATTAGATTAGCTAACTACCAAATATAAATTAAAACCAAAATAGGAAAGTCTCTGAAAATCAGGAAATTATACAAAATCAGTAAATTTTCGAATATGGAAAGTTTTTAAAAACCACAAAGTTGACTGCATAAAACTAGAGATTTTGTTTGGCCCTCCTTGCAAACCTAGCCTTCTTTGGGTGCTCCCAATGGTTAAAATCATCGACTGCATCAGTCCCCCGGGGTTGGAAAGATCTCACCATCAAGTTTGAAGCAAATTTCCATGATCAGTCAAAAATCCGAGAATGGCATTCCATCCCTTCTTTCTTCTTTTTCAAACTCGAATCAAATACGACAATCTTCTTATACTAAGAAAGAATACATTGACAAAGTAAAAGCGGATTTTGCTAGATTTCATTTGAAATTGGGTAGACTCGCAAAACTAGGTGGAACACGCATCCTGAAATAGAAGTTTAATCAACTTTATTTTTGGTTCCAACAACCGCTTAGCAGTTGAAGTACGCTCAAGAATTCACCCCAAATCAAATCATAAAAGTGAAATCCAATATTTTTCATCTTCATGGATCCAAAAGCTTCATGATCAACCAAATTTTCCAAGCTACGTAAACTTGTTTTACTGCTCAAATCTTCAAACCCCAACCAATGGTCAAACTTGTATTCTTGCAAAACCACCGTTGGTGAAAGGATAATCATTTCATTTTTCTCCATTGCTATTGTTACCACCACATTCTGATATCATCCTTCATTTTGAGATTCTTCTCTTGTTCAAAGATCGCTATTTGATCCCAATCCACATACATTTTTGACTCATATGATTCAATGTGTTGTTCTTCATAAAAAAAATTGGAGGCTTACTCGAGTCAACAAATGGTTCTATACTAGTCGATGCTATGAACGACCATGAGTCATCATTTGTTGAATTATTCTTTGAATAGTGTTGGTACTTTCCAACCCCAGCACCTCACGATTGACAAAAATAGGTTCTTCTTCTTCTTGTGGTTATCATAAATAGGTTCCTCTTCTTGTGGTTCTTCTTCTTCTCACTAAGATATCGTGCAAATTCAGGAATATCCACCTTCAAGTCACCATCCCAATGCCTATCACTAAATGGAATAGGTGTTGCATTACTGAGAAAAGGATTGATCAAAATCTCTTCAAGATCATCCTCCTCCTCATGAAACTCAAGTTTCTCGAATTTGATATTTGCAAACCAACAACGGTAAGTCCGCTCGTCGGATGATCTATGGTGACACGGAACATAGAACAAACTTTTCGTGATAGTCTCGATGTTTGACACATCGTCATCCACAGGAATATCATCAACTGGTGGGTTAACAACACATTGACCCAGTAGTTGAGTCAACAACTCAACTAGTCTCCGCAAAAACTCTATCTCATCTTAGTGTTGATGGGGTTAGGGTTCAGCCGAAACCTGTATCCTACGATTTCCTCCTCTTTGTAGTTGTGGAGGCATGATTGAGTAATCGAAAAGCCGAAACCAAACTTATGTCGCCGCCTTACCAAGAGGAGACGATCAAATCGTGTTCACAATAATATTGAAACTAAATAAAATAACAACGCAAAGAGGAAGGAGAATTGAAAACCAAACTTTAGTTGCTATAAAATATCAAACCCTAGCAAATACAAGGCTTTATATAGAATTTCTTCCTCCTCGGTATGCCATTAGATTAGTTAACTACCAAATATAAATTAAAACCAAAATAGGAAAGTTGCAGAAAATGAGGAAATTATACAAAATCGGGAAATTTTGAAAATATGAAAAGTTGTTAAAAAAAACCACAATGTTGAATGCAGAACCCTCCTTGCAAACCTAAACTTCTTTGGGTGCTCCTAGTGGTTATCACTAACTGCATCACTTTATCTCCCAGCAACTTACAGGCCCTATAATTGACTAATAAATTGTGAACACAAACAACCTCTAAAGCAGGAACATCAATTCCCTATGCAAAAGGGAATCGGCAGTCTGTCTCCTGAACGTAGATACAGGTTGAATAGCAATCATGCCTAAAATAATATCTACTCCTATATAAAAGAAAAAGTTGCATAAGATTACATTTACAGTTAATTCAGGAACATTAAATGAAGATTAAATTATTTGAATCGTTTACTCTTCCATCTGGAGCTACTTCTGGGCCATAATTATATTTGACTTATAAACATTGAACATCTAATTTTATCACAAATCCATTACAATTTTTTTTCTTTTTCTATTTTGGCTAGACCACTCATAGTTATCTTAACTATTCTATCTACACAAAATCATGACTGACAGCCTTCTCAAACAGTTGGATTCTGAAAGATTCTATGGTGTGTAAAGAACTTTTCAGCCATTTGCCACAGAGAGAGAGAGAACAATTAACTTTACTCTCGAGTCCAATTAGTATAAAAGAGGAGACTTTCTAGAAGAATTCCCAGCTCTACTTCTCTGTGGCCAGATCATGCAGACCTATGTTACATAAACTCTACAAAAGTAGGTGAAGTACCAATGTCAGACACACAATACTTGGACAAGGGTGTGAGATACGTGTCCGACTCTTTTGGTTGGACATGCACCTAAAAAGTATATCCAAAATTCCAAATTTACTTTATTATTGCTTCAAAATGAGTAAAATGCCTATACTGAACATTATGTTGCATAAAGACATTATTTTACTTCAGAAAATAAAATATAAATATTAGATGATATAAAAATTTAGCAATTAGCAGTGTCCCCTTGTCCTTCTATTTGGAGATTTAACTACCAGTGCCAAACACACAATACTCAGACATAGGTATGAGATACACGTCCGATACTTTTGGTTGGACATTCACCTGAAAAGTGTATCCAATAATTCAAAATTTACTTTATTATTGCTTCAAAATGAGTAAAATGCCTATAATGAACATTATGTTTCATAAAGACATTATTTTACTTTAGAAAATAAAATATAAATATTATATGATATGAATATTTAGCAATTAATAGTGTCTCTATGTCCTATTTGGAGATTTTACACAACCACACTCGGATATCTATCTGCGCCCGACAATTGTACCCGAGTCTATGTAAATTTTCGGAAAAGATCTGCATACCTCAGCCTCCTCTTCTGATGCTTCATTTGCCGCTATTTCCTCATCATCATGTTCTTCCTCTTCCTCTTCATCTTCATCCACTGGCTCCTCAGCCCTCGTACGAGGGGGAGGCAGCTCCTCTTCCTCCCCATCGGTTTCGTACTCTGACTCCTCTCTCTCACTTTCAGAAAATTCCACTGGACGCCGAGATGATTTAACAGCTGGCAAGGATGACTTGCGAGGGATGTCTTTGTGTGCCTGCGATTAATAATCCAAAAAAGGGAATTTAATTTTAAGAGGAAAGGATGTAGTTTTCACAAATGGTAATGATAATTCCAGCCATATAATTCAATAAATATATGCCTTCTTTGCATTTATAATGCGTTTCTCATTATGAGCTTCCATTTCAGCGTCTTCCTCAAAGCGAGGCCGGGCTGCAGAGCGACGAGATTCATAATAATCTGGTTCATCATCCTGATCAAAGGTTGACAATGAATAATTAGATCACATGCGAAAGATAGACAACTATGAAAGCTATTCTGGTATATATTTGTTTGTCCGTATTACATTAAATGCTATGAAACTAAGACTAAAGATCCCTTTGCTCAATGTATCAAGATAAAGCAGCTTCCAAAAAAAAAAAAGTTTTAGAGAAAAAGCAGCAAAGAATAATGCCCAGATTTGTTAAAACTTTCTATAAAACGACCACTTGGCTGTTAATTATGAAAAAAAAAAATGAACAGGGAATGCAAGCAACTATGCATTGCAGAACAGATATACGATCCCTAAACAGGAATAAAACAGAAATTAAATAAAGAAGCAAACCTCCTCAAGTGCATCTTCCAAGAATCCAGGAGAAAGTTGGCGTTCCCTGCGTACAGTTTGTGTATACTTTCTGCTCACTTTTTCCTTCTTTCGGTTAAGAAGTTCAGTAGCTCTAATATTTTGACTTTCAGCCTACAAAAGAAAAACAATGCAAATTGGATATCCTCATCACTTGGTTATGAAAAGAGGGAAAATACGTCATTTAAATCATTACCTTTTCCTTTTGTTCCTTTTCCCTCTCAGGGTCGATGTCTGTGACGCAGTTCTTAACCTTGTAAACCTTTTTATGCCGCGAATCAACAAGAGCAGTCAACAACCGATGAGAATTAGATGATAAGGATGACGGCATAAACCTCATTTTCCTTAGAAGCCTCCCTTGCGATTGGAGGATCCCCTGCATTGTGGGCACAGAAAATCAAGCTAATTTATCGATGAAGTTTGGTTCCATCATGCATTGTTCAAGTAAACAACAAACTCATAAGAAAACAATCCACAAGGCTTGATCCGTATCAAAATCATTGACAGGGACAAGATAACAAGGTGAAAAAACAACAGCAACAACAACAACAAAAAATCAGGATCTCATCCGAACATTATTACAAAATCAACTTTTGAGTTGATTTCAACCCAATGTTTTTATGCTGTGGACATGGTTTCAATTGTTGTGACGGGTTACATATACAATGATAGAAAATGATTCAAGGAGCAATATTATTAAACAATAATATAGTCAATACAGCTACAGAAATTGCAAGTATAAAACTAAGTATTAAATACTAAAGGAAATTAAAGTAATAAGAAACAAAACTAAAAAGTTTAGCCATTTCATAGATACCCTATAAGTGCGAATTTTTCATCTTAATAAATAGATTCTTGCTACTTAAAGTTTAAATAGAACAACTGCTATAATCAACAGATATCAAATAAAAATTTGAATTAAAAAAAAAAGTACCACAAAAAATTAACTGGAAAAGGTTTTGTTGAGTTTGGTTTTATCAGTGTGAAATACCTCATAGATATGGTTTTTTTTCATTTTAAAGCGAAGCTATTTTTATTTAATAGGAACCTGAACCCTAAACCTCCCATCTAGGAGGAGGAGATACTACTTAAGCTAAAGGGCGGTGGTAAAAAAAGTATGCCACTAGAATTAACAAAATATTAGGCAAAATAATAACAAAAGCAACAACAATGATGATGAAAATAAAACATTGGTCATGTTTCTTTCTCGACTCTCAACACACGTCTCCTTACAATATAGTTGGCTCAATAACTCCCATAGTTTTTTATTTTCTAATTTATTTGGTATTCATATGTCACATAGGATACAACTAGTTTTTCTCCATTTTTTCCACCTTCCTCCAATCCTACTTACTACATCAACATGGGGTCCTCATCTTGTTGTAGTATTACCTTAAATAACGAAATTAGTAATTTTGAGTAACTCTTTGGTACTGAATTGTAACAATTATATCGTTACCTTTTGCTGCTTTATCAGATTTACATTCCATATATATTGTTTTAGTTTTACTATTTTTTAAACCTTTTGATTCTGAAGTCTTTCTCCATGTTTCTAATTTTGCTGCTAAAACTTCCTAAAGTATCTAATAAAGCTATGTCATCCACAAATAATATACACCATGAATGTTTCCTTGGATTCCTCTTTCTTTATTTCATCTAACACTATGGTAAATGGATATGGAGTTAATACTAATCCTTGGTGTATTCCTACTTTTATAGCGCTAGTTTCTCCATGTTCAGTATATGCACTCTAGTTAACGTCTTACTTTACATATCCTGAAAGTATTTTTCCACAATATATCTTTTCCTTAATTAATATTGCTTGATCCATATGCGTAATACACCTAAGTCCTAACTTAATTCATATATTTAGACAACCTCTCTCTATTTTTTTGCAAATTTGTACATAGCCGTTTCACCCTTTTTTGTTAATATTTTTCACGGAAGTCATTTAATGCATTTTGTTTAGCTTTAACTACCAACCTTTTACCTTCAAATTTATTTATTTATTTATTTTTTTTTTTTTTTTTTTGTAGTTCTCTAAATCCACTTGTTGCTCATCTTGCCATTCTTTGGAACTTGCTATTTTATTTTTTTATTGCATTTTGTATATCATCACTCCGCCATCTTGGACTGGATATTAGAGTGGGTAGCGGCTTCCGAGAGTCACCAACATGCCAAGAGAGCAAGAGAGGATCTCGCTGTCAAGAAAACTCATCAAATCTCACCACAGGCACCTAAATTCTTGGATTGCCCGAGAGCTATAGCGGTTGGTTTCACCAGAGTAATAGCAGACATTGGTTTGGTACCTTTTTTTAATAAATTTCTTTTCCTTAGCCTCTCCCAAAGTTTCCTTTGCTTTGTTCCTAATACAACCCGCCATTTTTTACCATAAGTTATTTATATTGTCATTCCAATCCCATTGTTTTTCCTGTTCATTTTTTTTCTCTAAATGTTCTCTCTTGATTACCTTTCAATTCTTTTCACTTTATTTGTTGATATCCTTTTTCTCTAAATGAATTAACCCAATTTTCTGTCTAGAAAGTACCTTTTTACCCATAAATCTACAGCAGAATCTGTGGCAAGGGCAAAGACTCCAAAAGCCAAAAAATGTAGCTTGTTTACCATCAACCTCTTTAACTTATGAATTGTAGGGTCTTCTCACTCAAAAGTCCTGCTCCCTTCCCTTAAAGATTTGCTTGTTTTGCCTCAAGGGACATGAGACCTAATTATATGATCTAGAATAAGACTTGCGAATTATGAACCTCTACTACAGCCCATGTCCAACAAATTTGACAAACTATGAAAAATCCCTCAACTCCTAGAACATAAGCAATCATAAATGAAACTGTCTGGCAAGACGTACTGCTTTTTCCCCCACGTATGACTAGCAAGTATGGTGTAAATATCGTTCGTTATGTAACATGTCAATGACTGTGTAACAGCTTTTGGAAGCCCATCCGATACATCCTGCTTTTATCAGGGAGATGATTCACCTCTGTAACATTCATTAACGTTATATAATTGACTATTTGTGTAATATAAGGGACCATGGATGCTTACAATCAGTTTGTCACAGGAAACTAACAGCCGTCTCAGCTAGTTTTAGTTAAAACCTGCTCCTGGATGACAGACTTAACCTTTTCTTAGGGTTCAAAATCTGTATTGGAGGTTAGATCTACTGATTGAAGGCTAAATCTACTAAATTGGAAGTTCGAACAACGAGATTTAAATTTTTTTCTTTCTTCTCCCCACCCAGATTGAGTCTGTGACAACAGACTACTTGTGGTTGGTCCAAACATTAGATAATCACACATAAGTCTTTGTTTGGTAAGATAATTACAATCTTATTATTCTATTATCGGTTTCTTGCTGCTTCTTTTTTTTTTTTTTTTTTCCCCCTTTTTCAGTAAGAGTATCTTGCTAATTGGAACACCTTTTCTATTTTGTTATTTTATTTTTTTCATTTTTATATATATTGAATGGCAAAATCACATTTTTGAGGTATCTTAATACTACGATAGAAGGTGCATAACTTTTTATGGTACGATTTTTTTATTGTCTCACGTTAACTTTGGTTTTTAGTGAATATCTATAAGCTCACTGGTTGTTTGATTTAAACTTCAACTAGTAAGAAATTAAGAATCTAGTAATTAAATGTCAAATTTGCATGTATAGTCTATCTTTGAAACATTATTATTTTCTTAGTTTTTAATAATCTATTTTTACTCAGTTAGGATTTTTGTATTTAGCTTTAGACTTTTACAACTTCCTAATGTTGTAATGGACTAAATTATTTTCATTAATATTGTTGTTTTAGTTGTAGTATTATACCACCTTTCTGCCTAAAATGTTTTGTTAATTCTCTATGATTCATCAGTTTACACTTGAAGTTGTATTTTCTAGTTATTACTTGTATTTGTCAGAGTAATATTTTTTGATAGATGGTACCTGTAGAAGGTGCAACACAACAAGTAGAATATCTTTGTTGGCATTATAAAATTGACAATAAACAATTAAAAATTTTAAAGAGTGTCAAGTTTGGGTCAGCACGTGTATCTTCGACATTTTAAGTGTTTGCTAGTGACAAAAAGACAAAATATTCATTGCATCAATATTTGGTTTCAACTAAATATGGGCTGATGTGTCTGCCATTATGAACAACTTAAGGAAGCCTTGTCTCATTCCATCCCTATTTCTCTGCAAAAAATAAGTTCCCTCCGTGACGTTTACAGTAGAAAACATAAATGGCTGGTGTGTTGTGTTTTAGTTTTAGTTTAAGAGTTTGAAACCTATATTGTAGGTTACGACTACTGATTGGAGGCTAAACCTGTTTCCTTTACACTAGTCCGTGTCTGCAACTGCGAACCATGGTAACAACACTAGATAGTAGAATAAAAAATAAAAATTGGGAAGAAAGGGTGTGTACATCATTTCATTTACATAACAGGTATAGATAATAAAGCTTAACTGAAAACTTTCTTCGCTGAAAAAAATTATAAATCTGAATTGCACTAAGATGTGGGAATTTCACCTTGTCATGTCTAAGAAAAAGGTGTGCTTGATCATGCTGCGCATCTTGCACAGATATGTCAAGAACTTCATTCCCAATTAATAGCTGTAAACTCCCATCGGACCATCTCACAAAGCGTGCATTGCTTTCACACTACAATCAAAAGAAGTAGCAAAAATAATATAAGTAATAACTATAAGAAAACTCCTAAGCAGAACAGAAAATTATGTTATACTACAGAGTTTAGAAATTCCAGCATTTAAAGCTAAAAAGATAGATAAGAATTAAAAAAATCCACTACAAATAAGGAAGCAAAACTAAAAATAGTAGGCCTGAGAACCAGCACAAAACCAGCTCACTTACTTGATAAAGAGCCCTCATTTTTGCTTTTACATAATCTCTAGAAAAATGCATATTGAGCAACTCCATCAAAAAAATAAAATTAAGCATAGAACTAACAAGCACGTGCCTTGAAAATGAAAAATTGCAGCTATAAATCACTTGAAGTTTATTAGTCCCCAGAGCTGTCAAGACCAATAAGCATTAATTTGCTATATGGGTATATATGCAGCCTCTTGTTCTGTGTTAAACATGGAACTTCTGGTACAGACTTCCTTTTCTGTGCAGTTCACGAGGACTTTGCCAAGGTTTGACAAAAGAAATTTGATAGCCATTAAAATCCCCCATTATTAACCAACACCATAATCACATGATGGATTGAACAGACATGAGAGAGCAGTAACCATGTTACCCATGTCAGTATTTTCTCACAAGGTTCATATATGATTACTATTTAGTACTATGGTGCTTCTGTTTAATTTAAAATATTGGAGTAACTGGCCTAAGACTCATTTTTACATTAATAACAACCAGGAAGGACTCGTACTGGAGAACAGTTCAACAGCAAATGCAGTACAATGATTATAATCAATTGCTAGTGTATATCTATGTCATAATGCAAGTGAAATAAGTTGCATTCAGGCTTGGCCAAACATGATACAAAAAGTACTTACCAAAACTATTATTACAATCTCTGTTAAATTCTTTTGATAAAATGACTCAATGTACAAACAACTGCTATGTATTTTTTTTTTTTTTTTTTGATAAGTAAAATGTATTAGAAAGTGTTCAAAAGGGGAACACGTCCCAAGCTGTACACAAAAGAAAGTGGAACCTATGAACTCAAGGAGCCCAAAAAGTCCACAATATCCTCAAGAGAAGAATAATCTAACCCCCATCCCCAGCAAAAAAGAGTACAAATAATAGAGAATTTCAGCGCCCCAATGGAGGACTCCTTCCCATCAAAAGATCTTCTATTCCGCTTTTTCCAAAGGCTCCACCAAACGCAAAAAGGGGTCACCGTCCAAAAGACTCTAGCATGAACCCCCACCCATTGGCCCCTCCAAATATCCACCAACTCCCGAGAAGTCCAAGGCATGACCCAATGGACACCAACAAACCAAAAATAAGACTCCAACAGTCATGGGCCACAGGACAATGCAGCAGAAGGTGATCCACAGACTCTCCATTAATCTTACAAAGACAGCACCGATTGACAATGATATGTCTTCTCTTCCTCAAATTGTCCAAAGTCAAAATCTTACCCCAAGCTGTGGTCCACACAAAAAAGGCCACCCTAAGAGGCGCCTTAGACAGCCACACCGTCTTCCACGGGAAGGTGCCATGAAAACCAGAGAGACACACAAAGATGGACCGGACTGTGTAGAAGGCACCCAAGTCAGGGAATCTGCACCAGTGCCCTCCATCTCCTGTCTATACAAGAGAACCAATAAACCAATGACATCATCCTACTCCCAATCCTGAAAAGATTGCAGGAACCGCACATCCTAAGACAACCTCCCGCTATCAAGGCGATAGCAGTCAGCAACCATAGCATGTTTGTCAACAGCAATCCTGAACAGCCTTGGGAACAAAAGAGACAATGGCCTATCCTCGCACCAAGTATCCTCCCAAAACCGGACATTCTTTCCATCCCGAACTCTGAATCTAATATGTTTGAAGAACTCATCCCACCCCTTCCCAATGGATCTCCACACCCCCACTCCACTAGCAAACCTAACTGGCCTAGCTGACCACCCCCCTCTTTCCTCCCCAAAACGACAAGATATGACCTTTCTCCATAATCTATGACTTTCACTAGAATCACTACCGAACCTCCAAAGCCACTTGCCTAGGAGAGCATTGTTGAAAGGGGCCAATCTCCTAATCCCAAGCCCTCCCAACTGAAAAGGCCTGCAAACCTACTCCCATCTGACAAGATGATACTTAAACTCCTCCCTTCGACCCCCCCAAAGGAAGTTCCGTTGAAGCATCTCAAGTCTTCCAATAATAGAGGCTGGATCCGAAAAAGCGAAAGAAAGTACGTTAGGAGGCTTGACAAAATACTCTTCACTAAAGTAACTTTACCACCCTTGGAGAGATATTTCTTTTCCAACCAGCCAATCTTCTCTCAACCCGCTCAATCACCGGGTCCCAACTTCCCACCCTCCTGGCCGAGTCACCCAACCGCAAATCCAAGTACGAAATAGGGAAACGCCGCATCCCACAGTCTAAAACAGCAGCCAGAGTGTCCACCTACTGAACCTCCCCAATAGGGACAAGCACACTCTTACCCACGTTGACTTTCAAACCAGATACAGCCTGAAAACAAACCAAGACACATCTCAAATACCGCAACTGGGACACCTCTGCCTCGCAAAAAACAATAGTGTCATCCGCAAAAAGCAGGTGAGAAATCTCCATCTGCTGAACCGAGTCAAGGCCAATCTTAAAGACCCTAATGAATCCCAAATCCACAGCCCTTCTCCTCAACCTACTAAGGGCCTCCATAACAATAAGGAACATGAACTGGGAGAGAGGCTCCCCCTGCCTCAGACCGCGAGAACTGCCGAAAAACCCCGTAGGAGACCCATTCACCAACACCGAAAATCTGACCGTGGAAACACATGTAACAATCCATTTCCTCCATCTCTCACCAAAACCCATCCTCTTAAGCAGATAAAACCGGAAATTCCAGTAGACATGATCATAAGTTTTCTCGATATCTAGCTTACACAGAACACCACTGCAAAGTCTAGAATCTACACATTCACTGGCAATAAAAGTGGAGTCCAGGATCAATCTACCCCCAATGAAAGCATTATGAGACTCAGAAATGACTCCATCCAGAACCTCCCTCAACCTAAACGCAAGGACTTTCGCGATGAGCTTATACATACACCCAATTAGACTGATTGGTCTAAAGTCCTTGACGTTAGAAGCACCGCCCTTATTACGAATAAGGGCAATAAAAGAAAGAGTTCAGCGATTTTTTGAACCTCCCTGTGGAATGAAACTCATGAAAAGTGCCCATAACCTCATGCCTAACCACCTCCCAACTCTCCAACAAAAATCTCATAGTAAATCCATCTGGGCTTGGAGCCTTATCACCATTACAGCTCTTCAGAGCCTTCAGCACCTCCTCCTCCGAAAAAGGACTCTCCAGCCCACCCTTTCCAAAACAGAAATAGAATCAAAGTGAAGACCATCGAGTCGTGGCCTCTATCGAAGAGGCTCAGAATAAAGCCTTTGGTAGAAAAAGACAATACCGTTTCACACCTCCTCCTCCGTAGTCAAAACTGTACCATCCACACACATCTGCCCAATATGGTTGCCCCTACTATGAGCATTAGCAATTCTATGAAAAAACTTGGTATTCCGATCTCCCTCTTTGAGCCACAAAGCCCGAGATTTCTAGCGCCACAAGATTTCCTCCAAGACAGCAATCTTCACACATTCTGCCTAACAAGCTGCTCTGCTAATACGATGAGACTCGGGAAGGACACCCTCCCCTTCCAATCTATCAATCTCAGCAATATCAGTCAATGCCCTATTCTTCCTTCCCTCCAAATTCCTCCTTATTCCACCTTTTGAATTTATTTTTCAGAAGTCGAAACTTTCCTGCTAAAATAAAACTTGATGTACCTACCACCAGGTTCTCCTCTCACCAAGAGCGCACAGATCCCTGGAAATTTTCCGCTCAAAGCCACATGTTCTCAAATCTGAAAGGAGTGCAGCGAGAGCTCAAACCTCCACAGTCCAAAACCAAGGGGATATGGTCCGACGTCACCCTAGCCAACACAGCCTGGACAGCATCTGGGAACTTCTCCTCCCAATTACTAGAAACCAAAAACCGATCAAGCTGAGAGAAGGTTGGCGCTTCCCTTCCACTGGACCAAGTAAAATAAGCTCTCTCTAAAGGAAGATCAATAAGCTGATGACCATCAACAAAATCTGAAAAGTGCATCATGGCCTAAGTCCACGGACTACCTGTTGATCTCTTCGCCGGGGACCTAACCACATTGAAATCTCCGGCCACACACCAAGGAAGAGATCCCACTCAACTCCTCCCACAACCCATCCCTCACACAGTCATCAACCGCCCATACACCCCAGAAAAGGCCCAAGTGAAACCATCCTCCTCCATCACAAAGGCACAAGACAGAGAAAAGCGCCCCCTACAGACATCCACCTTAGCCATCCATCTCCAGAGAACACCGCCAGATGTCCCAACCGAATCCAACGCCTCCCACTCAACAAACTGATTACCCTACAAGCTCTTAACCACACGATCAGTCATAGAATCAATCTTTGTTTCTTGGAGGCACACCAAATGCACCCCCCATTTCCTCACAGCCATCTTCACCACCTTTCGCTTGCCCGGATCATTGAGACCACGAACATTCCAAGATAAAAGTCGTAACTTCATGAGGAAACAAGCACACCCATCACCCCCTTACCCCTCCCTCCCCCCCACCAAATCATCCTATCGTAGTTCACATCTTCCTTGGCTCCCTCTCCCCTCTCCACAGAGTAAGGGTCTTCTTCTTCTGGCTCCTCCTTCTGGAAAACTGAATCATCTCCCCTTTTCTCCCCTCCACCGTGACCTGAAGAAGTACTACTATGTTATTAGCAAATTTTTTTGTGATGGGTGTTAATTATGAACTAACTGAACCTCAAAGCCCATCCAAACCAATAAGTCAGGCCTGGATTTAGAGAATCCTCTGCTCCTAGTCTCATTTGGAGGAATTTGAAAGGTTGAATACTGGAAACGCCATGGACTTAGGGTGTAATTTGATTGCAAATACCATAAAAACATGCAAGGAATCCATTAAAAGATCTTGCATCAAGAAACCATGCATCATTCCATTCACTGCCACCCTTAGCTACCCTCCACCTCATCCCCCACATCCCTACTAGAGCACACATTTCTCCTAGCCCAAGCAAAGCCAGCACTGTTAAAGGAGTTATTAGGAAAATATTTTCATTTATACACCTTAAACAAGAGAGTGTTGTCCTCAACAGCCGATCTTCAGCCCTGCTTCGCAAGCAAATAAACAGTGAAAGCCTCCATGTCCATAAAAGCAAGCCCCCTATATGCTCTCATTCTACAAAGCCTTCCCCATTTCACCCAACATAACTTAGCCCGGGGACGGACCCAAAGGAGAATGTGAGTGGGGGCAGCTTTTAACAAAAAAATATTGTGGGGGCAATAGTGAAGCTTTTCTATAATTTCCGCGGGAGGGGGGGGGGGGATACAACTCTTGTGGTCTTCCAAAGAATTGTAATCCTTGTTGAACAGGGAATTGTGTGTGAGACTCTTTAAATAGATACCTAGGTTTTGGGTTGGTAGAGTAGGAAAAACACCGGTGACACTAGTAGCGAGGAGATAGGATCGTGGAGTGGTACATGGTAAAAAGGCATATACGTGGTGTTGGTACTTTACAATTGTAAAATCTGTATGAATCATAGTGGAATTAGAGCCGATGGATCGTGTTGGGAAGTTTACCCATTATTTGAAGAAGATCTAGAAAACATAAGAAGTCTCAACTCCAGTTGTAGGTGGAGTCAATCAGCGGGCTTTTTTTATCACGATGGTCAGAGTCGTAAATCGTGATGTATTACGTGGTATGAAGCTCGAGTAGTCAGGATGAAGCCTTAGAGGTTTGACTAATTGAGCAGCATATAGTGAAGACGATCAAAGTTTTGTAGGGGATCTTCAAGGATTGCAATGAATTGTCTGGATCGACGTCATGGGAAGCAACGAACGACTCGATAAAATTAGAGACAAGGTAGAGATTGTTAGGAATTGTGGCTCATATTGCTAGTCTAATTAGGTTTCTATTTTAGAGTAATGTTTTATTAGGTAATTTCTTGTTAGACAACTCTTGTGGTCCAAGGATTTGTAATCCTTGTTGAACAAGGAATTGTGTGTGAGACTCATTAAATAGATACCTAGGTTGAGAGTTATGAGTTGAGAAAGATGTAGCCTCGTGAGGGTTGGAGTTGATGGGCAGAGATGTAGTTACACGTTGGGTAGAGTGAACACTGATAGTAAGAGGGAGTCTCATGGAATACAGGAGAACTTGGTCAAGAGTTTGTGTGCACGGTAAAAAGGCATGTACGTGGTGTTGATACTCAACAATTGTAATATCTCAACGAATCATAATGGAATCTCTTCTCATCTGTGGATGTAAGCCGGTTTTTGGCTAAACCACGTTATATCTTGCGTTTGTGTGATTACTTTGTTGGTTGGTTTTCATTGGATCCCCGTTGTTCGCGCACTCAACATTGATGTCAATTACATACATTATAGTTTTATATATTCACTTCAATGCAAGTGAGCATGCACTTGTGCTTGACTTCTTTACATCATGAAAAAAACATACCTTCTAAAGCACTCATACATCCTAAGTTTTGAAGAATTAGTTTTTGGGGAATTTATTATTGACCAACAGAAAAATATTTCCTTTCTCTTGTTTACCAAAAGAAGTTTTCTGAAACTGTAAAATAACTTTATTGTCAACAATAAATTAATCTAGGAACATTACTCCAAATTTCAACTAATCAAGCTCAGAAACCAAGCAGAGTTCAACATCACAAATATCAAATATATAAATAACCTCAACTAAAAAAAATACATATTTTTTACCATTTTCACAAGCTTAATTGCAACACTTCCTTTTCTTTTCTTTTTTGATAAATAAGATTTATTGAAACGCTAATAATATCAATCTAAACAGTGATATTTATAATGGAATCACGATATTGCAATGACAAAGTTATGGCTCAAAAGGTCCATAAAGTAAAATTCAGGTAACGTTTTACATGCCTCATGTGTGCACAGGTTTTATGTAATATATATGTATCCAACTACGCATCCAAGCATTCACTTACGGATGTAGTGCCATCTGCATTTCTTACAGTCCTCCAGCGGACAATATTATTTTCCAGCCGAATTCTTTTCTTAGATCCTGATTCATCTGTCACAAAGATATCATCTTCCACGTATGTCTTAGGATCAAATGGTTTTGGGTCAACGCCCATTATATTTGAAATTTTGATCATGTTCATCTGCAACAGAATAAAAATGGAACATTAAAATACCAAATCAAAATAACAAGCATCACATGTCCTTATGTATCATACATGATACAACCACCATTTCAGTACAGTAATTGCTAACTAGATAAACCACACTTCAACATATAGTTACCACACAAAATATATTCATATTAAAGTTCATCCTGGGAAATATTAGATATTGAACCATGCATAGATTGAATACTGATACAAAACATTTTAGAATTTAGATGATTTCACACAATGTGTACAAAGAAGCCACTCATACTCAGTTAATTTTTATTTCCCATTGTAATAGCTTAAGCCTAAAAAGCAGATCAAACAACAATCATCCAAATTTTCATAATTCAGACATTGTGTAATTATTAAAGTATGGGGAAAGAATTTCAAAAGTTACTTCCAATCCACTTCAGAAGATTTTCTTTTTAAAAATTTATGTTAAATGATTCATTAGCAATCAGATTCTATTTCAATGTGTACAATGCTATTATTGATATATGGCCCAATGCCCATATCAATTAATCAAGAAAAGATTATGAATAATCCGTAAATTTCATCATCCACATAAATTGTATAGTTGAAATCAAATGGCAACATTCCTTGAAAGTCTAAAATTATTTGATGATCTTAATTCATAGTAATAGCATATAAACTATCTACTAACACATTATCTAAACTATTCACAAACAAAATTACATAAAATTACTTCAAGCGCAAAGTAACAGTTACACCATGAGAAAGTACTAATATATGAAAATGGAAGGCTGCCATTAATTTTTAAAGCAACTCGAGAAACAATGATTTAATCAGACTCCGTCAGGTTTCATAGCGAAGAAGGGGAAAAATAATAATAATAATAAAAAAGAAACTGTTTTGCCTTAGTTTTATGCATTTAATTTTTCAGCTCTTCTTTAAAGTCAATGAAGACTGTTAAAAAACCATGTCATTGAAGATGCATTTCTGTAATAATAGATTACAATAAAAACTATTAAATAACATTTTGGTATGTTTATACTAGTGTTTTAATTTTAGGACAGTTAACAACCAACTACTCTAAAAGCTTAAGTTGTTAGAGAGATTGTAACTTAAATATTTAAATCCTTCTATACGCCCCCTCACATGTGGCCTTCTTTTGGTCCAACACGTGTAGTTCAATTTTAATTATAAGAGTGGCGGTCAGGTTTGAACACGGGACCTAACATGGCTGTGATACCATGGTAACAATCAACTACTCTAAAAGCTTAACCCCTCTTAGGCTTCGTTCGGTAGGACGGAAAAAAGTTGGATGGAAGGGAGAGAATAAGTGAAGGATGAGACATCCCTAGGGAAGAGATTACGAACTTCTTTCGTTTTGTTCGGTTGAATGGAAGAGAAGAGAAGAAGCTCACAACTTACTTTGTTCGTTAGAAGAGAAGGGAAAGAAAATTTTAAATTATTTTTACCATTATACGCTCACTATTTTTTACCACTTTTTTAAACTTTTATTATGTGATAAGTAAGATTAAATTTTTTGTTTGTCATATATATATATATATATATATAATCATATTTCATCATAAAAAAAAATAATAATAAAAAATAAAATTACGTGCCTAAATCCTATTTATCTATATTCGTTATTAACCTAACTACCATATTCCCATTGACCCAGAACAGATCTATGGTGTTGCACTAACTGTTTTGATCTTTTGATAATAATATCATCAGAGGTGCAATAATGGTGTTAATAAAGTGAAGATATATTCATTTATTACTATTTTGGTAAATGACCTGGAGAATGTAATTGTAACGAAGCAGACAAGAAAACTCTCCTAAACTATGATGCCAATGGAGATCATACTGCCTTACCAGACTCTACCACTAGCCGCTAACACATGAATCAAATCAATTTGTAAATAGACCATATTTATGTGTGGATCTATGTTTGTGTATAGAGCGCGAGCAACAGACTGACCATATTTATATGTAGATCTATGTTAACTGACCATATTTATATGTAGATCTATGTATGTGTATAGAGCGAGAGCAATAGAGAGTTTGCTACCTGCGTCGCAGAGATTGCTGAGAGATTCGGTTAACAAGTCCAACGAAGGAGATGAGATTGTGGAGTTTATTAATATTTGTGAAGGATAATTACGTAATTTGAACTTTTTATAATAGCCCACTTATTTTCTTTCCCGTCTTCCACCCAAATTTTGGCGGATGAAAATTTGTTAAGGAGGAGGGATGACTCATCCCTCCTATTTTCCTTTCTCTCCATGTCTCCTTCTTACCGAACAAATGAATTTTGTTTCTTCCCTCCTATTTTCCCTCCACCCATCTTCTTTCCTTCCTAACGAACAGAGCATTAGAGAGGGTGTCACTTTAATATTTAAATCTTTCAACAAGGACATCATGCTTGTACTATGTGACATAATTGCAAAGATTAAGGTCTATACAATCCACATCATCATAAATTGTTGTTAACATCAATAAGCTGACACATTTTTAATATTTAATATGCAATGTAAATTCGTTTTTATCTTATGCAGCACCCAAGTATCCAACAAATCTAGAAAAAATGATGAATTATAGATGAAGTAATAACTGAACATAGAAAAAAGAATGGAAATAAACTTTATCTGGATGAGCAGGAGGAGGACGTAATGGAATCTCTAGCTCCAACGGTGGACCAACTGGTTTTTCCTTGGGTTTAGGCTCAACGTGCTCTTCTTCGGACTCATACTGAGCATCTTCATCATGTAGCATATCCTCCGGTCTCAGATCCTTCCCATAGCTCACTTCCTCTTCCATAGGGGATCTCTATGGAAAAATCATGGAAAAAGCAATTGTTTATCTTCTTCATGACTCTAAATATAGCATAAACAACACCAGAAAATACAAATTCTAATTATGATACTATATTAAAATATCATACGTACATCTGAATCGTGCTCAGTATGATTCTGAACTGCATACTCAGCTGGTTCTTCGTCATCAGAGTCACCAAATACATCGCGGATCTCAGGAGCTGACTGTGAAATGTGAGTTTCATCTTTCTCCTCACCTGGTGATCTACTGCTAATACAGGTAAAATTCAGGCACTAGTCAAGATAGCTTGATACAAAAAGTTTACAGGAAGGAATTCAAAGAAATCAAAGGCTCCTTTTTGTTTCAAATTCTATGTTACATTGACTCTCCTACTCTCCTCAGTGTACCTGTACTGACACAAGACGACATGACATTGGTAGGGATATGTGCCCAACAAACGAGGTCACTACCCAAATTGGACGTCTAGATCCTCTCTTTTTTTTTTCTTTTCTTTTTTTCTTTTTTGAGTAAAGATGTATTAGAAAGCGTTCAAGAGGGGAACGCGTCCGATGATGGAAGATGAAGAAAAGCACAAAATTTTGATATCAAAGAAGGGCTTTCTACTTTTGGGATATATAGAATCCCTCTTTTTCCCATATACCGTTTAATTCAACATATTACATAGGATAATAGAATCATGTGTTATACTTCTATGTAGTGTATTACGTTTTTGTGCGAGACATGTCTTCATACTCATATCTAAGTTCTCGACACAATTTCAAATTGAATTCCTAATATTTGAGATACACAGAGGTCCAATACAGAAACTACATGCACGGAATATATGTACCGAATCCATGTAACATAGGTTTCGATATAATGATGCAATGCAAACCGGTGAACTGCAGTAATCATCCTAGCCCATTTCAAACATTATCATAGGACAAACATAACAAAATAATTACTCAATGTGGGAATACATGAGATGTATTTGATGAAGGATCAAAATCGCTGTGCTTCAGACATGAGTACAGTGGTGATTTAGCACCAACAAATCCTCCATAAACTAGGACTTTGTCTCACCCGGAAAATGTAAAAGAGATGGGAAAAGATGTTGCACATATAATGAATTGCATTTCTATGGGTTGGACCCCTTTAGGCACTTCTTCCCCAAACTGCATAGACACGTGCATATGGGGATTTGGAGAAGGCAACCAGGAAATTGTACTTTTTTCAAAAGAAAGCTTGACTTTAAGGCTTTGACTCTAGTAAATACTAAATATATAAAACAGAGAGACATTTTAGAATTAAGGGTGGCAACTAGAAAGAATAATTCAGAAGTCTCAGAAAAACGGAAAGGACCGATTTGTTTCTTCATACAATTAATTCACATAAAACCTTTTTTCTTTTCATCTGTTCTTTTTGGTAATTTGCTTTTAAGTTGTGTAATCGGACAAAGTTTTCGATGAGAAGCCTCCTAAGAAACTCCCGAGAAAAAAAAGTTGTAAAAGCATGCAACTACACATCCAATGAGTTTGGCGTGTCAACCCTTATGCACCCACAAAATTGAGAAAGCAGCATAGGCATTAAGGGAAAAACAGAACTAAGTCACATGATATGCCGGATTAGGGTGCCACTCCATTGTTCACTTTGACAGCAGATGAGGACCTAGATCACAGATTCAATTTCTACAATCCGCGAATTCAAATTCGCATTGCATGCATCCATTCCTCAAAGATATGTAAGTTTTATATCCTTTGAAGGCCATCAAGTTTTTTATCCTTTGAAAGCCATCCAACATCCTAATTTTTTATTTTTTCTCTCTCAAAAATTTAAGAGTTTTTGCAGCTAGAAAGAAAAAGAAGTGGAGGAGACCACTATTGCCTACCTAATAGTCATCCTTGTAGATAGGGTTATTGAAATCCTCCTTTTCTCACCCTCATTTTACCTTTTTTGTGTGAGGCACTCATGCTTACAGAGGTCAAGTCCCTATGCAAGACGAGACGAGATACTAGATGATGGCCCTTGCATATGTTACTATATTCACATAAATGGCCCATTCATTTGGTGTTTCTCTTCTTGGTACCACTGGTCCACTAGCCCGTTAGTAAAGTTAAAAAATATTTATTGTTAATAATATTAAATATTCCATAACTCAGAAATATTAAAAATATCAAAGATATATATATATATATATATACACATATATATCTTCTTGAGGCACTCCCGCTGAATAAAATTTTGAAATTTGCCACTTTCGCTCCCAATAGAAAAAATAAACTTGAGGAAGTAAAATCAGCAAAAATAAAAAAATATATTGTGAGGTAGGAACATGAAAGGAAGGCCGGAAAAGAGCTATAAAGCTAAATGCGCTATTGCACAGAAAGGAATAGCAATAGTACATAGAAATAAGCAAGAACCGACAAAAAAATAAACTATTGGAGACGCAGAGACAACAGTGAGAAAGAGGCGAAATAATACCTTGGACTTCTAGCTTGATCAACCTCTTCATCTTCATTGTCAGCATAATGATGTTCCTCGGATCTCTCTGAACCACTTTCAATCACATCACGTCGCCTACTTGTTACCACTCTTTGACCATACTCTTCTTTTTCATCACTATCCGTCTCTTTCCCTTCACTTTCCTCCCTTTGATCACCGACCTCCATGTCCTGTGAACTTTGATCTCTTTCACCTTCACTCTCTCCGTGATCAGGATCTATGTCATGTAATTCACCTTCACTCTCCACTTCTGCCTCACCTTGACCCTCTATTTCAGCTTCACCTTCACCCTCAGGGTCCAGCCCGCCATCCGCTTCATCCTGGAGACAAAACCATCACAAAACTTAATTCTGAAATCATACTGTGAGTGAATTTCAGAGGTCATTACTTTAAAAACTGGGAGAGGATAGAAAAATGGTACATCGCAAACGATATTATATCAAAAGCATAATTTAGGGAACCAAAAAACAATAAAAGGTACTAAAGCAGAAAAGGATATTGTGTAAGCCTATTAAAGCACCAAAATATACAAATATTAAGATTTCAAGCATGCTGCAGTTGCTCATTTGCCAAAGCATTGAGGAAATGTCCAGTCACAAATGCAACCCCAATGACATATGCAACTACAAGATCCAGCATGGTGGTATAGTAACCGGTGACCATTGGAACAAAAGCAACACCACCACCCCCCCCCCCCCCCCCCCCCCCCCCAACAACAACCACCCTCAATTAAACCAAACAAAGAAGCAATGCTCTGTTTGCTTTTAACTTAAGTGTGTAAGCAGCTAAAGCACGTGAAATGAAAGCACTTCTTTTTTTTCTAAATGTATCAAAATAACAACAGATTTGTCACAACACACAACTGGATTCATTTTTTATGAAGCAGGCTTGCACTGAACAATGACTCCAGCCAGGTATAGCTTCCCCAGATCCATCTGATAGCTCGTACAGGATACTGCAACTCCTAGATATATACAGCCATCTCAGGACCTTTTAGCACTGTTTCATGATGCAAGAAGAAAATTCTGAATCATTTCAGCCCCTGTGCTGAAATCTGATTGTTCTGCCCAATATAATTTACATATCTACCTTAAATTACAATCACATGCCTCTGCATCCTATCTTTGGAGCAACTCATCTTATTAAATCTGAAATCAAAATTGTTCCTTCGTGTGCAACTCCATTAATTGATTCTACATAATTTCGCTCATTTTGATGAAATTTAATCAATCTAGTCCCAAACCCCAACTGGAGAACTGGCTACCCTTGCAACTAATTATATTGAAATTTAGTAGTCAATAGAAAATAGAATGCCTTGGTAAAAATTCAACTGGACGTCCGGAATTATGGCAACTTTAAATCGGACTAGCAATTTGAGTATACAAATTGAGTAATGAAACTTTTAGAACCGAGTCATCCGTTAAAAGCATAGGAATTTCAAAGAAACTAAAGGTATCATGGTCCCCATAAAACAAGGAAATAATTCAATATACTTTACACTTAAAACCCCTCAAAACCTCAAGTAGCATTTGTTAAACTTTAAACTGATTCAACCGATTATCAACTTATTATGATTAATTGCATTCGTGCGGAAAACAAAACAGACGTACCAGAGCCTGTATAGAAAATGTTATAACTCAAAATTTGGCAATTTGCTTATATATCAAATTGAACCCATCTTCTTTCAAATTTTCGAATGGAACATATAACACTCTAGTGGTCTACTTCTCAACCAACTAAATTGAACGTTAATACTCGATATTCGCATTTCACAAGTAGAATCAACAAATGTAATCTTTTAAATACAGGCACTATATATATATAACCTAAATCCTGGGTTAAATGGGTATATCTCGGATTCTCAGGTCCCAGAAAAATATCTCGAGAATTCACAGCATGAAGAAATTTTTCTTATAGACGAACCAAAAAAGTCGAAAGACAATTGAGAGGGAGGGAGTGGAGATCGTACAGAGATATAGTCGGGCTGTCGATTTGATTCGTGCTCTGATTCAACCTCTTCTTCTTCCTCCTCTGACTGATCACCGAACAGATTTTGCATCATCTGATGCCTCTTCTCTTCCCCCACCATCTTTCTCTCTCTAGAATCTTGAAACTCCCTCACAGCAACTCTCTCTCTCCCTCGCTCTCTCACTTTCTTTCCCCCAGTTTTATTTGTAACGCCCCCCTGAAGACTGAAACGGGAGGCCCACTTGAATCGCTGTCCATTATTTATCGGCCACACTTATTATGCCGCAAAAGAAATTTAATAATTAATATTATTAATGAGTAATTTTCCTATTATTAAAGTAAAATTATTTATTTTATTGTGGGTCAAATTAAATAATACTGTAATATATTAGAGTTAAATGACATAGGTGTCTGTTAATAAAACAATCAAAGTATTATGAATATATTTGTCATTTATGTACAAAAATAAGTATTACGGCATGTATGACATTATGGATGAGGTCGGTCGATGAATTAGTAATCTAAATAATTTCTCTTCAATTTTATTTTTTATTAAAAGCATGTTTCAATGGCTATTTGGAAGTGTTTTCTTGAATGTGGTCAAATTTTTTTAGTTACTAAAGTGACATAGGTGTCTCTAATTTTTTTTAAAAAAAATTAAAAATAAAGAAAAAAGAATCAAAGTAAAATGGGTATGTTTGTAATTTATGTTAATAAAAAAATAAATAATAATAGTGCATTTTTTAAAAAAGAATACATTTAATGAGTATTACTCTATTCATGATGTTAGGGATGAGTTCGGTTAAAGGATGAGTAATCTAAAGAAAATTTCTTTATAATTAAGAGAAAATCTCCAAATACATTTAATGAGTATTACTCCATTCGTGATGTTAGAGATGAGTTCGGTTAAAAAATGAGTAATTCAAAGAAAATCTCTTTATAATCCAGAGAAAATCTCTAAATGTATTTAATGAGTATTACTCCATGCATGACGTTGTGTGGATTAGTTTGATTAAGGGATGAGTAATAGAGAGGAAATCTCTGAATGCATTTGATGAGTTTTACTCTATGCATGACCTTATGAATTAGTTTCATCAAGGATGAGTAATTCAGAGGAGATCTCTAGTGCATTTAATGAGTGTTAGTCCATTCATGAACTTATGGATTAGTTTGGTCAATGGATGAAAACCCAGTTGATCTCTCTTCATATTTTCTTCTTTTATTTTTTTTATTTTTTAGAGTTAGGTGCAAAAAACCTCTCTAAACTATTGACTTTTTGTAAATAACCTCTCTTAACTAAAAACCGAACACCTGAACTATTAATTTGTTACAATTAAGGGCAAATCTATTACAAAAGACTATTTTACCCTTTTTTATTAAAATTTTCATTTCTTATTAAATTATTTTTATTATCTTTTCTCTTATGTAAATATTAATTATACTATTTACCTTCTCTCTTTTTTTAGTATCAATTAATCATAAAAATGAAAAAAAATAGATAAATAGATTTGTAACTACCATTTTCTAAATTGATTAACTTATTATTAAAATTTTATTATTTATAATAAAACGTATTATAAAACATTTAAACATTTTTATCATAAACAAAAAAAAAAATCATTTTTTTCATATAATATATTGATGAAAAATTAATAAAATACTTTTGAAAAAAATACCTTCTTTTCATGTAATATATTCATTAAAGATTAAAAATTTAATTAATTTTTGAAAAAAATTTATACTAAAAATTTTTATTTAGATAATTAATAAAAAAATCAAAGATAAATCTATGCAAATTTAATGGAAAATATATCATCAAATTAGTATGAATTTTTTCATAATTTATTTAGATAAGAAAAATATATTAAATATAATTCAATAAGAAGGGGCATTATGGTCATTTAGTGAAATATAGTATAGTCTTTGGGGTATGTTACAACAGAATGAGATAATTTATGGGGTTTTATGCACAAAATATAGTTCAAGTGGGTTATTTGCAAATTCAAACATAGTTCAAGAGGGTTTTTTTTGCACTTTACCATATTTTTTATTTCGAGCAGGTTAGCTATTTAGGAGTTATCTCTTGGTTGTGGTCAGATTTTATTAGTTACCGTAATTATAGTTATATGATATAAGTATCTCTAACTCATAAATTAAAAAAAAAATCGAAGTATTACGAATATGTTTGTCATTTATGAAATTATAAAAATAAATAAATAATGTGTTTGTCATTTATGTTAATGAAAAACAATTTGTGCATATATTTTTAAAAAAATAATGCAAGTATTACCGCATTCATGACATCATATATAAGTTTAGTGAAGGTATGAGTAACCAAGATGATTTCGCTTAATGCATTTAATAAGTATTGTTATGTGCATGAAGTTATGGATGAGTCCAATAAATGGATGAGTAATCAAGATGATCTCTCTCCAAATTTTTTTTCCCTTTTTAATGGCTGTTTGGAAGTTCTTTATTGGGTGTGGTCAAATTTTATTAGTCAATAGTGATTAAAGTGGAATAAGTGTTCCAAACTCATAAATAAAAAATTCAAGTATTAAAAACATGATTGTCATTTATGTTAAAAAATAAAAATAAAGAAGAAGAAGAAGAAGAAATGATAAATCTTCCGACCAAATATGCCAATTTATCCTCCGAATTCAACGTGGATAGGCCACATCAAACCCCAAAAAAGCACACAGCGCTTCCTCTCTCTCTCCGATTCTCTCTAAATCCCCTCTCTCCCTCTGTTTGTAGCATTGTTCTTCGGTCATTCATTTCTCTTATATCTTCAAATCTGGTGGTAGCTAAACCTTACTGGTATGAACAAAAATATCCTCTTTGATTTAAGTTGATTGACAACTAGATCATAAAATGCATATATATACACGATATTTTTATACACACCACCACGGTCCTAAACACCACCACCACTACTCAGCCGTCGACAGTCCTCGAACCTTCTACCACATAATGCTATTCGATTGGGGTTATGGATGCTTATACACCGTCTTCGTCGCAAACTAGAGGACGAAGAAGCCATCAAATCAAAATACGCCAGGTCCAAGCTCAGCTTTCCGTCGATGGTGAACTGCTTGAATGACTTCGAAGCTTAGAATGGGTGGTCCAATAACTTGCTCGGGCCATCATCAACAGTGACGGCTTGGCCCATGAAGTCGATGGCAAAGGCAAATGAGGTAACTAAAGACCGACGATGTGGTGTTGGGATTTAAAGCTTCGAATCAGACGAAACTGGGTTGGATCAGCGCGCCTTTAAGCAATTGAGAGATGAAATTTTTAGCTGGATGATGATTGGAGTATGATATGTGAGATATAAATTTGTAATTAACATATTTCGTTGTCAAAACGAGTCTGACTGAGTTGTAAATTTTCAGTTCGATTTGTCAATAATCGAGATTGGAAGCGAAATTGAAGAAGTGATCGTATTCATGCTTCGATACACTCCGGGATGATGAGAACAATGTTTTAAAAAAGTATGTGAGTGTGTGAGAACACTTAGGAAGTTTTGGAAGGTTGAAACTTAAGGTTTTAGAAATAATTTACATTCTGATCATCTTGAATTGGTTCAAGAATCTTGGAACTGGTTTAACATTTGAGGCTTTGTGGTGATTTTCAAAACTAGTCTGTAATGTTTCCGAATTTTACCTTTTTTTTCATTTTCTAGAATTTTTCGTTTTGCAAGGGCATTTTTATTTTTTCTCGCTTTACGTGCTGAACGCCGTGGGGCGTGTCTGAGAATTAGTAGGGGCATTTCATTAAGTTTGGGACTCTTGGAAATGCACTGGTTGTCATTTTGGTATTTTTTCATTTTTCGAGCCGGAAAGTCCCGAGTGGGACCCGCTATCGGAATTATAGCGTGCGGGGGTATTGTTTGGTTCATTTGCATCACATTCATTTTATTTAGTGTGCTATACGTGGATTTTATATGGTTAGTGTGCATTTATATGTGTGGTAGAAATTAAAAGGGAAAAAAGGAAGATTTTTGCATAGTGGTGGGACCCACTTTCCACCCACCTTTAATTTGTGGCCAAAGACCAAATTGTGGTCTCATTCTCTCTCTTTCTCTCTCTACCCGGCACTCTCTTTCCCTCTTGCATTATTTTTCTTTTTCTTTTCTTCTTTAATTTTAAGGCTCGATTAAGCCTAGCAATTGTGGGAATTTGATAACACCTCCTTGATCAAAGTTAAAAAGCTTGTTGAGATCTTTATTTTGATAGGAACTAAGCACTATTTTGGCCAATCCTTGGATTTCAAATTAGGGCTTGGATTTGGGAAAAAAATTTCTCGTCCATTGAGGTATGGATTTATAATCCACAAGTTTTTATACTTTTGTGAGTTGATTATTCCTTATTTGTTGTCAAGCATGCTTATTTTGTGCTAATTATTTTTAAAATTATGGCAATTATGTATATGGAATGTGTAAATATGTGATGGTTGATGTGTTGTGAATAAGCATGCTTATATGGGATTAAATTATTACTTTACGTGCTTACTATGTTTAATTAATAATGATTGGAAGTATGAGTTGTATTTTTTAGCAATTTATCTTGAATAGCATGTATGAAAATGTTGTGATTACTTTGATGATTAGAAGCATGAAGCACTCGTGCATTCATTGGGAAATAAAAGGCGAAAAAAGTGTTTTAAACAAATGAAATTGTTTTTGGGGAAATATTTTCTAAAATTGTTGCGAAAACCGGATGTCTAAGAGGCTCCTAGTGGTCTATGATATTAGTGTAGTTTAAAATGGAGTATGGTTGAGCTAACTAGGCCGGATGCGACTCCTTAGAGGTGTCTTGTGGTCGTGGATAGTTAGTCAATCCTTCTTTCGTGACGCCTTAGAGGTGCCTTGGGTCGGATTACACTAATGGTTTGAAAGTTGAAATAGAATTGTTTCAGAAATAGGGAGTGACATTTATATGACATTGCACTCCATGAGTATATATACTGTGTTTGTGATTGGATGACATTCGTTATATACTTGTCGTTGTATTTGTGGATATGTGTTTCCCTATGCCATGATCCCGCCACTTTTCATCTATTATTTGTGTGTGTTCACGGGGTTATAAGAAGTGTGTCTTAGACACTTCCTACTGAGCTTATGCTCACCCTATTATTTCAACATTTTTCAGGTTCGGAAAAAAAAGCGGCGGACGATAACCCACCACAATTCTAAAAGGGATTAGGACTTTTGTCTTGTATCTTTTGTAATGATGGGATGAAATTTGTGTAATGTTGCAAATGTAGAAATTGTGAAAGCAAATGGAACTCATGGAATGTAAATTTTATAAACTCTGTTATCTTGTAAGAGACTATGCAGAATCATGTGTAATTAGGTTGTTAAAGAACTTAAGTAAATGTTGTAATCATTATTCTGTGTTTTCTTATGTGCTGGGATAGGATTTATGTAGTTACAATGTTCTACAGCAAGACTTATGCATAGTTTCAGGTTTATGGCAGTTCAGTTGAAAGTGCAGCTTGCAGGACCATTTCGGTCAACCAGTATAGGAGCTATTCCGACCGACTGAAGTTCCATTTCGGTCGACCGGTTTGCTGCTGGTTGCGCTCTTTGTTTTCTCTTTCCAGTACAGTTATCCCCGAGTTTTGGAAAGTTGTTTAAGATCTTTATTGATCATATTTTGTATATGTTAATAATGTAATAACCTTGGACTTAATGGTATTGACTTAGGCGATCTCGGGTTCGGGTAAGGACTTGGTTAGCTGTTCGGACCTACGGGTTCGGGTCGTTACATAGTCATCTTGAACCGGTTCAAGAATCAAAAGGATTATTCAAATTTTACACTGGCCATCTTAAATCGGTTCCACTTCCCTGAACCAGTTCAAGGCCTACAGTCTGTTTTGGTAACTTACCTTCATAGTCTGTTTTGATTCCTATTTGGTTTAGACTTCATTCCAAAATTCTATGCATTAATTTGACTTGATTTCCAAGTATTCTTAGGTTTTCCAAACTTATATATAATCTATCTTTCTTTCAATATCAAGGTATGACTTTTATGAACGACAATTTATTATTTTTGAGAAATCCTTTTAAGAGGTATTGTTCAGAAAATCAAATATGATTTTTCTGTTTTTATTTTGAGAACACATACCTATATACATGAGTGATTTAGCAGTGTTATTCTCTATCTCATCGAAATTGGAGCATGATTGAAGATTCAAAGATTCCGAAAAACAGATCCTATTTCTTCTACATCAAATTCAGATCTTAAAGTAAATAGGTGAAACGATCACACTTTAAAAAGGTCAAAGCATTTGAGGAATGTTGTTTGATCTACAAACAATCATTCTACAGAGATCAAGAGTAAGTCTGGAGTCCAGAGTTATTGGACGGAACGTCGCAAAGCCGGAGATTGTCAGTGATTTATTTTTGGTAGAACGATAGGGTGTGAGTCTGAGTCAAAGTTCATTGTACTTTGTTTCAAACATAGTGGATCAGTTTGCTCTGGATTGCACAATCCACGAGGTTTTTCCCACAACAATTAGTCTCTTATGCCAATTGGAGTTTCCTTACTAAAAATCTTGGTGTCATATTTCAAACTATATTTACTTTACTTGCATTTTATTTTTGTTTTGTGGGTTTGATTTTAGTTTTATTTTGGTAAAATTAAAATAAGTAAAAATTGGGTAAAGGAGAAAGTAAAACCTATTTACCTCCTATAGGTTATTTATCTATATTATATTTCACAATCATTTCGCATTGTGCAACTCAAATGATATTCACGATTCCTAATCCCTCTCTTTATCATCCCCTATCTTTGTAATTCCTGGATGAGCTTTTTTCTAACCGATGGAGGAGGTAGCGGGGCCAGTGGAGAGAAACGCAATTTGGAAAGAGAAGTAAAAGAGATGGTTGGCTTTCTGGTATCATTTATATCTTTATATTATATTTAATGTTGAAGTAAGTCAGCTATAAAATGACAAATTTAACCTTACTTTACTATTTAATGTTAAATTATATTTACAAAAAACAATTATAAAAATACCCTTTAAGTATTATTCTTCAACCCCCTCTATCTAAAACTCTATTTCTAAAACCCTCACATATGTTTTTTATGTTTGTTGCTGGTGAGATTGGTAACTGAATTCAAAGTGAGTTAGGGTTTTCAGTTAAAGTACTTGACTAAGGTTTTCAAACACAACTGGCTTTAATAATTGGTGATTGATCAAGGGAATTGTGGTGAAGGGTGTGGTGTTTGCCGAAAGACCACACCATTAGTGAGCGAGCACTCACCGTTGCCGTTCTTCATCACGTTTTGCAACTCATCCATCGAGATCAACCCGTTCTTGTCCATGTCGAACACCGAGAACACATCTTTAGAATTCTCCAGCACCTCGTCGTAGTTGATGTCCATTGTGTTCAGCTCGAGGAACTTGTTTAGGTTGATGAACTTGTTGCAGTTAGCGTCCACCTCCCCGATCATCATGTCCAGTTCTTCCACGATGGTGTTGTTGCCCATGATGCCCATTATTGCGCCGAGCTTCGACGACGAGATCTTGTCCTCGTCGTTTACGTTGAATTTCTTGAACACTTGGGTCAACTCTTCCTCAATCTGGGAATGAGAGATGAAGTTCGATGTCAATACGGCGATCGAAAGGATTGGTGGAGAGCATTCCTGATTAACAGTGAATAATTAATGTGTGTCTTATTATGATTGAAGAGATTTCACAAACCTATAATTATTTATTTTGAATTTTGTCTGTGGTTTATGAATGGTTTTTGTCAGTGATTTGTGAATTTTGCCTATCATTTGGGTCAAAGACTCCGGCAGTGACCGGCCAATGCTTTTTCTTGCTGGCAGCAAGGCTGTCGACGATAACAAAAAGTAAAGAAGAAGAATAGCAAGGAAAAAAAAGGCATCTTTGTAATTGAAAAAAAATAATTTTTAATTTTTAATTTTTAATTTAACAATAAATAGTAAGATCAAATTTGTCATTTCACAACCTGGTTTAAGAGTCAGACATGGATATTAGGGCAATTTGATCAATTTTTAAAGTGCAGAGAGTTTTCTGAAACATGTGAGAGTTTATGATAAAAATTTGAAAGTAATGGAGATTTTATGGAATTAGCCTTAAAAATTATCACTCAAAAGTAATTCATATTGCATCCTCAATGTATCAAGCTGTCGGAAATATATTAAATATATTTTCAAACTCCGTTTGTTTGTATTTAAAATATTTTTTAGAAAATATTTTATTTTTTACTTTTTAGTATTTGGTTGTAAAAAATATTATTTTTTATTAGAATATAAAAAAACAATTTACACATCGAAATCTTTCCATAAGTTACTTTATATACCCAGCTCGATAGACTCCACCTCAATCTCAATTTAAACATTTGTCAAACACTATATATATATATATATATATATATATATATTATATTAGGTGAAAATATTTTACGTACAGAGTGCAAATGTTGACATTTTTATGTGGTTGAGTTGAAGGGTGTTTGTTTTGAATAACAGACACAACTTTTCTTGACATCCATGAAAGGTTATGTATAATATACGTTGGTATTTGAATTGAAAATATGTCTTTGAAAAGTTACATTTCACATTATAAATATGAAACGTGATCTTTCCTTGGGAACAGACTTATTACTCTATCTCTCCTTTTGCAATTTTATTTTCATAGTAGCCTTAATTTAATTATTTTTAATTATTACTCTCTCAATATATTGGTATTATCATATACAGTTGGTTACAAGTATTGTTAGGTGTAGTATGTTGTGCAACGACTTATTTCATGAGAGTGATATTTCTCTCCGCCTTCCGACTTATTTCATGAGAGTGATATTTCTTTCCGCCTTCCTTACATAGCTTTCAATAAAGAAAGAAATTTTATTAGATAGTTGAACAAGTCTCACATCGGTTAGTGAAGAAGAAAATATGAGACTTATATGTTAACCTTTTGAATTAGATATCCAGAAGTCCAAAGCCCCCTAACTTGGTTTGATCTAGCGAATTATGGTTAATTCATATTTTTTTACTTAATACAAATCAGCTTCCGATAAGTAAAGAAATTTTATTGAATAATTGAACAAGTTTCACATCCGTTAGTGGATAAAGAAATATGGGACTTATATGTTAACCTTTTGAATTTGATATCGAGAAGTCTAGAAGTCCAGAGTCCTCTAACTTGATCTGCGTAAACTTTACAAGGTTTGGTCTAGCGTTTTAGATTAGTTAGAAGTTTGCAACTATGGTTAATTCATATTTTTTTACTTAATAATACAAACATATTAAAAAAAAAGAAATATATTGTTCCATCCCGTTGCCTATTAATTTTTACTTCACACACGTTTGACGTTATTGTTAGAGGGATTTAAAGTATTTTTAATTTGAATTATTAGATGTGGAAAACATATAGAAAGAGGTGTATTTAAAAAAAAGAAGAAGAAAGTATCTATAAAAAAATATTTTATAAAAAGAGTGTATTTTATTATAATATCAAATACGCCAAACCGCCCCAGTCTCGGACTCCTAACAATCCAGCTTAGCTACCCGAGCCACAGACTCGGCCCGAACCAAACCTTTGTTCCACAGTTCGTTGAAAATTTCGCACTATTGCGATCACTTTTATCTCTTCGCAACGCCTCGTTTTCTCGCTGATCACTCTCTCCTGAAGCTCCGAACACGTTCATCTATCTCTTCGATTCAAACCCTACGAAAAATATTGAAGGATCTATTTCGAACTTCAATGGAGGTCCCCTCAAGGTCACAGTAAGTTCACACTTTTTTCTCTCTTCACAAACCCTAAATTTCTCTCTATGCTAACGAATGAATTTTCAATAAGGTATTGGCATGTATTTTTGGGCAGAGTGCACACTGTTTGTATCATCAATTTACGTTTTATAGTCGATTTAATCGCTTCAAGGTTCGATCTCGTTGGGGCTTTCATGAAAATTGTGTTTTTTTGGTGATAAATGCCTGGTTCTGACCGGCGTTTATTCTATATGAACATTTACCTATATGTACTGTATATGTATTGTTTTGGTGACTTGGGGTTGTGTTATATTTGGACAAAATTGACGTCGGTCTGGTGGCATTTGTTGGTCTTATGCGTGTGCATTCTAGAACGAGGTTGCATTTCATATTTACCGGATTATGGCGCTCTTGTTTCTTTCTTTTCTTAATGTGGGTTTATTATTTGTATTTTGACATTTATTTGCTTCAATATTGTGCTTTGTTCAGGGGTCATTGCCTAGTGCAATTGTAAAAGCTCGTTTGACATGCATAAAAATTATGAGTTTGAGTATGAAAGCATTTTGTTTACATAAAATCAAAGGTCTAGTCCTCTTCTCCCAGAACCCTGTGTAGGCATCACTTTTAGTTTTTGTGCTTTCTTAATGGTTACAGTCGGAATTGATTTGTTGAACTATGCCTAATAATGTTATTCAATGTTCTTTGACTTTTTGATTTCCTGCTTCTCACGAGTCTCCTTTTTATCTAGTAAATGTGAGAGTTGCGAAACTATTGTCGTATTTCACATGAGAACAGAGAATCTATGTCGAAATCACGGTGAATTAAGAAAGTAACTTATGAAACGTGTGAAGTATAAAGATAGTTTTAGCACCATCTGGTGAAATGAGTTTTAGCACCATTTGTTCATAAACAAATGAGAGTAGTAGGGGCACTATGAAATTCATCAGTGTATACGTGAGGCTGTCAAATAAATAGGTTGTTTTATAGTGAACAAAATAAATTTCGAACAATTCATCCATTTATGACCTTGTTTTCTTCTTGTGAAATTTTAGTCACCGCACGTAAAATTGTTTGGGAGGGTTCGACGTATTTATCTGTACAAACTCTAGATTGCTTTATAGCCTGTTTGGGAGGGCTTCCTGTTGCCTCAAAACGGGCTTTAAGTCAAGGAAGGCATTCCCAAATAAAAACAAGTGTTTTGTAAAATTCTTCAAATGGGCTTCTAAAAAAACCCACCCATCCTGTTGAAAGCCCGTTCAGCCAAAGCCACGTAGAGTTGCTTTCTGATTCTCATTCCTGCAAACCCAGCAACAATCCTTAGCATTGAACATAGAAATACCATTTGTCCCCTCTTATAACTGAATGTTACCCATTTTAACCCCATTTCGTCAGGTAATTACAAGTTCTTCTCTCCACTCTTATCCTTACATTCTCTTAAAACTAACAATCTTCTAGTCACACCCTTGACTGCTACATAATCGAGTCATGGCTTAGGGTAATATTGTGGATCAAAAATCATCTTTATTGTTAAATGACTTTTAGAAAAATTGTTCAACAAACATCTTTGTTATTTTGAATTCCTTCTAATAAAATCTCTTCTAAAAAGGCCTTCTTAATAAAGGACTTCTGATCCCCCAAACACTACCTTAATTTATGTACCAGCAACCACATTCTGGCACATTTCATTACTCTCTGTCTTCTTTTATTTATTTCTTTATTTATTTTATATAATATTGGTTGAAAAGTACCTGTTTGAGTTAGAATTTGGAACATTATGGTAAATATTTATAGAGTTCGTATACAATATTTTAGGAATTTTACTGCTGTACGTTTAGGAGTCTGGCCCCTTTTGTGTTACCTCTGCAATCTCTCAATATTCACTTCGTATGGTCGAGTAGGATTAGGAATTAAATGGGGGCCGTGATTTTCAACCTTTAGCTAGCCATCTTTAAAAGGATAACTTAAATCATTGAATTTATGTTTTATAGTTAAAATTTAGTGAAGCTAGTTATTGTTTCAAGTGTTTATAGCTCTCGTGCCTTGTGAATGAAAGCCTATCATTGTTAGTTTACAATATTCGTAACATTTTTCATACATAATATATATCTCATGTCTACTGATTCCACGACAAAAAGAAAAAGACTCTTAATATTCTTAAGATTATATTATTAACTATTTTTTTTACTCAGTATGATTATATTATTAACTTATAAATTCCTTAGCCAAAGCACGGCATAATTGAGATTATTAATAAATTTTTTATGGGAGTGTTTTTATTTGTATTTACTTTTATTATTATTATTTGTATTTGACAAGTAATGTATCCTATTTACTTTCATTATTAAGTAGTTGAATTGTTAATTATCTACCATGAATCACATTAGTTCCTCCAAAATCAATTATTAGAATTATTAAGTTATTAACACTAATTGAAGGGTCAACATTCAGCTGTAACACAATTCACAATGACAACTTTTATAACCCTATTTTGGGTTAGCCTTGTATGCAATGAACTTATAAACATGTAAATGAGTAAATAACAAAATATCAACAAATACTTGCATAATCCAAAGAAATGGAACAAAACTTGGAAGGTTTTTATAAATCCGTTCCTAATCACACGGATAACTCTTGAATCATCACCTCTTCCAAATTGATATTCAACATCTTCTCGTCATTTCTCCTCACTAACAAGTGTTCCTTTTCCTTAAAAAGTGTTGCAAGAATAAGACTTTAGTTAAAAGTTTTAACAATTATATTTATGCTTATAAAGACTATAATCTAGTACTTGTCCCTGCCGATTTGAGGTTTTGAGAGAGATGGGGTGGATACAAACCAAAATTTGGCATTATTTACACAAAGTGGCTTTTCTTATTCCTGACTGAACCTATATTCCCGTGCTTCCTGAGCCTTTACCATTGAACTTAGCAAAGGACCCTTATAGATTTATATATATATATACTTATATCTATATCTATTAACGTTAGACCTAATTCTTCCCGAGGCACCAGGGCCAAGTTCTTACCCACTTGAGCCAACCCCTTGGGGTTTGTAGATTTATATATTTATTTATAACAATATCTTAATAATTCATTCTTTTGTGAGGTAGAGTATCTCCTGCATTAATGTATTTCCCATGATCTCAATATTAGATTTTAGTAGCACTTGAATCTAGTTCTCGTGACCTACTTTATAGCTTTTCTGTGCACTTTGTGTTTGCATTCATTGAAGCCTTTTCTTCATGAAATTATATCTGATCTAACAAGAAGAAAAGGTGGGACGGTCAATTTCACAGTGGGGCCTTGTAGGCAGTCTCCTCTCTGAAGTTTTAGCACTTCAAACATGTAAAATCGGAATGAGGATGCCATTGTGAACTTTAACTTCATGGGCTGTTTCCAGAAGGGAAAATGTATGAGCCTCATTCGTAACATGTGGTAAGAGTACCTTACCAATAGGCTCTAGTCTATATGATATAAGCTCTTCCTCCTCAAAGGGGAGGTTGAGTGCTTGAGCCCCGGTGGGGGAAAAAAAAATTGAGTGTGCGTGTTTGCTTAATCATCCAAAAAAAACTTATAAATAAAAAAAGAAAAAAAGAAAAGGTGGAGTACCTTTTCTAAAGGAGCTTATATGACAAGGTCTGGATGATTGGTTGTTAGGCTGTGAGTTTGATAGGGATGTTATTTGTGTGGAGGGAGATGCAATTTATATGGATTTGTCAACGATAATTATTATTTGGAAAGGCAAGTAAATGATGCTTTAACGTCATTGCATCTCTAGTATGGTATGTGTTAGTGGTGGAAAAATATCAGTCTTACATGTGAACATGATATATTCTATTGAACTGTTCTTAGGGTTTTGGTAAGGATATATTATGAAAAGGAGAGATAAAACTATGGGTTCCTTAAAATCTATTAGGTCTATCTGTTACTCCCAGAAGAGGTTAATAGAAGTGCTTTAAAGTATTCACATCCCGTAGATCATTGTGCATTCAGGTTGGTATACATCGCGTCCTGCTCCCACAAAGACTGAACTGTGATAGGTAGTGATAGACCGAGGTAGGCCAAGAGCTTGTTCAACATCAAAGCATTGAGAGTTAATTATTATTATTTTGATAAGTAATTGATAACAGATTACTTGCCCATCCAATCTGGTCTGGAGACTTATAGGTGACTAGATGAGGATAATTTTTTTTTTGATAAGCGACTAGATGAGGATAATAGAATGGAAAAACTCGGGTTTTCAGTGTAAGGAAAACAAAGGGAGGATATTGATTAACATGCAACTAGTTGTTGGAATTTATAGGGCAATGTTTTCTTCCTCTGAAGGATCAATGAATGATTTACTGAATACTGAATCTGTAACATGGCCTTGCAGAATATGGCAAGGGCATTGACATTAAAGTGGTTTAAAAATGATTACAATAACCGGTACTATACGAGGCAAAAGGGTAAATGGGAAAATATTGGGATAATTACAAGTATTAGTCAAAGGTAATAGCTACTTCCCTGTAATTTTAACTGCTCAAAATATATGTTTTTGAATTATGTGGACCATCCTTGTAATTTGGGAAGGAGAATCTCTTTGGGAAATCGTGTTTGAGGAATAAGGACCCAATTTGGTGAGCTTAAGTGTTCTTGGGTTCTAGTTGCCTTCTTTCGTGAGTTTTGTGGTTTCTATTTTTAAGGGCCTAAGAGCTATAAAGTGTGGTTGGAAACTTGGAGCCAAGCCTATGGGCTCGAATGATGTTTAGGTATATTAAGAGAGAGAGAGAGAAAAACTTTGGTATTTTCATGCATAACAAGCTTTCTCCCTTTGAATTGTTTTGCTCCCCATTCAATTACACCTTTAGATGATGTTCTTAGGAAGGTTAGTTTGACTGATTAAGTGCCACATTATTTTCATTTTTACTTGGCCATTATAATGGCTTTCTCATGGAAAGAAGAAGGCAGCATATGAGTTCAAAGTTGCAATATGGAGTCAAATTTAAGAGAACTAAAAAGTTGACTAAAAAGAAAACTGGTTTGACCTTGTGATTCTGTGTTGTTGAAGTGGAACATATGCATTTATATGTTAAAATTTTGCCTCAGTATTTTTTGCAATCACATGCTGTTAATAATATGATCATTCCAAGATAAAGCAATGAAGAACACTAATTACTAAAATATTGTGACACTTTAGTGTCCGTATGACATTTTGGGCATAATGAAGTTATTTGTCATTTGGCCATTGTTTATCCCACCCCATTTAGTTTTTACCCACACTGAACTGATCTGATGCAGGATGAGGTTTTGAGGTTGGGAATGTGGTAGTCGGAGTGACACTTAACAGAAGATAAGCGGTGTTCAGAACGTGATCATATCTGATTAAAATTACGTTCTGGTTGGAGCTTCTGCTTTTTACATACCTAATTGAAGGAATGTCGAAGTTTAAAAATTCATTCAGCTCTTAAAGTTATTCTTTGTACACACTAAAAATTTAACTGCTGAAATTTTTGGGGATTGAATTATCTATGCCTGGTAACGAAGTTGAAGACAAGGTTCACAATTTTTTTGCACCAGACAATTTGTCCCAAGGACAGGTTGTGGATGGGAACTGGCCAGTGCTAGGTAATAATCCGTGGGTTGGAAGCCAGAGTCATCTTGTTGTTCCAAACTCCAAGTTGAAAAATTACAATCTTCAGCTCTCAGGTATCAGTGATCTGGATTTTGATCCACTAGTTCTATTTGTTGTGATGTTTCTTATCAATCATTAACAGTTTTATTTTATTATTATTTTTTTAAAATAAATTTTCTTTGAAATATATGAGAAATATGCGAGAATGAGGATGTAATGGTTCTGACATTAATTTTGATGTATGGTTCAAATTCAGCACCATGATTTTCAAAATTTATCCCCATTTCTATTCGCATAAGCAGATAATGAGAGAGGACATAGCAGCCATTCTTTGCGAGTGCCACATGGCTTGAACTTTACACAATCTTCTTATAGGCCAGATTTTGCAAAAAGTCAGTCTCGAAGCCCACAGACAAATTTGAATGGCTATATTAATGAACAACAAGTATTCCAGACAAGGCAGAATGAAGCTAACTTTCTGGGAGTGGATACAGAATCTGATCAGCGTAATGTAACATCGGGAGGCTTATCCGTCTATGATTCACAGCAAGTGAATGGTCCTGAATATCATACAAAAGTCTCAGTTGGGCCTGAAACATCTGAATCTCCCGTTAGTTTTGATTTTTTTAGTGGTCAACCGCAGATGAGCATCCAGCAACTGGGCATGCTTCAATCCTTACCTCAGCAGCAATCTGGGTTTAGTGACGTTCAGCTACTGCAACAACAACAAATGTTTAGGAAAATGCAAGAACTTCAGAGGCAGCAACAGCTTCAGCAGCTAGAAGCAAGGCAACGGAATTCAATGAATCAGTTCTCTGCCATTGCTAAACAAGGATCTAGCAACCATTCAGCCGCTTTGATTAACGATACTCCCCTTGCTGAAACATCTAATTATCCTTGGCCTACTGAACTTGCAACAGGTAACACAAACTGGCTGCAGCGTGCTTCTCCGGCTATGCAAGGATCTTCTAGCGGACAAATATTTCCCCCCGGGCAAGGTCAGACAATGTGCTTAACGGGATTGGTTCCTCAACAGGTTGATCAATCTCTTTATGGGGTTCCTATCTCCAGCTCAAGGGGCAATCAGAACCAGCATTTTCACATCCCTCTGGACAAGCTTCCAATGCAGCAAATGTCAACCTGCAGTAATTCCTTTCCAGGTAACCAATATTCTGTATTGCCAGATCAGGTTAGCATGCAGGGTGAAAGTTTGGTGTCTGGACAGGGATTTCAAGGTAAAAATACAGTTGGGCATGCTTCTGATCAAGGTTTAAATAATGGGATGAATTTGGAGAACCGCCTGCAAATGAATGCCCTTCAAAGAAATGAGTCCATGCAGGAATGCCACGGAAGGCAGGAGCTGGCTGGTTCATTAGAAAAGTCACAGGAAAAACCATTAATGGAGGTCGGTCCTTCAAAGAATGCGGTTGGCCTAGACCCTACGGAAGAAAAGATTTTGTTTGGTGCAGATGAAAATATATGGGATGCTTTTGGTGGGAGTATCAACGCAAGTGCAGAAGGCTGTAATCCGTTAAATGGTACAGGATTTTTGAATGGTTTCCCTTCTGTTCAAAGTGGGAGTTGGAGTGCTCTTATGCAGTCTGCGGTTGCGGAAACCTCTAGCAGTGACATAGAATTGCAGGAAGAGTGGAGTGGTCTGAGTTTTCAGAATACGGAGTTTCCAACACGGAATCGTCAGTCTTTAGCATATAAGGATAGTGAAAAACAACAATCAGTTTTGGCTGATAACAATTTGCAGACTGCATTAAGTTCTAGATCTGTTACCCTGTCATCAGATCCCAATATGAATAACAATTTCTGTGCCCCAGGGTCTCAGCAACTTGAACACAAATTTTCCTACGAACATGGAGAAAGGCTATCTCACAGATCCATCCAGCAATCTTCAGATCAAGGAAGCAAGTGGTTAAATCGAGGTCCTTTACAAAAGCCGCCTGCCGAAGAGAGTCAGGTTTATGGAAATGCTGCTCGTTCTTTAGACACAGAAATGAATGCAAAGAGCAATGCTCTTAGAGGTTCTTGGACCCTTCAAAATGGCACGTCCTCGTATCACTCTGGGGGCCAACCACGGAAGAAACCAAATGGTTGTAATGTTATTGAGTCTGTATCACAAAGTGAACATGCAACTTCAAAAAATAATGAGAATGACAACTCTCTGCAATTTTCACAAAGTAATCATCAGAAAGGACTAATGTATGTGGAAATCGGTCACGTTGATGGTATATGTAATATTGATTCTCTTCCTAATTCAACTGTTGAATTGGAACATGCCAAATCTGCCATGAGAAATCCAGAGGTAAACAGAGAGGACTCTAGTTTGAATAATGTTGGGCTCATAAAAAATTCAAGAACTGCAAGGGCCAGACAGGAAACCAGTGAACTGCTTCCAAATAGTCATAACCTTAATTCCTGGAGACATGTTGATTCTTCAATGAAATGTGGAGGAAGTGAAGCTTCAGGGAAACCGCAGAACAAGGGTCTTCAGATTTTGGAGTCACCGGTGAATAGCTCTGATAGGGAGGCGGTCAGAATAGATGAGATGGAGAACCATGATAAAAAGGAGAATCCTAGTGACGGCTATCGCTCCCACCGCAATTCCACTGGTGGGTTGAGGGAAAATGTTTGGTCAGATGCAAATGATTCACGGATTCTACATGCAGGCAAGCAAAAGTCATCTGGTCATGCTGGTCGGAGAACTTCTGCCCCTCGTAAATTTCAGTATCATCCAATGGGAAACTTGGATGAGGATGTGGAACCTTCTTATGGAACGAAACAGTCTACCCATTCACAGGCCGTGTCCCAGCAGATTTCTCGAGGATCAAAAAGTCAGAGTCAAGGGTACTTTGGGCAGTCAAATTTTTTTCGCCCCATTCCTAAAAAATCTACGGAGATGGAAAAGGTGAGTTGTGGGCTTTGCTTTATTTTTTATTATATATTTACTTTATTTCTGACATGAGGGTTAAAGTATGGATGTTATTATATTTTATGAATGATATTATATTTACAGGGACATTTACCTGATTTTCAAGAAAACACAACAGAGTTTGACGAGGTGCCTTCCAGAGGCATTCTTCCAGGCTCTCTGCATAATATGTCTACTCCCTTCGATAGATCTGTCAGCAAATATGCACCAAATAGGGATGCTCCATCAAGGTATTGTTTATTTGAGGTTTAAGATTATTATATAGGATGCATGTTAATTTGATTTCTTATATCTTATACTTTATTAGGCTATTAGGCCAATGGTATAAGCTCTACTCTCTCCAAGGGGAGGTGAGGGGTTCGAGCCCCGTAGTGGGCAATTTGCGAAATGTGTATGTGAGTACTTACCTGACCCATATTAGGTGCCGTCATAGTTGATCTCCTGATTACTTGTAATTGGAGACACATGGCCCTTTGACACTTGTCACTTGATTTATAAAGGAAAATAAAAATGCAAAAAGAACCCACACTGACTTATCTTGTGTCCAGAACAGGCTGAGAGAGAGTAGTCATCTATTCCTTCTCTTCATTTGTGCCTTAAAGCCTATTATTGATAATTGTTAAATTGACCCAATAAATTATCGAACTATGTAAACCACTTCCGAGAATATAATAGTTTCAAAAAATATTCATGTCGTCAGTGGCGGAGCTACGTTGGGTCCAGTGGGAGCAATTGACCCCACTGGAATTTTTACTTATTTTTATTTTCTATACATAAAATTTAGTTGTTAACAAAATGCCTCCACCTATCTCCTAAAAAAATCATTAAAGACCTTAAGAAAAACTTCCAAATTTTTAAAATTCCCCTTCATTTTCTAACTCATTGGCCCAATGTGATTTTCCAAATTCAGAAAGGCCTATTTTTTTTCTCCTCCTGCAGGTCCCACAAAATTTTTAAGATTAAAATTTAAAAAATTTGCCATTTATTATATTGGTTCAAATTTTTATTTTTTAAACTTATTATTGTTAATGGTTGCCCCCTTAGAAATAAATTCACGGCTTTGCCACTGCATGTCAATATTCTTTGCAAATTTACCTTTTCCTCGAACGCAAAAATATGATGACAAATTTGACCTTAGATCCTGCCAATTTGCAAGGTAATGATGGTATAAAGACATTAGAATTTTTGAAAAGACAAATATATTTATGTACTATTGTGTTCTTCTGTCTTTGATTGTTAGGGATTCCCATAATTCCACATTGAACTCCTCATTTGACCATGTCGTGTTAACACTTGACACCCATGCCCATAACTCAATACTAATTCACTAAAGAGTTTTTTTATATAAAAAAATTACTGATTAGTTCTCCTTTTAAGTCCCTTTTGAAATCTATATTAATTTTTCTTTTCCCTTCGTTAGAAATTTTATGTTCTCACCAACATGCTTTAACTGTTTCTATTCATTGCAGTCAAAATATGCTTGAGCTTCTTCACAAGGTGGATCAATCGAGGGAATGTGGCACACCGATGCATTTCAGCTCTTCTGTGCACAATCCATCATCTGAGATACCCAAAGTAGATAATTCTGATGGATCTGTCGGTCACCTTCAGAAAAATCATTCTTCTGCTTCTCATGGTTTTGGTTTACAGCTGGCACCTCCATCACAACAGTTACCTGTTCCAGATCATACATTGTCCTCTCAGAGCCTTGCACAGACGATAACTTCTGCTAGTTCAAGTAACACCACTACTGAGATAAAAGACAAGGCTCGTACGACGTTGGCACCTGCAGCTCAAACTCAATCTTTGTCTCCTTTTTATGGAACATCTCAAGGAGAATTCAAGAATAGTAAACTTGATATTTCAGGACAAACTGGCAATGAATCCTCACAGTATAATATGCAGAGAACCTCCTCTTCAGCATTGAATTCTGGTCTTCCCCATTCCAGAAGTCAGCACGTGACCAGTACGAGTGGACAAGTGACAACAAATCGTTCTATGAATACACCTTTTGACAGGCTTGCTTCCCATTCTAAAGAGGCAGATGATTCGTCTATTCAAACTCTTACTGGTCAGTCTGCACCGGTATCTTTGCCTAGTACCGTTGGCCATATTCCGCATGGAGTCTTAGCCCCGCAAATTTCAGCGGGGGAAGCTGTGCGTGTCTCCCAGCCTTCCATTACATCTGGGATCTCTCAACAGGGTGCCTCCTTGAAAAGAATACCTAACTTGTGGACTAGTGTTCCAGTGCAGCAACGTTTATTAGGTGCCCAACCTCGCAAGGCTCCTTTGAATTTTTTCCATTCCAATCAATCAAATATTAACGTGGATTCAACTTCATGCGCTCCACAGAATTTAGAGGTTGAAGATTCCCGTAAAGGAGGCAGTGGCCCATCTGCATTTGTTGCTAGTTCTGCGAGCTCACAAGATTTTGTCTCTGGTGAAGAGCAGTCAGAGAGAGAAAGCACCAGTCAGCGAGCTTCATCTGGGAACATTTTCCGTGCCGAAAAGACGTGTGCTTCTCAAGAGAATGAAACCACTGTCAAGCATCTCACAGATGCATCTCCTCTGAACCCTGCTTCAACTCAAAGAGACCTTGAAACCTTTGGTCATTCTTTAAAACCAAATAATTTCTTGCGTCAAAATTACTCCTTGCTGCATCAAATGCGGGCGATGAAGAGTTCAGAGAATGATCCAAGTAATAGGGAGTTAAAGAGATTTAAAGCAACACACAGTGGTCAGGGAGTTCAGCAGGAAGCTCCAAGTACAGGACTGTCAAACGATTACATTACTAGGGATGGAGATGCATTAGTTCATCGTAACGCTGTTCCATCTGGAGATTCTAAAATGCTAAGCTTCTTAGGTTCAGTAAATAATTGTGAAAGAAATTCATCTTCTCAATTTGGCAGTGTACCATCTCAGGATATACTTGGATTTAGTCGGGATGATCCTCAGATTTGCCCTGCTAGTAATAATACACCTTCTGTTAGACCTGAACATTCTCAGATTAGTCCTCAGATGGCACCCTCTTGGTTTGATCAATTTGGAACCTTTAAAAAGGGGCAAATGTTGCCGATATATGATGCACAAAAAACTGCTGCTGGTAAGAGTTTGGGACAACCGTTCACTCTTGGGAAGCCTTCTGATAGTGTGCATGCACATAATTCAACAGTGCAAGTAAATGCTGATGCTGATGCTGATGCAAGTCAGGTTGGTAATACTTCAATCCCGATTGCAGCTGCAAATGAGCATTTCTTTTCTCTCCATTCATTGCCTCCGGATGTCATTGATCAGCGTCTGGTCATTGTGAGACCAAAGAAGCGCAAAAGTGCAACATGTGAGCTTCTTTCTTGGCGTAAAGAAGTCACACAGGATTCCCAAAGTCTTTGGAGTATCAGGTGTGGGTCTTAAATGGCAAATTTGCTGAATGTTCTATGTTTACTCTCTCTCTGTCTCTCCTCCCCACTCCCATTCCCAATTTCATTATTTCTTTCTGACAGTTGGTTCCTTTAATATGCAGTGCATTTGGTCCCCTTATGTTGTTTGCATAGCATTATATGTTTGCTATATCTTTTCTTTTTCTGGGTTAGTTGACTCTAAAGTTATGCATGCAATTTCAGCCAAAATATGGTGAAATAATTCTTAATGAAACACTGCAAATAATTTTAGTGTAATTTGACAAGCTTCATCATTGATTAGACTTAGGTAGTCAGGATGGTATATGGTTGCTATATGTGCAATTATTTTTTTCTTCTTTCCTATTAATGTTTTTTGTTCATTTCTTTTTTGGTTTTTCTCATAGAAGTTTTGTTGCTTGCAGCATGGCAGAAGTAGATTGGGCCAAAACATCAAATCGGCTGATTGACAAGGTGTGTTGGTGTAACCACCCTGTACTATTCATGTACTTTGCACTAATTTTGGCCTAGTTATCCAATTGTCCTAATGGCTTCATTTCTGATGACAGATTGAAGATGAGGCTGAAATGATCGAAGATGGACCACCAATGCTTAGGCCAAAAAGACGGCTTATCTTGACCACACAGCTAATGCAGCAACTGTTCCGCCCTCCCCCAGCAGCAGTTCTCTCTGCAGATGCTGGTTCTAACTATGAGAGTATTTTGTACTCGGTTGCTAGACTAGCATTAGGGAGTGCATGCAGCCTAATCTCTTGCTGGGGAACTATTTCTCACGGGCTTCATGACAATATAAACCTGTAAGAACTACTCTGGAAGTTACCTGAAGGCTGAAATTGTTCATCAATATTCATGCTTGGTCATTTTGAATAATTGTAGATTTAATGAGGACTATCATTCTGCACATAATCACTTGTTTTTAATTTTTTTTTTAGCTCGTCTGATAAGCATAAATCTTCTGAGAGAATTGGTCATTGGCATATTTCAAAAGTCATGGAAGACTACATTGGTAGAGCACAGAAGCTAGAAAATGATTTCTTGAGGTAATGCTTCTGGTCTACTTTATTTGTACACATCATATTTTCCAGCTAATTCTGTTACACTATCCTTAGCCTTCTAATGTCTAAATTTTTGTATTTTTTCAGTTTCTACATATATCTCTAAGCTTTCCTGAAATTCCTTTATTATATTCTTTTAGTCTAGAACTCTAATGTAATTGCAAGAAATATTATTTGGCAGTTGAGCAGTCAGGATAAAAATCTATGGAGATGAACATTTTCTCATTCTTTCGTAGACCTTAATAATGTTCTGCTTTTGTGTCCGGGTTTAATCTCTCTAAGCTGCCATAATATTTGCTTCTTGATGTTATGAAAGATGATATGTGGCCCTTGATTTAAAAAAGGAAAAAAATGAAAGGTTGACTGATGGAGTCACCTGGGTAACAAAAAAAATAGAGGGATAGGGCTTTGGATAGATGATTATATGATGCCATTCTTTCCAGTTTAATGCCCAGGTTCATCCTCTTTAGGTGGGAAAAAGGGAAGGATGTCACTTTGGAGAGGTCTGTGAGAGTAAAGTTTACATGTGCTCCTGGTGTTCCATGTTTGAATATAGACATGATCAAAATGGCGTATGGGCATAAGATATGCGTTTGACGTGCCTACTTTTGAACACGTACCCAACAGTAGGTCCGATTCCGATTCCGACTAATCCAAGGACTAGAAGTTTCCTAGGATGCATTTATTTTCATTCCTTGATAACATATGCGGTGCTTCACATTATCATCACATTCCAACTTCCTAGCCGAGCTTAAGGAAGTTAGAAATATTAAATATAAAAATAATTATGCTCTTTGGTTCATAGTATGTTCAACTTGGAGATATTTCATGGAATTGGTACAGCGGAGGCATGGGTGTTTCATGGATGACTACATAGACCAGGAAGATGGAATAAGAAAACTGAACGCCTTGGAGAACTTGGTGGTAGTCTTCATAGGTCGTGAGAATGACGACCATCGTCATTGGTATCAGTACTGTATAGAAAGCTTGTAGGTAGTGCTGGGATGTCATTGGGCCAGTAGCTTGAGTTTATTTATTTTATTTATTTATTTTTTTTGTATTTCCAGGTGGGGGCATATAATTGGTATTGTTGTCTGACTTCAGTTGCTGAAACGAGTAATTTTTTGCTTTTGTTAGTTGCTACTGTTTTTGGAATCCTTTTCATTTTTATTTTTTTAATCGTTGATAAGAACTCAGAAGTCAAGTTTCAATCAAATTAATGTATCTCAAAAGAAGAGTCCCTCTCTTTTGTTAATCCTTTACCCTTTTTGGTGCAGACTGGACAAGAGAGCCTCAGTCTTGGACCTACGAATGGAATGCCAGGACCTAGAAAAGTTTTCTGTCATCAATCGTTTTGCCAAGTTCCACGGCAGGGGGCAAGCTGATGGGGCTGAGTCCTCATCATATCCTGATGCAGCTGCAAATGCTCAAAAACCTTTCCCCAAGAGATATGTAACTGCACTTCCAATGCCTAGGAATGTCCCTGACAGAGTACAATGTCTTTCACTTTGATCATTGATTTAATTGATTTTTCCCCTTTACTGGTCATCTGTCTCCGCATCCCTCTGCTACCCTAATCAATTTTCTTGCAAGCAATACGCTGGCACTTGCACCAACACAAATAGTTGCACATCCATATCATGAAAATGGATATTCGATAAGTCTCCTTGCAAGCAATGGAGGCTGTTGATATTCTCTGTCAATGCCATAACTTTCATTATTGAGAATATAGAAAAGAGTCCTTGTACATTTCTGAAATTTAAACAAACTGGGGTGCCCCCATCATTTTTGCAGCAAATGGGGAGAATATAAATGCAGCCATATTTTCTGACGATGTTCACACTTGGCCTTCAATTAGACATAAATATAAATTCTTGTTCTTACCAGATTGTAGCATTGTTTTTTACTTGCAAATTGGCCCAGGTCCAAGTTATTCCTAAATGATATCAATGGTCATAACGATTTCCTTGGTTTTTTTCCTTTGTGGTTGAAAAGATGGCCAAATTTGTTGTCTAAACATCCACCCAAAAACTGATTTAGCTGCCATAGCCTTTTTGTTGCTGTTGAACTTATTAAACTTCAAAATAGGATTCGATCCGGGCATTTTTTGTTTTTTGCATTGGCGTCCATGACTTGCTGTAGGCTTCAAGTACAAGCAAGCACTTCTTAAAGGCACCGGTTGTGGTGCGTGTTTTTTTTGTTTCCAACTGCACAAATTCTCAAGGGATTAGTGTAAGCATAAGCAGCGGCAGTGCAATTTAGGATATGGTACTGCAACATTTAGTCTAATTTCCATCTCCCAATATCAGAAACGGCAGACCAGAAACATGACCATAGCACAAAATTGGCTCTTCTATAAAGGCAACCATTAGACATGAAACACTTGCCCTTTTCACCGAGAAGGGCAACAAAAAAAAAAAAAAAAAAAAAAAAACAACATGACGAAAAACCATCAGACATGAAATGTATGATTGTTATCTTTAATGCACCTTTGCCCAATTAGAAAGGAATCACCATGTCATGCCGAAGCAGGCACCATCTAAAAATTTCTCAGGCACCACAGAGACACTACTATGACTAATCAGCCGAAAAGAAAAGCTGGTCCTGTTTGCATCCAACGAGATTAGCAGTTGTAATTGCATCCAAGCTGCACTCGCAGAATCTATTGCTACGATTCTTACACAATTCATTCATTTATACCATATAAAATATGGCGATCGAGCCAAATAAACTTTCATTCCTTCCTCATTAACATAACACCATGATGTCAGAGAAGGTATTGAGTAACATTCGATTTACCTCAAGATTTTGCAGCAAGAATTCCATGTATAATGGGGATGCCAATCCCTCCAAGACTTCCAAATTATTTTAGATTCTGATTCCAAACATTTGCAGCCCCGGTCAAAGTTGTGCAATTGTAGAATTTCCATTGGCCTTTTCCTTCAAATTCAACTGCTAACACTGAAGCAGGTTCAAGAAAGGCAAACATGCATTTCCTCTCCGATGACAGCAAATATTTCATCAACCCTGTAAGGAAAAATGAAAGCATCAACGCTTCTGTGACTAAGCTGAAACTTTGAAGCAAGAATTGCAAATCACAGTGGCAAAAATCAATTTTCCCCCCTAAATTGGAGGGTGAAATAAAATAAAATAAAATAAAACACTTGAATTCAAATCATGCCTATGCTATGCATATGTGGTCTGGCATCTGGAATACTCCCAATTTTTGGGATTTTGAAAACAAACTACAGCTATCTTATCATTGATTTGAAGTTTTTGCTTCCTGCCTTTCCTTTTTCTTTCTTCCACACACGAGAAACAACAGAGCGGAGCATACAGTAATTGCAATTGATAATTTCTAACATCAATTATCATTGTTCAAATCAAAGTCAGACAGTAAAAAATATAAGAAATTAGCTCAAAATAAACTTTAACCCTGCAATTACCTGTATACATCTACGTTAACCTCTGCAAGCCAGGTTGTTAAGTAAACCTGCAACTCAAACAATTAGGAATTAGAGAGAGAGAGAGAGGTTTGCAAATTTAAGGGAAGATTCAAGCTTGGTGACTTGGAACGCCACATTGACTTTTGAAAATTTTGTTTTCTTCAATTTCAATGATTGATCACTACTAGAGATTCACTGTTTAAAGAAACACTGTTGAATCTCAGAACATTGGCCCAGTCCTTAGACCCATAATATCGGGTCATTCCATCCATGTTTACCTCATGTCTAATTGTGGAAATATGTTTTTTCACCACTGGCGATGGAAAACCAAAAGCTAGGATGCAATTCAGGGAATAGTGTGTGCTCTGGCAGCAGTGGTTGATTGAAAACAATCTGAATTATTTGAAATTACCATTTTACTTTTAGATTCTGAATGAGAATAAGTGACGTGCATCTTTGAAAATAGTAAAAGATTGGAAAAATAATCACCCAAAAAATAGTGACATGGCCATTTATAACCGACTGTTAGCTTGAGTGGAATCTCTGGCCACTCCCAAAAAGGAGGTGCAGGGTTCAAGCGCTCGTTTGGATGTGAATGTGTGTGTATTATTCATTAAAAAATTGTGTAATACCATACACTAATGTATAATGTACCATGAGAAGTTCCATGTCATGAAGTATTTAAAATATGTATCGAACTTTTTACATCATACCATATAACTAATTATGGTTTTTGAAGTTTTGAATGAGCCAATACCTGTAAAATCTCATGGTTTAGTTGATGGTTAGATCCTTCAGCAGGTGTATCAGATTTCCACCCATTTATTTTTGGAAGATTAGGCTTACAAGCTTCTTTGGAATACAAGCTGCATGTACTCAAATCATCAAATTCTCCAGGATAGAGTTCATCTGACCAACAAAATTCACTGATTGGAACTTCTTCAGAACAAAGTGAGAGTAACTCCACTACAAGCAACCGCTGCTCATTCAAATATTCAAATTAATATGTCGGATGAGTAGAGGGAAGAAGGTACACAAACTAAGACAACTGATTCATAACATGTCCAACTTCTTTTCCCCATATAGATTTCTCATAAGCCAACAGATACTGTCTTTTACCTTCAAATTTAATTCCAATGCAAACATCTGAACAAGCTCAAGTGCTAATTTTTCTGTAATAGTTTAAAAATAATTCCATCAATATACATCAGAAAAATGAAAAAATCTGGTAACTTTTGAAAGAACAATTCCAAAAGTAACAGAATTTCAATGGAACTGACCAACCACACAATCTCTCATATAAATGAATAACAACAATGCCTGTGATGTAATTTAGATATTGCACATCTTCTTTCTTTTTCTATCTCTCAGGGCTCATATAAAAACTTCAGTACAAATATACACCCAAAGTTGACCCCTAACAATATGTGGCTTAATCCACAACAAATTTGAGGGCTATGAAACTATACACCATTTCTATCTGCAAGTATATGCAACCATGGCAATCCATAAATATCACAGGCCATTTCTCTAAAAAAAAATGCTATCCATACCAACAACAATTGACAAATATGAAGAACATATCATGTAAGTTAGTATGTATATAGCACACCGCGATGTCATATATTCTCAAAGATTAACCTCACAGTATAGGCTCTCTGTCCAACATTAACATTCTGTTTGTTTTGTGATTAAAACATCTCAAAAGATGGAATGGAGTAATTAAAAATGATTTAAGAAACTGAAATACTAAAGGTGGCATGGTGTATAATAATAGAATAGAATGGAAAAAGATAATTAATGTGGCTGACCCCATTCATGTGGGAGAAAGGCAAGGATGATGTTGATTATATCTCAAAAGATTTGAAATAAAACAGGACAAAATCCTTAGAAAAGCAACTAACACCTATATTTTTTTGGTGCCAATGAAAATTGCTTTTGTCTATACAACATTCTAATGCTTCAGGTGATTTAATTCAGATAGTATAACATTTTTCCAATATTTGATTCCATCTGAGTGTATAATTGAAGAACTTAGGTTAATTCCTTGAAGTAAGCTTCTAAATTAATTTTCCCTTATGCAGCCCATTAGGTTAATTGGAAAGTGGAACACTTGTACTAAAAAACAGGTGACAACGATTGGTCAAATTTCTGAAACATTTTATTGTATTTATAGTTAAATTTTAAGCAAAAGGTAAAGTACTTTAGCAACAACCACCGAAAAAAAAATTGTTAAATGATGTGATACTGCCCTTTATAGAAAAAAACAATTTGACAAGGCCAGTCCAGAGTTGGCAGAAACACTTCAGATTTCATAATGGTAATATCCTTTTAAGTTGAATTGCTGTCTCAAAGTTTAACAAAAAGTAGATGCAGCAAAGGAATTGCAGATAAGTACATACCAAAGGAAGAAATTGACCAAAATGTAAATATTGGGATCCCCCCACCATCACCATTGTCATCCTTATCCTCAGAACAGCTAGAAAATTGAACAAGCGGACTACTACTAGTGCCCTTAAGGAAACACCTCATTGATCCACTAGTGTTGACCATGTTTTTTACAACAGCTACCTGTAAATAATTAATAAACATCAGAGACATACCTCCACAAATTCAGCAGCAAAAAAGAAAGCAACTGGATCATTATGCATTAAAAATGCATCACGCATAACAGATAATAACAATAATCACTAATGGAGCTATAAGCACACTCCATGTTTTGAAGTTCAAGATGCTTATTTGATCTAGTGTATCTTTACTGTTCTCATGCTATTTGTACCAAAAATGATGAAACATATATTTTCCTAAAGAGTACAGGTACTTCCAAGAAGGAGCTGTCACCGTTCAACAAGTGCCTGCGCTGACATATCTCAGACACTTTCAAACATGTTGCCGAACATTTTGTTCGTGTTAACAAGTGAAAATTAACCTTAGCCAAGACTTTCTTTTAAAATGAAAATAATAATAATAATAATAGTAAAGTTCAATTATAATAAATTACAAATTAAAGGCTTATACAAAATTTCTATGAAGTTTGACCATATTTAAAAAACAGAGATATAGTAAGATTTTTTTTGAAGCAGGCATGCAAGTAAAGGAGGAAGTCATCAAATTATGTGCACAAACATGCATAAAGATAAGTTAAAATTCTAGATGTATCTTTCTCTATGATAGAAATTATTTATAATAATATTATTTATTTATAATTATAGAATATTTATGTTGTAATAAAAATATATAATTTATTGTCATGTCCGCCATGTCCATGCCTTACCTTTTTTAGAATTATTGTGTCTTTGTCCGTCCCTTTATGCTTATCAATTTTGATCCTAATAGACTAATTTATGCAGTATAAGAAAATTCAAACAACATATTTCATTATTCAATCAAACAAGAAAAAATAGGTTACTGTGCATTTTAAGTGAGGGGTCCTAAGTAGAGGAGGTTAGACGCATAGTAACATGAAGCTCGGTGGGCTACATTTAGATAAGATTGGGGTAGTTCAATAAGAGCTGAGAGCTCAGGGGATTGGAAGTAGATTGGTATAAGGACATGTGTTAGTGCCTAGAGGTTCAAAATAGGCTTAGACATAACTAAAAGAATATACGCTTAGCCATTGCTTATCTGCTATCTGATGCTATCTGCCAACCTGCACGACCTGCACTATTAGGCTTGTAAGCTTGGTCGGTCAAGTCAGGTATTGGAAATTCATCTTTAGACAAGGGAGAAGCGCTTCTCACATCACACGTGATATCTATTGCAATAGCTTTCCCTTGTTTACTAGTCCAGTAAAGATGAATCCTCCCACCATTACTCCTGAGGTTGGACCACCTCAGCGGGCCCCCGAATATACCCAACACTGTCAGAATTCCCTTAGACAAGTAAAGGACCAATTTTCAAGGTTCTCTCTAGCCCAACCTCTGACCTGGGTAGGCGTCAAACACTAAGACACATGAAAAGGATCTGGACTTGTTCCCTGTGGTCAGTCCAGCAGAAAGGAAGTGTAGAGCCACTGCTCAATTCTTGCTTTGGTCTTGGTGCCATGACTCAATGTCATGAAATATGCTCAATTGATTTGGCAATCAGTGCTAAAGCTAGATGATGAGATTTCAGTAAAAAAAAAATCTAGTGTCAACACAGTGTTAAGTTTCAAATACAAAAACAAAATTTAAAATTTAATGTTTGAAAAAATTATATAAAAATCAAAACCAAAATCGCATTTCCAATTTGGTTCTTTAGAAATCTTGAAAATTTATGGCATTATTGGAGTTCATCTCATGAAACCCACTTCTGAAAACAGAAAAGAAAGAAACTCACATGAAGAATTAACTACTTATGCATTCAAGTTATTCACTACATAGTATATATATACAAACACGTCAATATGAGCCTAAAAAGAAACTCACATGACACTAGAGGATCCAATAACAGTACTACCAATCATACCGTAAAATCACAATAACCATTATAACGATGCCTTTCAACAGCCCTTTCTCCTTGTGCGTAACATTGATAGAAAAACAATAAAAAAATTTACTTGCTGAATTGCAATATGATGTTCATTTAAGGATGTGGATTCCTAACAGAAAGAAGGTTGTGATGACAGTGTCAAAGCTATCAAGAATCTAAAAGGCTACAGAATGCAAAACACTGTCAACACAACTCCAAAGTATGGTAGAATTAGGGCTGGCACATTAAAATCACTCAGGCAGGAACTTGGTAAATTTGGTCAAAGTTTGACATTAAGTAATTGATCACGTAACATAATGGAATCAAGTGTTCCTTTCTCATAGTGGACCTCTGCTTCCCCAATCCCCAGCACCAAAAGAAAAATAAAGAAAGAAAAAAACTTAATTTGATATTTTCAGTCCTTCTTTACAACAGATAAGAATAAGAGGGTAACAAGACTAAACATTCTACATCTCTATGATGGTGCAGAAAATGATAAAGTTCACTGATGAACAGATCCTCAATAAACTTTCAGGCCAAAAGTCAACCTTATGAGATGATTGTGTGCAGCATGCCATATTCAGTGTAAGGAAAAACATTCATTTAAATTTTAGGAAGGGGTTAATGCTGTATGGTTTAGCTATATCAGGTAGATCAGTTTGAGGAATGTCTCCTTAGCATTCTATTAAAAAGTGGCTTTTAACTATCAGCATCTTAGACCTAGCAAAAATAAATTAATAAATTAATAATAAAATAAAATAAATCACTTCTTAGTCCATAATTGCAAAAAAAGATAATAACATTCATTTTTTATTTATAAGTAAAGAGAGATAAAAAAATGGAAAACAATACAAGTAGATTTCAATGTCTGAGCATATGAAAGGTCAGCCATCCTCATGGATATAAACTAATTTCCTCCAAGTCCTGCACTAGTAATACAATGGTTCAAAGTGAAAATCTTTGATGGTGCACAGCAGTTAATTCATGGTGGTTTAACATGGACATATATCTTCAGAGTTCTGTTATTGGTTGACTTTATAATTGGGGACATTGTAACAATTTTGAAAAAATGATGTTCCTTCAATGCTGCAATTTTAAGTTTCTAACTTAAAAACAAATGTGTACTCACTCAATTAGAAGGCTGTTTATTTAACTGCATTCAATCTTGTGATCTAAGATGAGACATGTTTCTAATGAAACTAAAAGCCATTAAGTCAACGTACCATATCCTCGTAACTGGATAAAAGTTTGCCCCGATGAAGCTCCTGAAAGAAATATTTTTTAATAACTACTATCAGAGATATGAGCATTTCATTGTATTATACTAGTTTAAGTGCACATGCGATGCACATGGTCAAAAGTGAACGAATAGCCTCAATTAAAATCACATGGTCAAAAGTGAACAAATAGCCTCAATTAAAATTTTCTATCCACATTTGTGTGTGTATAGTATATATACATATACATATATATATCTATATATATTATTACAAAGAGTAATTATAAAGTGGTTTTCTTGTAAGCAAAAATGTAGAAAAATGTCTCCATTGTTAAACGAGATGCACGTCTTCCATCCAAATTTTCTACACCATCAAAATAGTACTGAACTAAAAGATCCTTAAGAAGTTGAATAATTAAAGCACACTATCTGAAAATTCTTTTAAAGGAATGCACACACACACACAAGATATATTAAAAATCACTTCTTCTTTTTGGTCATCAAGAAAAGACAGTGCATAAAACCAGATTCTATGCATTAATTTCCTATTAAAAAAATGACTGTGGTTAGATTAATAGTATAAAAGTTGAAAACGGTATTGTGGTCAAAAAATTTACCACACTAATGACTGAACTCATGAATTTGTTCCATAAATCTGGCACAAGAGCACAATTGAATCATAGCACTATAGCAATATTGATTATAATAAAGACTATGATATGACAATTTCAATCCAACTATCCCAGAGATAGAATCTAAAAGAAGAAGAGAGCAAACTTGACTGTTTTATATGTGTGCTTAAACTTTAATATATATAAAGAGAAGCAAATCTGAATCAAACAATTCATTGTTGCACAGCACTCATAGTATTTTCTTTGCTTCTCGGCATGCTTCTTTTTTTTGTTAGGTAAGTACTCACACACGCATTCACATTTGCCCCCTACGGGACTCAAACCCCTGACCTTCTCTTTGAGAGATGAGAGGTTATACCAGCTGGGCTAGCCCAGGGGGTTCTTGGCCATGCTTTTGCCACAAGACAAGCACAAAGTCAAGTGCTTGCAATTGTTTCCAGCAGATCCTTTGTCGATCCACCTTATCTACATGATGGCTTCAGTTGCAAGTCAAAGACATTTTTCTTGCCACAACATATAATCTATTAAACCTTCTAATTGAAGAGTTTTTTTTTTTTTTTTGATAAGTTCTAATTGAAGAGTTTTGAGTTGCGAGTTGGGACCGATGTTATTTAATGTTCAGGAACTCACCTGTCTTCTCTATCTTGACACCATAATATGAAAGGAGTTGGGTCCTCGGTCCATAGCCGAGATTAGAAATATTTAGAGAAGCCTAAAATATGCAGAATTTGGTGATTTATTATAGAGTCCTTTAATGTAAAGAAGTCCATAATAAATCAGTGATACTTCATCATAAATTAGTTATATATATACCTATACATATATCTTAGAGTCAATGTACACACACACATATATCTTAAGAGAACATGTACATATAGATGTTTAAAATTCTATTTAAGAGGCCTCGAGTGCAAAGAGTTCTGGAGACCGTCTATTTTTGGAATTATGATTTATGATAAATTTTAGTCATTCTTATTTAATTCAAATAAATAATTATTTATAATTTAAAAATAAAACCAAAATTTTAAAAAATATATATATAAATAAATAAAAATTGCACGTAAAACGATAATGAAGGTGAGGTTAAAGTCATTCACATGGCAGACTAGAAGCCATATAGCCCCAAGACCATCAAATAGATAAATTAATAAATAATAAAAATTGTTGTTTGCATGATAACTAGAAGCCCCGTTGAACATAAAGTTCTTAGTTACTTTTTTTTTTCTTTTCCTAGTTTTAGTTACTTATTTTTTGTTTCACAATTAATCGCGCCAGGCTTCAACAAAAACAATGAGATTAAACTTCTTTATTAGGCAGAGTTTCAGAAAAGTCTATGCAATAATTCAGCAAGTTCACAATTTCTCTGGCCAACATCAAAGCAAATATATTTATAATCACATGATGAGCCCCTCCACCGAATCAATTGAATTTTGTTGAGAAACTATAAAAAATAAAAAAATAATTAAAAAAAAAAACCTTCCTTGGCAGGTTATCATCATTAAACATGCTACAGTTGTTGGAAGCCATGTCAATGATGGGCCAAACTTGTTGATCATTCTTTCAATAGATGATGCCTAAAAGAATCTAAAATACTACTGCACCTATACCACTTCTATTCATTTTAAATTGACCCATTAATTCACATAATATCTTACTTTTGCTTTAGCATAAATCAGTTTATGTAAGGACGTTGACTAAGTTTGATGACTATAACAAATGCAGAACCAAACACACTCAAATTTTCAAATATGTCACAAACATACATTCCATACCAAATATATTTTAGAAACCAAGAGAGAAATAACAAACCAACGACCAATCTTGTGGAAGTTCAGGATACTCTTTCTTTTCAGTTCTGCATCTCAGCAACAATCTCTTTGAATTGGTTAAATGATGCCAAAATTCTATCTTTATATAATTTGAGAGATTAGCAGGTGATTTTCACTAACCAGGTTCAGAATTTTTTATCTTAACCAACATCGCGATTAATTGAATCAGATTTTCTAAAAATCTCCCCAATATCGCATAATTCGTCCAATTTTCTAGCAGAAATGCCAAATTTCCCATGCTTATAGGCGGAAGCAATCGCAAAAGACAAGGAGAAACAAATACTCAGATAAATTAAGTAGCTCAAATCCAAGTATTAAAATCATTAAAATGGAACAGAAAATTACTTGTTGCTTAAACAATTTACGACAAGCTTTCTTTCTAATATCAGGCATGTCACTCAAAACACCAAAGTCCATAGCGTCCATGTACCTGCACCAAAACATTCACATTCATTTCCAAACAACACATAGACACAAATATGTATATATGAAAACACACACATGTGCGCATAAATATAGAGGGGATTTTTGAGAATGCCTTTGTGAGAGATAGGAGTTGACGATGGAAGTGGCGTGTGATCGACCACTCGAAGAAGAAGAGGCCCAGTCTCGCCTGTATGAAGCCAATTTGGACCACTGGTTTCTGAGGTTTCGCTGTGCAGCTGGTCTCCATATACGAGTCACAGAAGAAGGTCGTGGAGTGGGTGTGGAAGAGGTTGTGCTAGGGTTCCGGTGCTTCGTTTCTGTTGATTCTTGGGATGGAGTAGAAGGTGAGAGAGATTGGGAAGGGATTGAATTTAGGGTTTTCGTTTCTTCCATTGTCAAGGTTCAAGGTTGGTTGTTAAGAATCAGCAATTTTTCAGAACTTTCTTTTAATTGAGATTACGGAGAACCAAATTTCTAAACTTCGAATTTTATATTTTAAATATATTTTATATATTTATTTAAATCTTTATTATATATTAATAATTTTCGTAGAAATTTACATTAAATTTTTATACTTAAGAGTAATTTAATTAGAAGATTAATTTGATTTTTAGCCTAATTCAACTAACACGAACTATGTTACTCCGTAAAAATTACATATTGAATTTTTATACTTAAGAGTAATCTAAATTGACAATAATTTCAGCAGTATTCCACATTTTTATTTTTATTTTTATTTTTTAACTCCACTTTCTTTTTTATAAGGGAGTACAAAGGTCTTATAAAAGACAACATACAGATCAGACGGTCTAGCAGAGTAGCATACTCTATTACTCTGGCCCAGCTCATATTTGGCCCGGAAGAGACCGTAGTTTTTGCTGTGTCTGTCAAAGAAGAGATCGATCGGAGCTCAGAGATGTCGTCGCATAATAATTCATCTTCGGCGGCTAACGATCCACGACAACCGTCGACGGCGAAGCCCTACGTGGCTGCGATGGTGGCTCCGCAAGATTTTCCTATTGATTATTCTGGTTTCATCGCCCTCATATTCGGCATCGCCGGCGTCATGTTCAGGGTCCGATCTCTCTCTCTTTACACACATGTATTTTCAGATGGTTATTAGATTCATCATACTTATACATGTTTGTCTGTCTGTCCGTGTATATGTATATGTAATTGAAAATGTATGTTGTTCTCTTACTGGTATTTTTTATCTCTGTCTTGCATAATCTTGATATGTATATATCTCAGTTTCTCTGTTAATTTCGTTTATATCACACACACATACACGCACATGCCTTTCCTTTAATCTTTGGCTTTATCTCTAAACAAATTACTTTGTTTGAATCTAGATCTCTCTCCACTTTGATGAGTTACACTTGTAATCTTATTGCAGTATAAACTTAGCTCGTGGCTAGCTATCATATTCTGTGCCCAATCCCTTGCCAACATGAGGAGCCTGGAAAATGACCTTAAACAGGTCTCCATGGCGATGATGTAAGTAGCTCTTACGCATGGATTTTTGTTTTTATACAGGCATTTTGTGTGTGTGTGTGTGTGTTTGTGTGTGTGTGTGTATAATTTGTGGCTTATGTTCCATTAGATTACTTGCTCTGTTAAATTGCTAGATTGATGGACACTTGTTCATGATTATAATTTAGTTTATAAAATACTAATTAAATTCTTACACAAGTAATTCTCATGGAAGTAAGTATTCAAATTTATGCTTTCCTTTAGTGTCATAATTGTATGTAACTGTCAATTTAAAATCACCATAATCCATGGGTGGTTTGGATGGAACTTGATGAGAGCGTTATGTTACTCATGACATGACATGTCATGCTATAAATTTCTTCCTCTTTTTTATTTTATTTTTTTTAATCATTTCATCACAAAAGAATGGAAACAAGTTGAAAATCTAGAAGGAATTTTTTAGAAGCCAAAAGTTGCTTCCATTGTGTATGGAAAATGTGGAGACTTGTTTAATCCATTGATAAAAATAGGATGGCCCCCTTAAATATGAATAAATACAATTTTGTTTTTATATGTTTAAGATTCAATCTTAAACCTACCTTTCTTTTCTTTTATTTTGTTGTAAGTACTTTTTTGATATTGCAGAAGGCAGGATCAATTTAAATGATATGAAGTGTTTCTTTTACCTTTTCCCCCATGTTATTTAGTTGTTACTTGTTTCGGATTCCTTTTCTTTTGCCTAAGTGCTTCACGAATAAGGCATGTTCCTTCACTTTTGGATGATTCTTTTTTTATGAGTCACTAAATTTTTTAAATCAAGGTTTTGGAGAAGATTGTTTCAACTTATTCAAAGTGTTTTTGAAATGTGAAAATTTTCCAGAAACTTAAAATTGTGTGCAGGCTTATTATCTTATGCTTATCTATGCTATGCCCATGTAGGAATGCATAAAAGTCTTATAAATGAAGTCGTCACGAAAATTTGCTTCAAATCAAAAGATGAATTGTTGGATATGGCACAAAATTGTGTGCGGTAGGTTTTATATGTATAGGGTCCAATTGTGATGTAGGACTGTAGGAGTACTAAAGATTCCAGATTAGCAATGCCTATTATTGATTTTATGGTGGGCTTAGATCATGAGCTACTTATAGGATTAGGTTTTGGACATTAAAATTTTAGGGTGTTGGGCATTAGTAGAAAGGTTTCTAAGGGAAGGGCTAGGGGAATAATGGTATTTTTTAAGATGGAAATGTGAAGAATATAAAGCTGCTGGAAAAATCTTTGAATTAAACTTCGTTGAAGCAAAAATTATTATATTTAGGCTGTCTTAATTCTGGTACTATAGAGGCCAATAAATATGAAATTCATGTATGACAAGTTTCTCAGTTTAGCATAAGAATACACTAATAGAACTAAACCAATGGTATATTAGCCTAGATTAGCATACGTAAGACTTGACACAAACCAAAACTTATTTGTTATTTTTATATTTGGGTATGAGGGGATGTGAACCAAACTTGATAGCAAAAGATTTTGAGAAGAAGAAGACCCCATATGCTTTTGTCTTGTTAGTATGTCTGTCCTCGCTAATTTTACTTTTACTACGTATGTTTACCGTGGCTTGTTCATTTTGAACTTGAAGCATGGATCCATTTATACCCCACCAATTGCTTTCCATTAGGAGGCATAACCTGGACATACTCTTCTGTTCGTTCCTAAGCCCTAATTTCACTTCTTTCCACTAAAACCTAACTTTATGAACTTTTGCTGAGCCAATGGGGATGAAACCAGAGGATGCTCCAAATAAAATTTTTGTTGTATGGTCGTAACTTTTAAAATGATAAGGACTTTATAATATTTGCTTCAATTGAATAGATATGATGGTAATCTTTTCCGCTGGTGCATAAACTCCTTTCTAGTCAACACAAGTTTGATGAAGCTTTACCGTATATCTATGTTTCATCCTTTATGGTCCTTAGTTCAACCCACTCTTGTTTTCAAGTTCTTTTTATAGTATAAGGTGTAGGGGTGCAACTTAGGCGGCCTAATCCGAACCTAGTCTGATGCCAACCCAAATCAATAGGGTTGAGCTTGGGTAGCAAAACTCTTAACCAAAGTTAATTTGGGTTGGGCTTGGGTTAAGGTCGATAACTCGAGTCCAAACCGACCACGAATTCTAACATGACTTTTTTCTTCTTTTTTATTTTTTTTATTTTTTTAACTTCAATGCATTATATATTGTTACGATAAACGAACCAAGCAACAATTACAAAACGCGACAGAAAAATAAACACACCACACAAAGAACACAAGGATTTATACGTTTGGCAAAGCCTACGTCCACGGTGGAAATCTGGCAAAAGTCTTCACTATGTGTAAAATCAAAGATTACAAGGTTCTGTCCCTCATTCTCAATTCTGTACGAATTTCAGTGTCTCTCTTACCACCACTCCAAACCCTAAGCGACCTTATATATCGGGTTACAAAAGACTAATTAGGGTCCACAACTCATGAGCAAAAACGGGTCAAAAACAACCTGGCCTTTTTGGACCTTGTCTCCTACCTGGAGAAACACAACAGAAATTAAATAAAGTAAAATATGAACTCTTATCTTGAAAATATAAAGAGAAAACCTAGCCCGCAGTGTTTAATATATGGTTTATTATGATTCAAGAATAGAATTGTAATAATATTTATTGTCAAGTGTATGAATCTTAACGGATCCATCAAATTGAGTGCAAACATTTTTAAAGAAGTGTTAAGGATGAAAATATACTTCATTTTTTAATCTATAAATGCAATTGCCTTGAGACCTCAATTATAATATTTGGGTAAACCTGGAAAGCTACCAATGACTAAATTGAGCTTTTATAGGATAAACTCGAAATCTTGGACGATAAAAGATAAATTGAGGTTAAATTTGAATCTTCACCACATTGAAAGCAAGTTTATTTCAATTTCTGAAAGGGCTTACTTCCTCCATCCAACTCAAGTTGATAGCTAAAATCTGCATGGCTATAAACATCTGCATCCATCGCACTATAAAGGGCTTTGAAAAATGCCAAAGCTTGATTCCTTGATTAGGCTTATTTATTATTAATTTTGGGCTCGTGCATGAAATTAGGTGGTGTAAACTCCTGTTCTATATCACTAGGCGATTATGATAATTGTACTACAAATTTCTTTCATGGAATTAATGAGCTCTATTATTCATAGGTTCAGAGCTAGTGCATGTCCAATTAATTTTTGAAGTAATGTCAAATTACATTGCAAATTTACAACGTGTTTGAATTAATAGAGAAAAAAAAAAAAAAATTAAGTAGGTGAGATAGAAAAACAATATACAATGAAATTGGCACACGCTGAAGTAGTTTATTTTCAATTCGGTTCAAGCACCATTGTTAGATGCAACTGCTTGATGAATTTAAAGACTCTCTAACCTAGTGACTGGCTGACTGCATCACTTGAAAACTTAAAGGAACATGGATTTGGGGCTCATGTGGCTAGATTCCTGAAGGGTTGTATATATTTAAGTTGTATGCAGTTCATTTCTTGAGAGGTAAAAAGTCTTCTCTTCATTGATGGATGACCTTACCTGTTTACAGGGAAAATCATTAACATCAAGTTTTTTGGTAGAGCTTTTATTTGCTGTTCAACCACCAATGATTGGAGAACTTCACATGCCTTTATCACAAGGCTGATTAATAAGTTGTTTATTTTCAAATTGATTAACTTATTACCCTTCAATGCTTGATCGTGGGTCTGACATACTGACATGTTTCACTGTGGGGGTGTCCAACTTGTTCTGAAGGTGGTAAATTTGTTGAACTTCATATGCTGCCTCAAATTATTATTATTTAAAAAAAAAAAAAAAAAAAAAAGCACCAGCAAATTTCTTTTTAGTCCAAGTCTGTTAATCAAATATTTCCGTCCCAACTTTTAGAAATCCTTAATATTTGTTATGTTTGAATTAAAAGCCTTGACATGGTACAGATTTTCATCACTAAGAGAATCTGAACAGGAATCTGGCCTGTTTCGGAAATTCTTCTTGAAGTTCCTCAATATAATTTTGACTTTGATGTTAGACTATGCCATTTCCTTGCATAAAAGTCTCAAGCTTTATGAGGTTGATCTTTTCTTGACTAGCAATGTCTCACTTGATATTATGATTATATTTCTCATCTTTAAGTCAATCTCGCAAATATGTAAATTAATCTTTTTCTTTCTTTCTGATACTATATTTTCAATACCAGGTTTGCCGTTATGGGATTGGCTACGAACTACTTTGGGCCTGCTCGACCGGGAACACAAAGCTAGGATTCCTTAGATTATGAATGAAGAAATGGCAGTATAACCGGCCCCTTTACATTGAAAGCATTTTGATTGTGATTTTCATCTGCGATGTTCTCTGTTTAGTACATTTAGTGGGAAGGACTACAAAACTCTCTACGGAGGTAGTTGTTATGTTACCTTCCACAATTGATGGATTGAATGAAATCAAAGTCAATTGGTAACAAACCATTAATATCTGTTGCATTGCTGTTTGATATTCGATAGCCCATTACGGTGTTGCATTGGTTGTTGATATTCGATAGCCCATTACCGTGCTTGCTGAAACTAGTGACTACATTGCCTATATGACATGTCTATCATCAAATCATTTAATGTTGTTGTGATACAAATAATTGTACGAATAGTCATGTTAGGTTATCAGAAGCTTTAATCTTGGCAATATTCTGTTTAATTTAATGTTGCTTTTGATATTGCATTTCTTTTTTTTCTTTTTTTTTCCTCCGAAAAAAGGTCAAAAATGCTGAAAATATGAATGGATCGAAGATTTCTTCGAACTTTCAATTGATCATTTAATTCTATCTATATGTCTATGTATGCTAGGATGAATGTTCATGTGTCTATTTCTAGATTTGGACTTATACACACATGTTTTTATGGAGACTCAAATCTCTGAGATTTCTTTGGAAAGCAGGAATTTGGTATTGCTAGGTCACTGATCCGGTGGTAATATTGCATGTCGTTGATATTACTGATTGGAGTTTTGGAATTGGTTTATACCTTAAACGAAGATGTCTCAAGGCATAACATCCAGCAGAAGATATGAGAGTTGAAGTTTTGCGCTGGTGTTATAGCACTGGTTAAAAAGTGTATGGGGAGGAGGATCTTTTGAAAAATTAGTTCAGACATTAAACTACTTTTTCTTCAATTCAGTTTGAACTATTTTTTTTTCGCGATTCCTTTTTCAAAGCACCAATTCCGTGCAACTGTAGTAATATATATTTTTTTCAAATACATATTCACTTATTAACACTTAGGATAAATTACACTCACATCTTTTGAGATTAGGTCATATTTTAGCTAAACGAAGATTTGGGTTTTAACTTTCACTTACACATTAATTTATTTTTTATTGGCCTCTAACACATACAAATTGACCCTTTTACCCTTAATTTTTTAATACAAAATATTTGTAATCTTAAAAGACATAAAAGTCCCTATATATATATATATATATATATATATATATATATATTTTTTTTAGGCGATTGCAGGAGCCTTTCCTGTCTTATCTCTCTCTAAAATATGGAACGGCCAAACTTTCCCTTCTTCTCGCTCTAGATCTGATCCATTTCCTCCACTCTGCACATTCACTACATATATATATATGTATATATATAGGAGGATCTATCTGTGCTTTATATACATATATATATATATATATGGAATACCTGAAAAGATCTAGCTTCTTACATTACGTCATATTTTTATTTGGACAATGAGTACCATTCACGTAGCACTGGCCTTCCTTTGTAAATGCTGATTAGGATGATCAATATTAGTTGAATATTGTTTATATGGACCTTTTAGATTCTGTGGTAAAAGAGTACTTATTAGTATGTTATGCTTGAACTCAACTGCTTAAACTTGGTAAACGGGTTATCAAAAGCATTATATATATACACATGATTTTTTTGGGTATTTGGCAGATTCAAAATTGTGGGTTTTTTTGGGTCTCTAAACTCATAATAGCAGGCAGATTCAAAATTTGGGTTTTTGGGTCTCTAGACTCATAATAGCAGATTCAAACTTTTGGGTATTTGGTCACCTTGTGAAAATGCAAGAAATTCCTTTCCCTATTTTGACAGAGTAATTATGCATTTCAAGAATTTTTCAATCCCCTTTCCCTCTATCTTTCAGCTTATTTATAAGCTGTTACATGCCTTCTAGAATTACATGCCTTCTAGAAGTTTCTTACCTAACTCCTGGTGTTGGGCCTCCTCCTGGGCTTCTCGAGCCAAGGCCTGATTACGTTTAGTGAATCCTCCGCCATTTCTTTAGCTTTGGGCCTGTCTTGTTGAGGGCCTGGTTCGGATCTAGGTCAATTGTCAAGTCCATTGCTCATCATATGGGCTGTACCCGGCTCGAGCCGTTTTTGATATCCTCAACTGCCCCCATAATCATTCCTTTATTAATGAGGGAGTGATTATTAATGGAAACCAACCATGATTAGACGGCTCAAGACGATTGTGTGGGGGAGCGAGCGGTCGGTTAAGGATTCGATATTTTGAAATTCGAAAACTCTTCAGTTTCCTGACGTCTCGGCTTTCGGGTCCACTTTCCCTTTATAAGCCCTCATGATGTACCATCAGCCTCCTTTATCGTCTCTATCACATCTCGCTGTCAACCAAGCCATTGTTCATCTTTTTCAAGCAAGTCAAACTTTTCCTGGCTAATTCCTGCAAGAGAATCTCCGTTTTCAATGATCTTGCAACGTTTTTTGCAGCCTTCAATCCCTCGAGGTTAGTCTTGTTGCCTTTTTCCTTCTTAAAATCTCTGCATACTTCTTTAGGGATCGTATTTGTTCTCACTATGCCCATCGATCTGGATGTTCTTCGCATGAAACTCCGACTCCCTAATAATATCCATCTGAAGGAATGCCCCAAAAGTGTAAACATCAAAACTGGTACCGGCCTTCTTCCCGGTGAAACCTTGTTTTCCCTTCACCACCTAAACGTTATTAGATTCCCTCTACACCCTTTCTTCTGTTATGTGTTCAATAGGTTGAACCTTTCCCCTCTCCAAGTTAACCCCAATTTTCTTAGGGTTATATCTGTTCTGCTGCTTCTGAACCATGATAGAGGCTTAGATCTTGATATAATTGATCTTCTCCTTTGTTACAAGGTCAGCAAGATCAGGTTGGAAGAGTCATATTACCATTTTTACCCTATCGATAAAAGATCCATCTGTACGGACAAACTTAAATCTGAGAAAGGGTGGAAGAAGGGCATAGTTGGAGTTCGAGGGGCTTGGTTCGCTCCAGCTACCAAGGACTATCTCGTCCTGAACGCTTTTGGCGAATGCTCTATTTCCTCCTACAAAAAATTCAAGAATCATACAACCGACTGCCCTTGTAAAATTTGCACTCCCCACTTTTGTTCATTTCTTTGCAATTCTCTGGGTATCTCATAGAATAATGAACCCAGTTACAACATTTGTAGGGATAGGGTCACATATCTGAAGGAACACGTTCTGAACAACGTCCCCTCTTGTTCGGAGCTTCTTATGTCCGAGAATCTCAGTGATAATTCACTCCTCTGCACTACAATGAGCCAATTCCGGATCCCTTCTTTCCGCAGAAAGAAGGACCCTCTAGGGCTGTTGCTGCTTCTGCGCCGCTTCTTCTCCAGCTTCGGCATCCTACTCTACTATTACCTCCAGCACCACTCCGAACGTAATGGCTGTCAGTCCGATCATCACCACCTCACCTGTCAACCCGAATGCTGTTCCTCAAGTTCGAAATCTCTCTGCCCCCACTGTATCCGTTCAGGATAAGGAGCGAGGAAAAAGGCCTCAGCCTGACAATGAAGGCAGCCCTGATGATGTTCCTCTAACAAGGAGGATTCGAACTTCTGGGCCTAGCGTGCCTATTCCTCCTCAGATCAGACCAATTGCTCTTTCTGGGTCTGGCACAGACCCGCTTCTCTCTTTGGAAAGGCTCCGTGGACCCCCTGATTCGTCTGAGCGGATGGATCGGTTGTTAAGCCGAGCGAGACCATGTTCAGAGAAGGCCCAACCGCCATGGCCTATTATAAGAAATGTGGTCTCCCAAAGACATTGAGGTTGCCAAATCTCTGTCTCAAAAAGAAGTCTTCAGTCGCTTTCCACTGGCTGCTATGGAGGTAATTCCCTACCCCTCTTCTAATTGCATTAAAAATGTCTTCATATTATAATTCCTCTGGATATACGTTCGGCTTAATTAGTACTCATGTATTATTTTGCAGACTCTGTTTGGCATGATGGCCATGCAAAAGCCTGTTGAGGCTGCCAATGCTAAGGCACGAAAGTTCGCCAACAGCCTTGACACAGCTACCAAGGAGAATAATATCATTGGCACCAAAAACGCTGAATTAATGGTGCAACTGAATAAAGCTGAGAATAAAAGGGACAGTTTGAAGAAGGAAGCGGACTCCCTTCAAGATGAGAGGGACACCCTTCAGATCGAGAAGAGCGTCTGGCAGACCAAGCGCGAAACATTTAAGGCTAAAAGAGATAACTTTCAGCGCTTGCTTCATGACGAACAGACAGAGCGTATGGCTTTTGAAAAGAGGGCTCTGGATGAGCGCAATGCCTTGCTCAGCGTCATCGGCAAGGTTAATGGCGGAGTGACGGCTCTACATGGTCGCTTTTTTAGGATCGGTGCCCTCAGGTATGCTAAGGGGTACAGGGAGGGTTACAGTGACCGTCTCCCTATTGAGGGTCAGACTAGTTTAAGCGCCAATCCAGATAATATTGACAAGGAACTGGAGATCGATCCCCCAGGAGTTTATGCTGATCCGGACTCCACTCATGCCGAATGTATTTTTGATGAGTGCCAGGAAATTGCTTCCTCAGGAGTTATTCCTATCCCCTCAGCTGCTTAATCGTTGGACATTCCTCCTCTTTCCACCATGGTTCTTCTTGCACTTGTTGCTCAGGGCGGATCCCAGCCGGATGGAACGATCATCTAACTTGACTCTCCTCTCCGAGGGAAGAGTACAGTCAATGAAGGTGAAGGGAACTCTGAACGCTGGCAGGAGACCGAGGGCATAAACATGACTGAATAATTACCTGTAAATGTATCATCTTCGTTTGTATACTCTACTCATTCCACCAGAACTACCTTTGTAAATGCTTAATGAACATGAATTTAATGGAATGGAAGACTTTTGACTAATTTGTGTCTCATAGTGCTTTTTTCATTGTTGCTTCTGAGTTATCATTTATCATTCGTCACAAGTGTTTGGCGCTCGGTTAAAGTACCTGGCGTTCGGCTCATAGTGCTAGCTGCCACTTACCTCACCTGGCGCTGGGCTGAATGCCACTTGCCACTTGGCTTTTTATTTTTAGCAAGTGTTTGGCATTCAGCTCATAGTGCTAGCTGCCACTTACTTCACTAAGTGCCTGGCGCTCGGCTGAATGCCACTTGTCTTTTTATTTTCAGTAAGTGTTTGGCGTTCGGCTCATTGTGCCAGCTGCCACTTACTTCACTAAGTGCCTGACGCTCGACTGAATGTCACTTGCCACTTGGCTTTTTATTTTTAGCAAGTGTTTGGCGTTCGACTCATTGTGCTAGCTACCACTTACTTCACTAAGTGTTTGGCGCTCGACTGAATGCCATTTGCCACTTGGCTTTTTGTTTTTAGCAAATGTTTGGCGTTCGGCTCATTGTGCCAGCTGCCACTTACTTCACTA